AGATGGTAACTTAATTATGGATACTCGGTCGAGGACGACCTTCTTTAAGAGGGGGGGTACTGTTACGGAGTTGGAGGAACTAGGGGTTGATCACGTGTAGCGCAGCATGTAGTATGTGTCACGTGCGCGCTGCTGGCATCCTGTATTTAAGCTCTCGTTCCTCTGGAACTCTCTTCCTTCCTCACTTTGTTGTTCGCTCAATACAGCAGTTTCCGTTTGACTCCGTATTCATCACAGCAAGCAGTGGTTCACTCCACACGGTTACATTTAGATCCCTTATCTCTAGTAGCTTTAAATTACCTAGTATATTACTAGTAGTATCTATAAAATATTATATAGTTTTGGTAGTTACTATATTCTATATAATTCTAGGTATTAATTAAGCTATATTACTAAATATTATCTTATACTTTATAATAGCTTTAGTATCTTACTCTTTATTTTTAGTAATAGTTTTAGTAATATATTTTATAATAAGAATTAGATAGCTATCTTTTAGTTTACTTATCTTATTATAAAAGATGGATTTATTAAATATTATATTTCTAGTAATAATAACTTTATTAAGTTATAGTATTTAAATCTAGTAGATATTATAATTAATATATTTTACTAGATGTCTTATATACTTATAAGGTTTTAATTTAAAGGCTTTTACTTCTTTCCTTACCTCTCTTTTCTTAATAAGTAGATATACTCTTTATCTATATATATAGATCTTATTCTAGTTAGGTTTTAGGTTAAATATAATAGAAGTAGTAATTTCTAGGTTATATTAATAGAAGTACGACTAGAACTAAGAATACAAAACCTTATTTAGTAATTTTCAACTATAGTATTTAAATAGTATTTAGTCATAAAGGAATACTATAGCTCTTATAGATTTAGGCTAGAGTTTTAGTAATAAGTTTATATTAGTTGATATCTTAATAAAGTATGTAGTAACCTTTTATCCTACTTACTTGATTAAACTATTAAGTTTATAAGTATAGGTAAAAGATAATTTAAGTTTAATCCCTTAATTTTTAGCCTAAGTCTTAAATAAAGTATCTCTTTTAATCCTAATAACTACTTTCTTATTATTTAACTTTAAGATATAAATAGATAATTAGTACTAATAGTAAGCTTATAGTTTAAAATATTAAAAGCTATTAAAAATACTTATTAAAGATTTATTTATTAATTAGTAACTATATAGTTTTTTACTAAATATATCCTTTACTAGAAGTAATATAGTATATTTATTAAATCCTAATTTATAAAAGAATAGATCTTAGATAACCTTTTAAAAAGAATAAGATAGTAGGTTCTCTAAAAGTTATCATAATGTCACGAATCACGTGTTCACGTGATAAGAGAAGACCAGGCGGCGTCCTGAAAGGTCAAGCACTATCAGTACACTTATAGCAAATAGGGACGCTTGGGCTAGCTAAGCGATCCAGGGATTTCATTCGGTTAGTATCACGTGACAGGGTCACATGATCGTTGGAGCTTGCAGGAGCTTGCAGGAGCTTGCAGGAGCTTGCGTTGGAGCTTGAGGATCTTGGGCTCCCCGTAGGCTCCACGAGAACGAAGGTTCTATATAAGACTGGCACTTCTGCCTTTAGATAGGAGCTTCGTGCTCAACTTAGTTATCAATCTTATCATATCAGTTTGACATCTTTGATACAAGTAACGAGTTCACTTCCAAGTGAACAACCCGATAGTCTTCTTCTTATCATAGCATACCAACCAGCGAACACCCAGCCAAGTTTAGTTAGCCAGTTTGAGTATTCGTTACACTTAGCTCTCTTAGTAGTTAAGCTTATATTTTCTACAATACTAAGAAATACCTTAATAAGTCTTTTAGTTAAAGCTACTTCTTTTCTGAGAGTTATTTATTCTACTTTTTTAGATATCTATTATTAAGCTTCTAGTTTTTAATAAATATAAGAACTTAAAGATAATTGTTGTGCTGGGTCTACTTTCTCTTTTGCTCCACTTCCTTATTTGATCCACTCATAGCTCTGCTGCCTAAATGCTTCATGTCTGCCTAAACCTTACACTCTTTATATAAACACCTTAGATAGCTACCTTTTACAATGCAATCAATTCTCCATGACCTTCAGTACCCAATACCCTTTCAACCCAATAATAATCTTATTAGGCTTAGATCTTTTAGATCTCTAGTGTAGGATTTAAGATAGATACTAGCTCTTAAATTATAGACAAAGTTATATATTATCTATTTCTATTATAGTATCCTAAGGTTATTATTATATTAAGGTATTAATGTATATCTATAATAGTAGAGATAAATTAATTAATTTCCTTAATAGACTTTTAAGTATCTTAGTACTCTTCTTCTTCTAGTTTATACTAGTTTTAGATTAGTATAAATAACTATAATATATCTTTAATTAAAATAACCTTTAGAATTAGTAAACAATCTAATACTAGTCTATACTTATAGATAAAATAAGTATTATTCTCTTATTTTTTAATAGATTTAGTATACTCCTAGTATACTAAGAGTTACTTAAACTTATAAAGATCTTTAATTATTACTATATCCTTAATATAAAAGATAGGCTTATAAATCTTATAGTTTAAAGTATTAGAACTATTAAGGTTAACTAGGTACTAAATAAGTTTTAAGCTTATAAGTTACCTAAGTATAGAGTACTATAAGTTTTAGTCCTCACTTGAATAGAGCTTTAGAAAAGAAAAAGATAATATATTAATATATACTATAATAATTAAATTAAGAGAAGAGAGAATCTGATTATAGATTTAAATTTAATATTATAAAAGTAATATTTAATATTTACTAAAATATAGTAGAAGGTAGAATTAAAGTTTTAGATTAAACTTTAGATACTAGACTAGGCTTATAACTATAAGTTACCTTATAGTTAGCCGATTATAGTAGGAATTATAATAAGTTTCTAAGAGTATAAAGAAGGGAGTAAAATAATTATAAAAGAAGTAGTTATATTAAGTTAAAAGCTTGCTAAATTATATAAGAGAGAGTATAAGTTTATATAGTACTAGCGCGTATGTCCCTTAGCTAATGCCTAAAAGAGCTCTACTACAAAGGAAGTAGAGCGCCCCTCGTGACCTGCCACGTGACAAAATCCGAATGGGATATTCGCTATTACAGGCTTTGCATTTTTCCGCTTCAAGGTGTTTGAGGAAAGGTGCCGTCTGCACGGCATAGATGCAGATGGCTGCATTTGCGAGTTAACTAGTTCAATTATCCGAAGACATCACCGGCTAAAGACTTTACATGCTCACATCACATCACATCAGAAAACCCCCCAGGCCATACTCGAATCTCTTTTGCATTATTCATCTGCGAGGTGACTAGTCTACTTGATCGCTGGGAACCCACCCGAAGTCATGAATACCTTTCCCACAGCACAACTCCGAGCTCCATCATCAACAGCAAAACATGCTTGCCAGAATATGGGACATCCTCCCAGCTGGCCAATAACGACTACCATCCTCCGATTATCCACGCTGACTACGGACTTCCGCAAGAACTGTATCGCTGTCTATCATCAATGATGCAGTATTCGTTTCTCATGACTAGCAAAATTTGTGGTATGGCGGGAAGTGAAATTCATGAATGTCGTAGCTAGCCAAGCACGGAAGCGCTGATAGAACATGACCAAGAGACTCCATTCCTAACAGAAATCAAAGTCTCTACAACGCGGAGAAGACGAAAAGCTAGAGATGGTTAGTGCATAATCCACTTTTCTCTCACACATGGAATTGTGGACTCACGTTGTTGGTAGCTGCGATCGCGATGCTGTCTTCGAACGGATGCCAGCTCATATGTAAAATCTTCTTGTTGAAGTCAATTTGATCGGCATCAGTTTCCTTGCGCATTCGCCCGCCTTGGCCCGTAACCCCAGCCGCTGGGCTATTAGCTCTGGAATTGCCCTTCTTACCGTTCGTAGCTGTAGGGCTTGTCGAAGCATTGATAGGAGTGGGCACACCGACCTTCTTAGCCTTGAATGCGGATTTGTCGGCTTGCAAAACAACCTCAACCTCCTTCTCTGGGTCCGAGGGATAGATCATGAAGTTGTTGTTGTAACTACCTGTCATAACATTCTTTGCATCTCCCGAAAAGACAACCTCGAACTTGTCAAAGATGCTGTCATTTTCGTACGTGTCGCAAAGACGAGGGCGAAGGTGCTCATGGATCGGAATCGTCTTGACTGGTTGGCGTTCCATGTTCACGTCCCAGATCTTGACTGTCAAATAATCACGCGAAAGAATATATCGTCCATCGTGAGAGAATCGGACGTCAGAAATTGAAGAAATGATTTCTGAGAAAAATGATCTTGCCGATGGGTCTTCTTCTTGCTCAAATTCTTGGGGCTATGTTAGTAGACGTGATTCTTAAAGAGAGCAGAGCAACTTACGCTTCGCATGCTGGTCACACAGAGCACTCTCTCTCATATCTGCTAGTTTGATGGTACCTTTCGAACTAGCATACATAAACCAATTGCAGCTCTGTGGGTGAAATTCCGCGGCTGTAATAACTTCGGTCAGTTCCTCCATGTTGGCTGGTTTGATATCAACAATGTTGAAACTTTGATCTTGAATATTTAGATTCCAGAGATTTATCCGCAAGTCATCACTACTAATGAACGTCTCCCCGTCACTGTTCACAGAGATGCTGTTGATGTGATATGCGTGGGCGTTGGCATAGGTTCTTCGAGGAACGGCAGCGACGACAGTATCGTGATGGGTGAGGCGAGGTAATTTGAGATCGTGGGCACTTGAGAAATGAACATTGTGCATCGGACGAACTCCCCCAGCGCCAGGGACATTTCCGGGTGTCAAGTCATGAGAGAGATTGTTTTCCGCAACCACCTTCAATGACTTTTCAAAAACTTTCCATAACTTGATTGTCTTATCGTTGGTTGAAAGGAGGTAGTGGGATGCATTCTGTCGTTTGCACCACTTGATCTTGTTTATCTTTTCTTCTATTTCGAGAGACTTGAGGTAATCGAATTCAGGCTCGTGAGATTGGAATTCGGTGTGGAATTTATACTCGCACGTCTTTTTCTGTATAATGCATTAGCTCCGTGCTTGTAGAAACCCTATCGGTCCTTGATTATACTATCGTTCAACGTACTGTCTCATTTCGCTCGAATAAAACTACTCTCCCTCCTTTGTCTCCAGTGGCAAGATAATTTCCGGTGTGGTCAAATTCGACGGTTGATATGATATCCGCTGTTCCCAACACATTAGCTTTGCTCTTAAAAGTTGTCGTGAACGATGTCAGTTCAGATGCGGTGGGGAAGGAAGCCTCTGTCCACCCCATCCAAGGCGGTAAACTAACCCTCTGTGATATCTTCAACATCGCCCTTGTCTCCAAAACATCTAATGAGGGGTCAGCACTATAGTCGCATGCGTGTATCTGCCAGAAGCACAGTTTGAGGTAGGACATGTAGCGCATACGCTCAAATGTGCCTCCCGCCAAAGGAGGGAGGGGTGGAGGAAGTTACTGACTGTGTGAACTTCCATGTTGGAGAGTTCGGTTCCCCTTCTACCATCTTTTAGACCGTGTGGGGAAGAAGAAATCCTCGCCACAGGTATCTTCACAAAAGGCCGGAACTGAAGCCACTCAGCGCTTGGTCGCGATATCTGCTCGTGGTCGAGGATCCGATGCAGGAAGGCTGAGGTGTGGGGGGGGGATGGGTGAGAGCGAGGAGGGAATGGAAAATTGAGGTGGGTTGTGCAGCGCGTTCGTGAATCTTGTGCAGACGGAGTAATATGTTTACGTATGGCGGGGGAGGCAGGGGGCTGCGTGGTGTGTTGATGATGGGAAGTAGAGTAGGTAGAGTCGTGAGGCTTGAGGTTCCCGTCAGGCTTGGCAACTGGGCTGGCGAGGCAGCCTACCTAGGTACAGTACCGTACCGGTGGACAAGAAAAGTGGCAGACCTTTTCTTATCCTAACTGAACCAAGAACTACTATATTATGTTGTTTGTTTCGAACATTTAAAATGATCCATCGAAAACTACTGTATAATAAGGCAATTGTTCTAGATATTTTAAACATTTTAGTACTTAGAATTAACTTACGCTAATAGTTGAAAAAAATGAATCTCTACCACTTTGCTTACCTATCCACAAGTAGGCTGCCTCCAACACCAAAATATCATGGTGGTGAATTTTTATTCGACAACACAGAGGTCGAGAGAAACCCCAATTATTTACGGTAAACTTGCGTTTATTCACTACTAGGGCTTTCCTCTTTCACGCTTCCGTTTCTGGTGTATCTTTATCGCCTCTGTTCGATCAGGTTATTGGGCTTTTTGCGACAGGAGAAATCCTTGAATGGGCCAACGTTGTAAGCGAGGCTATGCCAGTTATTGTATATATTCCGGTACCTGAGTTGTTATTTTATTGGTTCTGTATAGGTAGGTATGCAGCATATGTGTATTTGATAAGAGTCTGGTGATACTGTAGAATGACACAACCTGGTAATGTATTACTAGCATCAGAATAAAGTCAAATTCGTTAATTTGAATGAATTTCTTCTTCTTACAACTTCTGGATTTGTTTTGCGTACACTCTTATCGTCAACCTATATCTCACAATACTATATCGTCAGTATATAGCTGTAATGGGGGTCCTACGTGTACAATTCCCATGATCTAAATATAAAATTATACAGCACTATCTCGCCACAACCAGCCAATCAAGATATCAATTCTTCTGAGTGACTTTCATATCATGTATTTCATTTTCTACTCTACCCTTTCGAATGATAAGACCTCACATTCCATTATTGGTAGAATACCAAGGGAAGAAATTCCGTCTCTTGTTCATCCTACCTATACTCTAATACTGAGGGTCTCGGCAGGTTCATAACCCCGCTCGTCTGATAATCATTACAGTAGTACGAGTACGCATACCAAAGTTTATTGGGAAAACTGGGCTCCCGGTGGACAAGAAAAGTGGCAGAGATTCATTTTTCAACTATTAGCGTAACTTAATTCTAACTTCTAAAATGCTTAAAATATCTAGAACAATCGCCTTTGTTGTACTATCGTTTTCGATAAATCCTTTCAATTATTCCAAATAAACAATATAATATCATAGTTTTCAGTCAAGTTAGGATAAGATTAAAGAGGTCTCTGCCACTTTTCTTGTCCACCGGGAGACTAGGCTAGTTATTTTTAGTCGGAAAGTATTACATAGTGGAGATACTTGGTCAAGGCTTGATCCACACGAAGCTTTTCTCCACAACGTCAGGCCTCACTTTGAGTCTCTGAATATCGGTAACCCCTACTTCGTCCTATCTCACGGCTGGTACTGATGAAGATTTATTCAGAGAACATTTGTATTCTGAAATTGACCAAGACTTCAGTATCTCGCATTATACAGCAAAATAATTGGAGAGCCGAGTAGTGCGGCAGAAAATACTAGAGTACTCTCATTATTCTGAATTTGGGATTTTCTTTTATGATTAGCCTATTGGTTTCTTGTCTGGGGACGCTTGAATTATTCTTTTGACCACTCTAGAAACATAGGATGACCAACGGAATGATTCTAGAGTTTTGGGACAATGAGGCTATCTTCAGCTACTTCGTACTTCGGCTAATTATAGCAAGCTTGTATAACCCTTGATGATCGGTGCTCAAGCTTTCAGAGTTTTCCCTCAACTGCCGATTTCCCAAGAGCATGGACGGAGGCCTTTCCGGTTTATGAAGTGCTGTCACAGTTATCACAATATGGATTAACTGTTGTTCGGTCTTTCTAGCAAGGCTTTTAGAGTTACACAATTTCAATATATTCTCGAGATATCTACAATTCAGAAGAGAACAAATTAGCAACCACGATCTTTTGATTTGGACTAAAGGTTTGGGACAACGGATTATATCCAATTTGCCCTTTTCATGTCATTTCCACAACAACGGTATTGAGGATATCTCCGTACAGGCGCCGCTCATCTCAAACCACTGGTGGCCCAGCCAAGCATTCATGTCAGCGGGCTGCAGGAGATCCTGACTTGGCGTAAGTCCAGACAAAGAATACTTCTACCTCTCTTTCTCCTTACCATCCTAATCTTCCTTAGGTCACCTACCTAATTGATACCTGCCCGGAATTTCCTCCCGGATTCTGAAATTTCTTGAGAACCGTTTTGTTGTTGAAAATTAAGCGCCCTTGCGGTACCTCCGTAGAAGAAAAACAAAATGTCAACAACACCAACCACCCTGAGCGGGACAACTACGGGAACTCACCACCAACATAATCATCGCAGTCGCCGAATGAAGAATTTTGTCCTACCTGATGGAAGGGAAGTCCATATAGCCATTTCGCCTGAAGAAGCAGAAACCTTACGCCAACGTCTTGCTGCTGTGAGGAGTAAGGATGAACCATTCGACCTCGTAATTTCGGGTTCTCCTGAACATTTGGAGGCTTTGCGACAAGCTCATTCGCATCATGAGAGTCGGAGAGAAGCACTGAAGACAAAACATGGCGATGATTATGATGAGTTTGAGAATGTGAGATCGGAGTTGGATGCGCTAGGTTCTGAGTTACATATGTTGACTGATCATTCGGTCTCTTTGGATGCGAATTTTAGTAAGTATGGGTATAGTGCTCATCTGAGGACTTATGATGATGGGAGTACACCCGGAAATTCCGCGAGTAGTGTTGATGGGTTTCATGATTCGGATCATGAGAAGAGAGATTGGGAGAAGGAGAAGAGTAATGGCAGGATTATGAAGATATACAGAAAGGTAAGAACTATCTCACAATCTCAAGAGTTCGAGGGTTCGATTTCCACCCGAAGACACCTTACTCTTTTTTCTTCCATTGGAAATTCCGAACTCTGTCTGAAAACTTCATAGCCGGTAGTCCGACAATACTTTCACAAAGGCCTGCTTTGGCGAGCTTCAGAAACTACCGAAGTAGCATCTTTTGAACTCTTCGTAGATCTTCTCTATGTTGGAATTCTGGCTATAAACGGAGATCACGCCTCGGAAGAACCAAATGGACAAGAACTCCTTCGCTTCGCTATCACATTCATCATGAGCTGGAAAATCTGGAATGACCTGCAGCTTATTGTCTCATGGTTCGAAACTGACGATATCCTCCAAAGAGTTTCAGTAATCTTCATCATGGCTTGTCTTCTGGGGTATGTTAATCTGACATCGCTCCTCCATTTCTCAATTCCGCTTTTGGGTCAAACTAACAAAATACAGTCTTACAACTCAGATGTTAGAGGCATTCGGAGAAACCTGGTCCATGCTCGTAGCCTTCTATCTCGCCGCCCGTCTCTTCATGGGATCCTATTACCTAATAGTAATGAAAACAATTCCCATGATCCGCGGCATGATGGTAGCACAAGTTGTAGCAACCATAATCCCATGCGTCCTCTGGATCGCCTCAATCTACGTCGAATACCCGAATCGTCTCGCCCTCATCTGGATCGCCATCGCCCTTGACCTAGCCGGAGGAGTGCTCCCTATAATCTTCATCCGCATTGCGAAACACATCAACGCTGGTCTGGGAGAATGGATGGAACAAGTTTTCGAATTCTATCCCGCCACCAATATTGAGCACAAAGTCGAGCGGACGAATGCGTTTGTGACGCTTGTTTTTGGTTACTCGGTTGTTGCGGTGATTTACCAGAGTGTGGCGCCTTTTGGATTGAATGCTTTCTATGGGAAGGCGGTTTTAGGGCTAATCCAGGCATTTTGTTTCAACTGGATTTATTTCGAGTTGGATGGTGCTGATTTATTCGCTCATGCTATCCGACGAAATGCTACTGCTGGTAAGTCCATTCAAACGTTACTCTTCTAAACTCGCTTAGCTAACGCCATACAACAGCCATGCTTTGGAGCACCGCACACCTACCTTTCATCATGGCATACACCTTAGGCGCCGCCGCCTTATCAAGACTTGTCATGGCCCATGATTGTCCAGATGCAGAACCCCATAACCTAACACACTTCTACGAAGAAAAATCCGAAGCCCACATCCCTCTCGGTCTCCGACTCTTCTACTGCATCGGCCTAGGCCTCGCCCTCGCACTCATGGGACTCTTCTCTCTCACCCACGTCCACAAGGAGGGACAACGTGGGATCCGCATCCGAAAGGCTTATCGTCTTGCCAACCGATTCGCTGTCTGCATCATCATATTCTGCCTACCTGCTGCCGAACACCTCAATTCGTTACAGTTGATCTCGATCGTCACGGGATTGGTAGTTTACGTATTGCTTATTGAGCTTTGGGGCGCGAGTTGTCCTGAGGATTCGTGGTTTGGGGAGAAGGGGAAGGGGAGGTGTAGGTATACTGCTTTTCTTAAGATTAGTAGGAGGGATTTGGAGAATGTGAAGCATGGGGGGAGGATAAAGGTTGAGGAGTTGAGGGAGACGGGGGAGTAGAGTGGGTTGTATGAGATGAAGTGAGTTAACGGGGATATGGGATAATGTTTGGGGTTTGGAGTTGTCGGAAGAGGTATAGGTATAGGTATACCAATGGGAATCGGGTTCGGATTGGATGGATATACGTCTACTTTTAGGTAGACCGACATTATACTAGCTACAAATACAAATAACTTATAGTACAACGCAATTTGAAGATAATACATGGCCTCTACTTCGACATTAGAACCTTTCCAGTTACCCGCTCTAGGGAGCTCAGGTTTAGCAGGATACTTCACCAAGTCCACAGCGTAATAATTGTACATGCGGTGTTTAGCGAGAACTATAGTCTGAACAACCGATTCTCTAACTCGAAACGAGAAACATGCTTTTTCTTCACTAGATGAAACCTTCAAAATGCTTGAACTGAGAAGAATTACGAGGTACAGTACAATAAAGCAGGTATATTTTGGGTTAAGTAAGAGTCTTATTTCCACGTTAAAGCCAGAGTCTAGGCAGAAAATCGTACTACCGTAGTAGCCCGAGTAGCTAATTTATACTCTTCCAAAGACTTGGGAGAATGAGAAGTTGGGAATGTGAGTTAATTCAAGTACTCCCCTAAAGACTCTGTTGATACAGTAAGTCTATAAGAAGCATGTCATTTTCACTATCGCTATACTTGGCAGATTCAAATATTCTCCAAGCAGAGAACCGATAAATCCAATGTATTTACTCCCCTTGCCGGGGTGTAAGACAGGTGGGCGAAGCTCTGTAATCTTACACACCTAGGTTAGAAACAGAGATTATGCTAAAAGTCTCGTACAACCACAATGGTTCTCTGAGTGATTTGGGACAATTAAGTTACTTATTCTAGAAGATCTCGTATAAGAGGTTATTAGTGTGTGTATAGAGTTTCGCCCAATTGTCTTATACATGGAGCCATTCGTTCTCAGCTGTCTTGTTTACTTTTTAGAGATGGAGACGACAGAGGAGAGCCACCACGATAGAGCAATTAAACCATGCCAGTAAAACACTACCTACGGATAATTCATGAGTGTAGGAAAATCGCTAAACCCCGTGTGGAAAATCCCGAGTCAGGTATGAAGCAGTTCCTTCGCTAGACTAGCCGAAGTGTACCGTAAATCCCATTTCAAGATACCATCCTTCAAATATCTACTCCAACCCAACTACCCACCAACCCACTCCATTCCACTCCACCACCCAAGCCAACTCCTCCCACATCCAGATCCAGTCCACCAACAACCAACACACGGGCAAACAACTGGTTCTATCAATAGTACAAGAGTCAGTTCACAAGAACAATATCTAACACCAGGACCGAGTCATAAAAACGCGACGTGCAACAAAGGGTCCTACCATCGTCATGTATGACTCGTGGGACTCGAGACGAACTTGTCTTGTTGAGTTGTTTGGATTCGGACGGGATGCGCATGTTGCTTTCTTGTCAAGTGTTAAGTGGTGGTAGAAATGAGATGTTTGTGGTGTGTGGGTTGGGATATACTTGATTTTGGGATTTTCTTTTTTGGGGGAAGGCAATGGATTGTTTATTTTCTGTAAAGTACGGGTATAAATCTTTCTACAGTACCACGGGATCTCAAGGCAGATTAATAAATATGAAGTTGGCTGTTTAGACCCCCAAGAGTTTTATTTTTCATAGAAGGAAAAGTCATAACTTGAAACGGGAGATGGAGAGAAAGCGCACCGAATCAAGATAGTTGCACTGTACTCATATTTTTAGAATGTTCTATGTTAATACCCTTTCCCTACTCAACTACAGAAAGAAACCCACGAAATCCGGGCAGATTTCAACGAGTATGAAGAATCGCAAACAAAATTAAAATCAGGTCAGGTACCTAGCATACTCGTACCTTACCCGAGTACCCGTATCCAAATCTCAAACCGATGACGCCACCATGGTGTTGACGCACCAACGTTTTCCAGGCCCCTCGGCTGCGGGGCAACAAAAGACAGGAACCCCTCGACTGAGTTTAAGACACTCCCTCGACTTACATGTGAACAATGAATAAAGAGGTGAAAATGAGTAACCCAAGTGTACTCCGTAAATACCCATATCTAGGGAGTCATAGATAACCACACGCACAATCTGACCCAACATCGCCGAACCTTCAAAGCCCCGCAAAGAAAAAAAACTCTTACAAGAAAAGAACCCGAGCTCGAGTACAGTAAAGTGTGCCTGAAAATCCAGAAAAGCTGTCGCGGGTACTCGACGAGTACAGTAACATGAAAAAACAAATAGATAAAACCTTACATCAGCTTCGCCACTTATCTCCACCTGAATCCGTTTACCTATTTTGGAGGGAGGTGAGTAGTTTAATGAATAGGTGACGTTGTCACATTAGAAGAGAGAGTGAATAAGCCAAAGCCATCCCAGCATAGCCACCCAGATCAACCCCTCCACGCCCGCCGCACAAGACCGTCAGCCTACATCCGACCTCTCGAATACAGATACCCAACCCAACCGCGAGGTAAACCGCGCTCCTACAAACCCCTTCTTTACTTCTACAACCACAACAGCCTCACATACCCCATCGAGAGAAAAAAAGAAGAAGAAGAAGAAGAAGAAACCATGACAGGCCCAGCAACGTACGTCCCCCTCCCTCCCCCAACCACCCACCAAAAACNCCCATCGAGAGAAAAAAAGAAGAAGAAGAAGAAGAAGAAACCATGACAGGCCCAGCAACGTACGTCCCCCTCCCTCCCCCAACCACCCACCAAAAACCATCATCTAACCTCCCCAAAGACCCGGCCAAGAAGGGCCCTCCTTTGCGCCTCCCCATCTCCCCGAAGGCTGGATCGCCCAATGGGACGGCATGTCGAAAAAGTACTACTTCGTCCAACTCAGCACGGGAGCAAGTCAATGGGAGACGCCCGACCGACCGGCACCAGGAAGCCAAATCTCGCCACAGGCCACGCCGCAGAACCACGAGAGTCCGTATGGAGGACCCCCCGGCGCGACGGGACAGCAGGAGTTGAATATCATCACGAATGCGGATGGGAGTCAGAGTGTGCGCCATGCGGATGGGACGATGGAACCGTATTCTGGGGAGAGGGGGATTGGGGTATGTTCCTTTGTTTTTTTCTAAACTTTTTTTGAGAGGGAGAGAGAGGGGGATGGGGTATGTGAGGTGTGCTGACGGTGGTGTTTTAGTCTTTTGCTATGAATCAATTGATGGGAGGGAAGAAAACTGGTGGTGGTGGTGGGGGATTGGGCTCGTTAGCAAGTTCCTTCCTGGGAGGAGGAAGTAGTCACGGATCATCCGGGGGAAAGCCAAGTGGAGGTGCTGGTGGTCTTGTAGGAGCTCTGGCAGGTAGTCTGCTGGGAGGTGGAAAGAAGACGAGTAGTCAGCAAGGTGGTAACTATTCAGGTGGCCATAGTCAGGGAGGTGGAGGTCTGATGGGAAGTCTGGGTGGAATGGCTGGAAGCATGTTTGGTGGTAGTAGTCACGGTTCGGTATGTTTTGACACCTTGACAAATTTCGCATGCTTTTGAAATTGATATTGATTATAGCAGCAGCAACAAAACCAAAGTGGAGGTAACCAATATGGTTATTCTACAGGAGGTGCTAATCAACAAGGTGGATACTCTGGATCGGCTCCTCCAGCTTCATACCAGGGAGGAAACGGTGCAAACGTCTATAACCCACCATCTCATGGACAATCAGCACAAACTTCATATCACCAACCAACTCCTTCTCATGCCCAACAACCTTCATATGGATCCCCCGATCCTCACGGTCAAGCCCATAATCAATACGGAGGGGCACCTTCACATCAAAGCAACCCACCATACGGATCGCCAAATCCCCAACAACCTCAATATGGTCAACACCAAGGCCAACCAGGGCAATATCCGCCACCGCCACAAGGTCAACAATCTGGATATAGTCAAGGAGGAACACCAGGTCAATATCCACCACCTCCCCAAGGTCACCCACCAGGAGGACAACCACAATACGGCCAAGCACCACCAGGACAGTATCCCCCACCACCTCAATATGGACAGGGAGTTGGTGGAAACCTCAACCAACCTCAGCATTCTCATATGCAAGGCTTACACAATGCTGAGCACTCTGGGGGTCTGTATGGCAACCCTCCTGTTCCAACCAACACCCGTCCACAATCCGGTCCAGGTTATGGAGGAGTGGGTGGTCCGCCAGGTGGAAGTGGTGGTCCTGTAAGTGGATATGGCGCAGCTCAGGGAGGATATTCTGGACAGCAGAAATGGTAATGGTGGATGGCCCCTCATAACACGCATTTTACGGATAATGACATATTGCTCCCACTTGGAAGCTGGGCTTTCCTTTTTTCACCGATATTCCCGGAGACTCAGCCTGTGTATTTTTGTACTTTATAATTTGAAACCTTTTCCCGCTGCCAATTGATTGAATTGGTGCTTTCAGCTCTTCTTCTTAGTAACATCCACTTCTTCGCGTGCGAAACTCAGGAACCATTTGCTTATGTACTTCGACAAATACCAAGATCCGATTGCGAGGAGGGTGATATATGCGACTGTTGGGAGTAGAGAGCGGGGAAGGATATTGAATATAAACGGATCGAGAATTATATCAACGAAAACCGGTGGGACGTTTGCCATAAGTGTTTTATTCGTTGTGTAATAATCTGCCGCCGCGAATACCTGTAGGAATAGCGCAGAAGAGAGGTCGTCTGTTTTGGTCTTATGTTTACTCGCTCCGTCATCGCGGAGTTCGTATTTGAGACGCCGTTCTTCGGAGTACTCTGCGAGGGAGGTTATTAATTCCGGGGTTTGGAAGACGGTTGGGAGGTCGTGGGTTTTCAGGTCGAAGGACGTTGGTTGCTGGGGGTTTCTCGTTAGTTTTTGCTTTTGCTTCTTTGCGTAGTTCGTCTAGTGGTAGATGGATGAGGTGTGATTGAAGTCCTTACCGTCGCAGCCCAGCATATTCTCACTTCGTACCGTTGCCCTTCTTCGAGTCGGTGCAGTAGGTACCATGATGAGTAGCCTTTGGTGGAGGAATTGGTGTGGAAGTCGGCGCGAAGATGGGTGCGGAAGGACCAGTGTTGGGGGGAGAGGGAGGAGAGGTGGAGGTCGGAGAGAGTTGGGTGTTCGATGGGGATTTGGAGGGGAGGGGGGCCGAGGAAGATTGTTTTTTCGGTGTTGGCGTTGGTGAAGTGGGTGAGGAGAGAGAGGAGTAGGAAGGTGAGTAACATTTTGGTGAAGGGACTTGGGGAGGATTTGTTTTCTTTCATGGATCGGATTCTGGGTATGTTGAGCTCGTGTGCATGTATTGATGCTCTGTACAAGTAGTACAGTACAGTACCACAAGCTCGGAGCTTGGAGCTTGGACCAGTGGATTTGAGGTTGAGTAGAATACGGAGGCTTTTGATCTCAATCAAATTTCGAAATATAAACTAACCTTCTGAGAATGAAATTGGACTCTGGAAGATCCATACTTAAGGTTTGATGTAACTTGTGAATTGAAAATAAATAAATGTACCTCCGTATAATGTGTATACGCAGGTACTCTCATGCTCGTACTGTACCCATACCAATGCAAAGATATCAACCACCTGTGCTGGTTGCCACTATGAAGTTTAGCGCCGCATCATCGCTCTTTCCCCATTGGTCAGAACTTTCATAACACGACCCCAAGCACGTCGTTCCATTTGTTTATGTTTTTATGCAGACTTGGCAGGCGCAGGGAAGGAGCGAAAAATTAAGGTCGTGTTCCCCTGTCACTTCCCTTCCTCTCCCCACTATCCACATCCACCTGCTCCTGACCGATACATCTCCAGACCGCACCACCTTGCTCGACTCGACTACCAGAATTTCTGGACCTTTCCTGTTCTCTACCAAAACACCAAAAATCTTCCCTCTTCACGTCCAAAACATACAATATGCGTGAAGTCATCAGCATCAACGGTAAGCACCCCTCTTTACGCGCCACACACCGCTTCAAAACCCCCCTCAACAAAAATCTGGTGCTAATCATTCTGTGCTCTCTAGTCGGCCAGGCCGGTTGCCAAATTGCAAACTCTTGCTGGGAGGTAAGATACATCAACGACGACATATCATATACTATACCTGGAATATTGGCATGCTCTTCTGCTTTGAACTCGACTAACTCAATCTTGTTGATAGCTCTACTGCCTCGAGCACGGTATCCAGGTATGTTTACAGCATCCAATAACCCCCCTTATGGCACTTCTGCCATCAAAAACATTTTACTGACGCGTCAATTCTCAACAGCCTGATGGATACTTGACCGAGGAGCGCAAGGCGGCAGACCCTGATCAGGGATTCAGCACTTTCTTCTCTGAGACTGGTAAGCAATTGTAGACTTCCATATTTTGCCACATGCGCATACTGATATATCTCGGTCAACAGGACAAGGAAAATACGTTCCCCGAACCATCTACTGCGATCTCGAGCCAAATGTCGTCGACGAAGTCCGTACCGGTACCTACCGAAGTCTGTTCCACCCCGAGCAAATGATCACCGGAAAGGAGGATGCATCAAACAACTACGCCCGTGGTCACTACACTGTCGGAAAGGAGTTGATTGATCAGGTTCTCGACAAGGTCCGCCACGTCGCAGATAACTGCTCTGGTCTTCAAGGTTTCCTTGTTTTCCACTCCTTTGGTGGTGGAACCGGATCTGGATTTGGTGCTCTTTTGATGGAGCGTTTGTCCGTAGACTTTGGCAAGAAGGTCAAGTTGGAATTCTGCATTTACCCAGCACCACAAACCGCTACCTCCGTCGTGGAACCATACAACTCTATCCTCACAACCCACACCACCCTCGAACACTCCGATTGTTCCTTCATGGTCGACAACGAGGCCATTTATGACATCTGCAGACGTAACCTTGGTCTAGAGAGACCCAACTATGAGAACTTGAACCGTTTGATTGCTCAAGGTACTTTGGATACTCGTATTCTTCGAGTTTCACGGCTAATAGATTTATAGTCGTCTCTTCCATTACCGCCTCCCTCCGTTTCGATGGTTCCCTCAACGTTGATTTGAATGAGTTCCAGACTAACTTGGTCCCGTACCCACGTATCCATTTCCCTCTTGTTGCATACGCACCAGTTGTCTCCTCAGCAAAGGCTTCCCACGAGGCCAACTCTGTCCAGGAGATCTCAATGTCTTGCTTCGAGCCTAACAACCAGATGGTCAAGTGTGATCCACGTACCGGAAAATACATGGCCACTTGCTTGTTGTACCGTGGTGATGTCGTTACCAAGGATGTTCACGCCGCCGTTGCTACTCTCAAGACCAAGCGAACTATTCAATTCGTTGATTGGTGCCCAACTGGTTTCAAAATTGGTATCTGCTTCGAGCCACCTCAAATGGTTCCTAACGGAGATTTGGCAAAGGTCAACCGTGCTGTGTAAGTTTTTGCGTACCTTGATACTCCTCAAACTGTACTAATACAATTCTAGCTGCATGTTGTCCAACACCACCGCTATCGCCGAGGCCTGGTCCGCTCTTTCTCACAAATTCGATCTCATGTACTCCAAGCGTGCCTTCGTTCACTGGTATGTTGGTGAGGGTATGGAGGAAGGAGAATTCTCCGAGGCCCGTGAGGATCTTGCTGCTCTTGAGAGAGATTACGAGGAGGTTGCCACTGACTCCATGGAGGGTGAGGATGCTGGTGAGGCAGAGTACTAGATCAAGAATGATTCGGTGCATGTCCAGAGGTCTCTTGTGAGATTACATATCAGAGGGCTAGATTTGGACTTGATTACCCCAGGATCCAGCACTCGGAGTCACGGAGCTTCATCATTGTCATTCGGGAGTCGTTAGGGCTGTATTGTCTTTTTCTTTTCTTTTTAACTACTTGTGAGCACCGTGAAGGATGTTCCTCTTCGATCAGAATGGTACGCAATAAACCTTTGTAATTCAGGCAGACTGCTCAATGTCTCAAAAGTCAAATTTTTGGCTTTGTTTTGGCGTTGTGATACACCTCTTATTCTGATACACACAAAATTGAATTCTCTTTAATACATCTATCTTCTTGGACTACCTTCTTTTTCCGCGCATACAAGTAAATCGCTTTTTCCTCCCACTCTCCAATAACCTGGTTCTAGCGGAATCGATTAAATGGTAGCCAACTTGGCCTGTGCACATCTCGCACAAAACGTAGGCACTTAGCGAATTTCATACTACACAACAACCAAAAATCATTTCCCACTAACCCCAACTTCTAGCCCTAGCCCTAACTCTAGCCCTAACCCAACCCCAACCCTAACCATCCTATCTTAAATTTCTACTTCTAATAGTGAAAAAAACATAGGGTGTTCTAGTAGTATTTTAGTAGTGGAGAAGGTGTGGGGAGCCTTGTAGTGGCCAGTGCGTAGGCTTATACATGCATTATTTATGCTAAGGTGGCTACCATTTAATCGATTCCGTTCTAGCGAACCCGGGTTCCCGCGGCTTATCGTTCCCGATCCAGGTCAAGGGAGCCGAAACCGAAGAAGTTCAGGCTAATTGCAAGGTGATTAGTGGGCATCCGAGCTGGAGGGCACCCCACCATGGCATCATGGGTCCATCTGGAGCTGGGTTTGTCATGCTTATATCATTTTCATTTTTTTTTTGATCTGTATGAATGATTAGAGATTGTTGATCTTAGGAAGTACTTTGTACGAACTATTGTCATTGAAGTTGATCCTTTAGGTTCGGATGAGGATTTATCCACGAGAGCTTTGTGAGCAATTGGAGAGAAGCGAAGAGGTGGCGACGTTTTTTTATTGGAAATGGAAGGGAAGGGAGGAGACTGTGAACTGGGTCTAAGAGGAATTGAGGGTTTTCAGAGGACCTGTGAAGACGGGGACCTGAAGGAGAGGGGGATTGTGGGAGGGACGGGAGTTGGATTGCGACGGAGGTTATTGTGAGGAGGAAGGTGGGAAAGAGTGTGAGAGTGAGTGCTTTTGCACTGTTGAAGTCGAGACGACGGTGAGAGAGTTGGAAAGGGGAAACCACGGGTGGCAGTGCCATCGTTATCGAGGGCCCTCTATACTTCTTACAGTGGCCCTGCAACAGCGGCGAGAAAAGATCTGGGACGAAGGAGTCAAGCATCCATATCACCAACATCATACATCCGTATCAGCAAATCTCTTCCGTCATGAGTTCCTCAACCCCGTATTCGGTGGTAGACTCAGAAGCCGCATCGAACCATAGGAAAGGCTCTCAGACTCCGAGGGTGCAATCTCCTGATCTCGATGAGACGCCCGATAGTGTTCATGACAGTGGACATGAGGGTATTGGAGAGAGGGAAATGGAAAGAAGATTAGTGAGGATGGTGGATTTGAGACTCTGTACCATTGCGGGGATTCTTTGTAGTCTTAACCTGCTGGATAGCGGGATTATCTCTTCGGCTAGTGTGACGAGTATTTTTGCGTATTTGGGGCTCGGGGTGGGTGATCGTTATGTGAGTTTGTGTTGGGAGCTTGGTTGGGAGGGAGAATTTTGCTAATGGGTTTTGTGCGTAGTCGGTGGCTATTCTGGTGTATACTGTTGCGTCGGTTACTTTCCAACTGCCTGCTACCATCGCGGTGAGGTTCTTGGGGCCGAGATTGATGTTCTCGTTTATTACTGTTGGCTTTGGGGTTATTACTATGGTATGTTACTTTTCACTTTTTTCTTGTTTGGGTGGAGCTGAGACAAGAAAAGTGCACCGCTTTCATCAATACCTGGCAGCAAATGGTTGGTCTGAGAATCTTACTCGGGATTATGCAAAGTGCCATCTTCCCTGGGTTGAGCTACTTGATTAGTACTTGGTACACCAGGAAAGAACAGCAGTTGAGATTTGCCTTTTTGCAAAGTGGAGAGGTGACTGTTGTAGGCTTGGGTGGATTCCTCAATTATGGGTTGAACAAACTTGATGGGAAGGCAGGTTTAGTAGGTTGGCGATGGATGTTTCTTGTTCAAGGATTGATTGCTATCTGTAAGTTCTCTTCCGAAACATCTTCTTCTTTACATGGCTAAGTAGAGGAAGGCATCGGTTTTCTTACCTACCTATGGATCGTCGACTTCCCCGAAAACTCCCACAAAAGCTTCCACTTCCTCACAGCCAGCGAACAATCTTTCGCCGAAACCAGAATCACTGAAGATCGCGGAGACGTCAAGCCTGATCCCTTCTCCATCCCCAAATGCGCGGTCCATTTCCTCGACCCGAAACTGTACGGGTTCTGCACACTATTCTTCTGCTTGAATCTCGTTTCGACATCGCTGTCGTACTTCCTACCTATCATTCTGCAATCTGGCATGTGCTTCTCGTCTGATCAGGCGATCTTGCTGAGTGCGCCGCCGTACTTTTATGCGGTGCTTCCGGTGTTGGTTAGTAGTTTTGTCGGGGATCGGTTTCAGTTGAGGGGCCCAGTTATTGTTTTTAATTGTGTGTGTACGATTGTGGGCTTTGCGATGTTGGGGTTTTCGGAATTTGATGCTGTGAGGTATATTGGGACTTATCTTGCTACGGGGGGATATGTTAGTAACGTGAGTTTTCTCATTTCTTTTTTATTACTCCCTTCTCAAAGTATCCTTCATTTCCAACCAGAGTGACTGTGGATTATTCCTTGAAAACAGAAGCTGACTCTCTTTCCACAGTGGGCAGCAATGACCGCCTACCAAACCTCCAATATCGCAGGACAATGGAAACGAGCCACCTTTGCTGCCTCCATCACCGCTTGCAACGGACTTGGAGGGATTGCTGGGAGCTTCATCGTCAGACAACTGGAAGCACCGCGTTACATGACGGCGATTTGGATCAGTATTGGTTCTCATATCGTGATTATCGGTATTGTTGCTGTGTTCTCCATGTACTTCTGGTGGGCCAATAGGGATCAGAGGAGGGGGAAGAAGATCCTGGAGGGAACGGTGGATTTTAGATATACTTATTGAATGTGATGAGGGCTTTCATTGGGCGTTTGTAAATTTTTTTTTTTTAAAATGGGATCTTCATTGTTATGGTTTTGTCGTTGCCATACATATATACTTTCTGGTTTTCGCTTGTGAAGCAAAGGTTGTGGCTGGCTGCAGGTGACAGGCGACGACTGGATTGCATAGCGTGATAGACCAGAAAAGGGGCAGTAAATAGCTGTACAAATTTAGGTTCCTGAAATAAGATTATTTTATGGTTATTTTGCTGAACACAGAGAAGATTCATTGTTCCACAATTTTAGATGAGCGTTTCTGCCCAAGGGCCTTTGATTTCTGCATCTGTCTGGTGGTGGTGCCCGAACAACCCTAGTCACTGACGTCCAGTCGGTGGGAGGTTATCAGCAGGGTTACCACCCAGTCACCGTGCTGTAACCACCTCAGCACTTGACCATCTTTGTGCGGTGCAGTGCAGTTCACTCACAAACAGTATTTACTAATCGCAAACCACCACAACTCAAAGCGACGCTGTTCTCCTTCACTCACCCGCCGATCTTCGTATCCAACGAAGACCATCACCTACTGTCCGATCGCCAGGAATCCTCTCCCCGCCCGCATCCTCAAACAAGTAACTCCGACGCCCCCGGGAAACCCTCGACCTTGCAGCAACCAGAGTCCGAAATTGGATGGGCTAGACTACCTGCGCTTTGCAGGACAATTGAACCGACCATCTTGAAGCAAGTGCAAGGAGCCTGCGGTTTGCTCAGTACTAGCAGGGCCCTCGACGATGGGTTTCCTCGGTGTATACAAGGCAGTTTACGACTACGAGCCTCATGGAGAGAATGAGCTATCCATCAAGGAAGGGGACATTCTCTTTGTGCTAGAAAAGAGCGGAGAGGATGACTGGTGGAAGGCGAAGAAGAAGGCCTCAGGCGACGATGAGGATGAGCCTGTGGGATTAATTCCCAATAATTATATCGAGGAGGTACGTACTCGAGGATTTTGGACGACCGAGGGACTGCCAATCCCGCGGCAGCTCCCCACCCTCTCGTGGAAGTTGGCCTGCGTGTAGAAAATGGATTATGAGTTGGGAGTGCTACACCACGAAACTTACTAACCAGAATACAAGGCCCATCCTTTAAGCTATGCTCGAGCCATCTATGATTATACCAGACAGACGGACGAAGAACTGTCTTTCAGCGAAGACGCCAGGCTTGAGGTCTTTGACACTTCAGACCCGGACTGGATATTGGTGGGACTAGATGGGGAATACGGGTTCGCGCCTTCAAATTACATTGATTTACAGGATGCAGACGAACCACCGCCGGCAGCAGTCGCGGCTCCCCCACAACTTCCAAGTCGACCCCCGCATCCCCAAGTCGAGGAGGAACCTGATTCTCCAATCAGCCCAGTCCACAACCCAGCAGCCAATATAGCAGGAATTCTGATCCAGCAACGACAATCCTCTGTTTCAGCTGCTAGAGCACCTCCTCAATTTACTCCTGAAGCTTCTGATGAAGATGACCCTCCAACTCCAATACTACCCTCTCGACCGATTCCTCAACCTAGGGCACCTGAACCTATCGATACTCGTGCAACGAGAAGCTTACCAATGCAGGGCGTAGCGGCGTCTCCTCCATACAACAGAGCTGCCCATGATAGACATATTGATGATGAGGTTCAAATTCATTCGCCTGGGGGATTCCATATGTATAATATCAATGAGATGGTTTCTGTCATGGGAAAACGGAAGAAGATGCCAACAACCTTAGGAATAAATTCGGCTACAGGAGTGATTATGATTGCACCGGAAAAGTCACGAGATGGACCCGAACAAACCTGGACTGCGGAAAAAATGAAACATTACTCGATAGAGGGAAAGCATGTATTCCTGGAGTTGGTACGACCTAGCAAAAGTGTAGATTTCCACGCAGGAGCAAAGGATACAGCCGAAGAAATTGTTAGTGCTCTTGGAGATCTTGCTGGGGCAGTCAGAGCCGCCGGATTAGACGAGATTATACGAGCTGGAGCTGGTTCTGGTCAAAAACAGAAGAAAGGACAAGTTCTTTATGACTTTACGTCTCAGGGAGATGACGAAGTTTCCGTGACTACCGGAGATGAGGTTCTAATAATTGATGACACTAAGAGCGAGGACTGGTGGCAAGTAAAACGACTCCGAAATGGAAAAGAGGGTGTGGTACCAAGCAGCTATATTGAAATTACTGGAACTATCTCCACTGGTGCTAGCGCCAGCATTTCCGGTATCAACGCTGGCCTCTCGTCGAAAGACCAAGCAAGACTTGAAGAAGAGCGATTAGCGAAGGAGTCTTTGAGAACTGCAAGAAGAGAGGAGGACCGTGGGTCAGAGGTAGGCCCTGGAATGCGTTTACCTGAGAGAGGGAGTAGTCTGTTGGCACGAGATAGTAATAACTTTTCGGCGCAACAGAGAAAACGCGATAGTCGAACCGATGTTTCATCACGCACCTCGAAATCTAGTATGTACTTGTTGCCCTTTCACTGAGAGATACTAACAAATTCTAGAACCCGATCCTTCCAAAGTCCGAACGTGGACTGACCGCTCCAAATCTTTCAGCGTTGAGGCCCAATTCTTAGCACTGAAAGATGGCAAGATAAATCTTCACAAAATGAATGGTGTGAAAATCGCTGTTCCTGTCGTCAAGATGTCTGTCGAGGATTTGGAATACGTTGAAAGAAAAACAGGCATTTCACTCGATGAAGATAAACCCTTATCAGATATCAAAAGACAGCAAAGCCGTGCCGCCGATAAAGCTCGACGTTCGTCTGGCTCCCCAGCCGGTGCTACCATTACACATAAGCCCGAGTATGATTGGTTTGAATTTTTCCTCAGCTGTGATGTCGCTGTTGGCCTCTGTCAAAGGTATGCCCAAGCATTTAACAAGGATTCCATGGATGAGAGTGTTTTGCCTGATATCGATTCGAACATCTTACGCAATGTCGGCTTGAAAGAAGGTGACATAATAAAAGTTATGAGATTTCTGGACAAGAAGTATGGCCGTCCAGGAAAGAAAGGTGTCAGTTTTGGGGATGAGGGCGAAGGCGGTATCTTTTCTGGCCCCGCAGGTACGTTGAAAAACAATACTAGCAAGGGACGACCAGCACCTCCTGTACAGACCAATAATACTGTGGATCCAAACGCATTCTCCCAAGAATCCGGCGGCAAACCATCGGAGGGTGTAGCCACGCCACTAGCGAATGCACCCAAACCTGCTCAACAGGATCCAAGAAGGGGCGGATTTGACGATGATGCTTGGGACGTAAAGCCATCAAGTCAGCCACCTCGCTCTTCATCAGTTCCACCCGTATCTGCACCTGTCCAGGCACCTGCCTTGACGGGCGCTATGCAAGAGCTCACTTTACTCGACAAGCCATTAGAGCCGACAAGAGTTCAACCTGCCCCTCCTCCTCAACCACAAGTAACTCAAGCTCCGCTGCCACTACAAGCGCAAGGTCCGCCACCTGTCACCCCGTCAATCTTCGCAGGAATCGGAAACCAGCAAACCGGTCTACCACAACAGCAAACTGGTATGTCACAGCCTACTGGTCTTCTCAATCAGAACCAATTTACTCAAAATGGCGGCGCGGGTATTGCCCGCCCAAGGCCTACTCCGGGTCAATACCAAACCCAAAACCAACCTGGCCTAATGTTACCTCCTCCGCCAGGTCGTCCATTATCAGCACCTCAAGCCCAAAGTGCCTTCTCGCTTCCACCATTACAAGCCCAAAGCACCGGGTTTCAAAATCAAATCGCTCCCCCAGGGCAAAGTTTGGCTGAGATACAGATGCGTCAGCAGCAGCAGAACATGCTCCAGCAACAGCAGAATATGCAGCAGAATAACATGGGTATGATGAACCCAAACTTCAACCAATTCAACCCTGGAGCGCAGAATGGGTTTCAATATCCTATGGCAACAGGTATGCCACAGCAGCAACAAGGTTTCATGAACAATGGAGCATCACCATTTGCTGATCCACGACAACAACAACAACCTCTCCAGCAACAGCCTACCGGATTTCAAAGCTCATTTCCTCAACAACAATTTCCCCAAGCTACTGGAATCAATTCTTTCTTGCCACCCCCATTACAACCCACCCCAACAGGAGCACCACAACAGCAGAATGGGTTCAATTCTTTCAATGCCCCGCCAATGCCCCCTATGCCTCAACAACAAACTGCAGCGCCTTTAATTCCTCAGAAGACCGGACCACCTCCACCTGTTAGATTTGGGGTGTCGGGAGACACGAAGAAACTTATGCCACAAGCTACGGGGCGTCGGGCGAATCTGTCTCAAGCGAGTAAGTATTATCCATACTGCATCAATGACTTGGTAAAGTATGTTCTGACTAATCTTCTTCTCTAGCACCGCAAAATCCTTTTGGCTTCTAATTATTGGAATGGGCTGTGTTGTTTATATTTCTCACCTCTCGTATCCATATTAAATAAACGAGCGGTCGGGTGGGCGGACGGGCAAGCAGACAAGCGGACTGGAAACTGGAAACTACTCGTATCACCTGTAGAATAAGCGCGAGACTAGTTAGTTAGGCATTGCTTTCTTAATCTGGCCAGGCCGGGTTTCTAGATAGTTCTCATACGGGGGAAGGAAGCTGCCTTGTGCTGATGAGGAATGGACGATCTTTGACAAATATCCTTCTTCTTGTTTAATTATACCCTTTTTTTTAAATGATTTTCTCTTGGTCTCTTTTTTTGGTTTTTGGGTACTGTATTGTGGATTTTTTTTATATAGATTTTTGGATTTTATATTGATTTTATATTCTAGTTTATTTGTCCGTCAGTCCGTGGAAGCAGACGTGGACTAGATACTTAAAGTAAAGTTAAGTGTGCACTGTACCGTTTTTCACCTCCTTGAAAGGTAAGAATATAGTAGAATCTAGATAGATTCCTGTCTGGTTTTAGAATTGAAAGGGAAGACGGAGTCTGGGTTAGGTTGGCTTTTTTTTTATTAAAAATACTGTACCGAGCTAGCTCTCTCTCTTTTGGGGAGGGGGGTGCGGGGGGATGGGGGGAGGAAGTTGAGAGTTGTGATTTGTAAGTTGTAAGTTGTAATGGCTATGGGAGGAGCTCTGGCGGATTTACTTGGTTATTCATGGAATTGATGGAGTTGATGGGATTGGGGTTGGTGTGAGGACCTGGTATGGTATTGTATCTGGAATGTTGGAATGTTGGTGGGTGGTGGGTGGTGATGTGATGTGTGGTGGGTTTTTTGGAGGGAGGGAAGGTGGATCCATGTACCAGTAACACAGTAAGAGAGGCGGGCATTACTCTATACACACCCTAGTTATAAAAATCTTATCCTAAAGAACCTTATATAACTAAATCAATGATACGAATGGTTTAGAAAAATGGTTAGTTTTTAATTCTTATTATACTACTACTATAACGTAGTCCACAAGCGAGTTGGATTCCCAAGCGAAATGGATTATTTTTCTTGGCACTCCACAAACTTATTCAGAGCGCGTTTTTTCTTAACAAACAAAATGGTTAAGCATTATTGGATAGAGTCTGATATGATTCTTGCGTTAAATACGCTTCGTACGAACCCACATTTAAAAGTTAAGAAGGTTGCGCGGATCTATAAAGTACCTTATACGACATTGCTTAATCGAACTCATGGAATATTATCACGACAAGATTCTATCGCTAGATCTCGAAAACTTACAGAGATTGAAGAAATAGTTATCGTACGACATATTCTCGACCTAGATTCTCGATCATTTCCCCCACGAGTACGTTGTGTTGAAGATATGGCGAATCGTATCCTCTCGGAGCGGGGTGCAGGACGCGTTGGCAAGAACTGGACTTCGAACTTCGTACGACGACAACCTGAACTTAAGACGCGTTTTAATCGAAGGATTGATTATCAAAGAGTCCAATGCGAAAATCCAGACGCGTATAACGCGTGGTTTCGCCTCGTACGAAATATAATTGACAAATATGGGATTCAGGAGGAGGATATTTATAACTTTGACGAGACTGGGTTTTGTATGGGCCAAATTACATCAGAAATGGTTGTTACAAGTACCGAAAGGCTTTCTCGGCCTCGTACAGTACAGCAAGGAAACCGGGAATGGGCAACAGTAATTCAAGGTGTTGGGTCGTACGGCTTTGTAGTGCCTCCATATATCATTTTGGCGGGGAAGAACCACCTCTCCTCCTGGTACGAAAACAGCCAATTACCACGCGACTGGGTAATTGCTGTAACTACAAATGGCTGGACAACAAATGAGCGAGCCCTAGATTGGATTTTTCATTTCGATCGGCATACAAAGCTTCGTACGAAGGGCATTCACCGGCTGCTTGTGCTTGATGGCCATGAAAGCCACCACTCAGTCGATTTTGAGCTTTTTTGTAAGAGTAATAACATTATTACTCTTTGCATGCCAGCTCATTCCTCTCATAGACTCCAGCCACTCGATGTAGGATGTTTTCGAGCGTTAAAAAGGTCGTACGGTGCTGAACTTGAGAAATTAATGCGACTCCACATTACATATGTTTCTAAGGAGGATTTCTTATCAACATTCTATACTGCCTTTCGTACGACAATGACTGAATCAAACATTCGAGGAGGATTTCGAGGATCTGGCTTAGTGCCGTACGACCCAGATTCTGTGATTTCACAGCTTGATATACGTCCAAGGACTCCGTCACGTCCATCTACCTCAACAAGCCTCCTAGCTATTTGGGAACCAAAGACCCCAAATAACATAACAGAGGCATATTCCCAGACGTCATATATACAAAACAAGGTCGTACGACACCAAGATAGTTCTCCGACCCAGATTCTATATGGCCTAGACCAGCTTGCAAAGGGTGCACAGCGTGCAATCACTGAGGTAGCTTTATTACGAGCTGAGAATGCTACACTTCGTACAGCAAATGATCAACTTAGTCGGCGTCGTCGTACGAAAAAGCGCCGATGACAGGAAGGAGGATCACTTACTCTCTAAGATGCGCAAGATTTAGGGGTCCTTAGTAATGTTGATTCGCAAGAACAAGTGGTTTTAGTAGAAAATAGTAATTGTACGAGCCCGAGTCTAGTACCTCGCCGGCGCTGTGGACTATGTGGGAAACATGGCCATAACATACGAACTTGTCAAAAAGGAGAAGAAATATGTGAGGATTCCGATTCTGAATACTGTAATTAATTTAATTAATTGTGTCGTGAGATACTTAAGAATTTATAAAATGCCAAGAAAAAAAATCCATTTCGCTTGGGAATCCAACTCGCCTGTGGACTACGTTAGGTGAAATGGGATAATTAAGTTACTTGTACTTATAATAGAGTTTTAATATAGGAACTTTTGATAGCGTTTATTTTATAGAGTAACTATAATCTTTAAGAGTAAAGTTATAGGAAGTACTTGGTTAGGACTTAGGGGCTTTAAGAGCTTACTATAAGATAAGTAAGATTACTATAATATAGTATGGTGCTAGATTGTTATACTAAGCTAGGAGTTACTATGTAATCAATATTTGGTTTGGTTCTTTATACTGTATGAGTAGTTAGTTATATATATTACTACTTTTCTAGGAGTCCTTTTTTAAGTTAACTGGGCTAGTTAGGGTCGTGGTGAGGCGAATGAGAGAGAAGTCTGTTTTATCGGACTAGATGGGGAAGGGAGAGGATATTTGGAATGTTGGAATGTATAGTGGCTCTCTCCTAACAATCTTACATGTTTGTTTTGTTTCTTGCTGTATTAGCTTCATAGAGGTTCGTGTTGGTGTTCCTGCAATAGGGGGCTGCTGGCTGTTTGGCTGTTCTTGTACGGAGGACTCTAAGCGGTGATAATTCCAGACCAATTTTAATACAGATGTCAACGCTATAGAATCATACAACACTGAACACCTTATCAATGAAAATACAAGAGACATTTGTGCATGCTGGAACAGGCACAGAGAAATCTTCGTAGATTTACATTCATATTTTTGCGACGTCGTTTAGCGGTTGGATGGGCAGGTATATCGATGTGGACATCAGCCCAGATTTATCACCACTTGGAGGGAGAGGTCACTTGTTTAACCTCACGCCGATGACTTTGAATTTGTCGAGAACTTACACATACTTTTGTACCTTCGCGATAGCAAGCTGTGCCGTGGTCGTGTATCTGAGAGAGTGACGTAAAGATGGCGAAAGGGCGAGCCAGTAATAGGCGGGTACAAGGTTTGCTCCAGAGTAGCTGTTAACAAGCGACTCCAACGCTTTGATTCGTCAGATGGCTCTAGCTAGTCACATTGCACGCCAAGATCAGGAGATTTCTCTTGTACCCTTTTCAAATGAACTTCCAAATGCGATAGGCGGTTGCATTTCCGTCCTTTCAGTTTGACGTGAACTGGACGTTTTCTTGTTTTTTTCCCCCCGACTTTGGCATTGGGGCTTGATACTGTATGGGTAGGACGAGAGTCTCCGAATGTCCTTCAATTGAGTAGCACGGAGTTTGGGATCGGGAAAATACTCCTTCATTCTTGTTGCGATAGGTAGAAAAAGGCCGGAGGACTTCGGACGGGATGATCAAGGAGAACGGGCCGAGGGTTCGACGTCGTATACTGGATCGACGTAGAGGTTCAATGCACGGTTTTACTAGTGGTCTTTTCTTATTATTTGATCGCCGTGGGTTCTCCATTTTGTGGAGGGAGAACCCGGTTGTAGGAGGCTCCCTTTCGACGAGCACATTTCCCGTACGAGTATTCTTACACTCAACTTACAGTTGCACTTGCTAACAAGCGCTGTCGTCGCTCCAGCTCAAGAGGCTATACTCATCACACCATGGCATGATTGTTGATTCCAGGCCAAAGGGTCTCGGTGATGATATTTCTGCTTGACATTCCCCTGCTCAGCGGGGACCGTTTACATCCTATGTCTTCAAGTTGGTGAACACAAACTGGTCGCCACAACCGAGAAAGGGGCATGATGAGTTCACGCCCAGAAGGGCGTTTGCCATCACTGAGGATCGACACGGGATCTTACCCGATCAGTTCATTCATGTTTGATGTCCCAAACCAATCGTCGTCGCAGACATATCCCCGCTCGGACAGGGAGGCTGATCCTAGCGCGTAACTGTAGGCGTCCCTTAATCACTTCCACGCTCTTCAGTGGCGGAATCCATAGTGAGAACAATAGGTGTTTCTTCCAGAAGGAAATATTATGCACTCAATAGCGTGTGCGTTGGTTTTGAATTTTCCTTCCGACTCGGGAAGGTGAGTCTAACTTGTCGGCACGTTGCTAAGCGAGAGGGGTGAGAGCGCCACGGAACCCGTTCTCTTGACGCTTGAACTGTTGCAAACAGACTTTGGTTCGTTTGAATCTATTTTTGTTTGGCAGAATCTTGATTTTGATAGGTGATCTCGAGAAGTACAGGTCTATGACATGCTGAAGGACGTAATGAAACTGTTTATCTGTCTTGTTTCGTTCATGTATCTTTCATCTAATGATATTTTGGGATACTTGGCTTCATTTTGAGTTGTGTTGACGGGTGGACAACAATATACAGTATGTTCAGAGGTACAGTAGTTGTCCACTCCATGCTGATTTGGTGTTGTGGTAGGCTGAGAGTGCACAGCTCAGAAACATAACCACGGGAGATTCCTTTATCCGCTAGTATTGAGATATTACAGTACTTGAACATAGTTATTTTTGGAATCTCCTGTCGTTACAGACATATTCTCCATGTTTTCTTTTGCTCTGGTGTTACACAAATTATCAGCTTTTCCGGACAGCTGCCCGAATCTAGAAACACTCTCTGCAGAGGATCTATGACTGCGGCAAGCGAGTCGAGCAATGACAACCATTCTTCCGCAGCACACTCCGTAATTTTTGTTTCGTCTGTTCACAGACTCATAAGCTAAGAGGCGGGACCATGATCCGATATGCTCACGACCTGTGATGGGCCCTTCCTCAAGCCTACTTAGGAAGATACTATCTTTCCCTCCCACAAGAATCTTTTTTCTCAAAACCTCATTCCTTTTCTATACAGCGTTCTTCATCTGTTGACCGGACTTGAAGACAGTCATCGTTGTATTTTTATTGTTGTCTTTATCACTTGTTTACTTAAACTGGATTTAGGTTATTCTTACAATAAACACTGCTTCCAGTCTTCATCGATAGACTGAGCCCTCCTTACCTTAAAGGATTTTCGAATTTCGTAAAAGAAAGACACTCAATATGCGTGGACAGACATTCGCTTCTGTGGCGCTGGCCGCTTTCGCGCTCACTGCTGTTGCAGCACCATTAGAACATGAGGTCAGAACGGACGACCTTCTTGAGGCTAGACAGCCAGAAAAGATTGTGGGAAGGAGTAATTTTGGCATTGTTGATTATGAAAAGAAATATGCAGAGAGAAATCAACTGGAGAGAAGACAAGCAAAGGCTTCTGGAGGCGCGCGACCTAGGTGAGTACCTATGAGTTCCAAGTAATCGAAATGAGATAATGAGCTGATTCATTCATATAGTGGTACTGATGGAGCAGCGGCAGCCACGTATGTTATATTCATCGATAAGCGAATCTTATAGGGTCTTCGCTGTCATTGATTGAAAAGGAAACTAACATTTGCATAGTGGAGCACCAAAGAAGAGCGCTGGAGCAGCCCCAGGAGCTGCCGCTGAGACGTAAGTTTATTAGTTCATTGGTTCACCAGAGCCACTTTTGTATTGCCTTCAAATACTGACCCTTCTCCAGTGGTGCTCCCAACGTCCCTGCGGGTGCTGATCCAAAGAAAAAGGGCAAGGAAGGAAAGAAGAAGGGTGCTGGCGCTGGTGCAGCAGCTGGGACAGGAGCAGGAGGAGCAGGAGCAGGAGCTGCCGCTGCAACGTAAGTAAATCTGACCCTTCCAACAAGTTTTATTTTATATATGACCGGATCTTGACTTCTGTCTAGTGGTGCTGCGCCAAAGAAAAGCGCTGCAACGTAAGTTCATAATTGTTTTCTGAGGCCCAGTATCGTTTTATGTTTGGATATTGACTCTGTTCTTTAGCGATGCTCCTAATGTTGCTGCGGGTGCCGATGGAAAGAAGAAGGATAAAAAGAAGAAGAAGGCTGCCAAAGCCGCTGGCTCCGCACCTCCACCACCAGCTCCAGAGGTACGTATTTATGTTTTCCTTCAGCAAAACGTCTAGTTTTACTCAACTAACTATTTCTTAGGCAGCTGCTCCACCTACACCACCAGTAGAGGTTTGTTTCACTCTCAGTCCTTAACGATGAAAGGGTGTCAAGGTTGACTTAACTGTTTTATAGGGAGGTGCTCCACCGCCACCACCAGAGGTATGTTCCCTTCTCAATTCTCAAGACTTTGTTCACAGACCGAATTAACGAACTGTTTGATAGGGAGCTGCACCCCCACCAGCAGAGGTGCGTTTTGCTCATAGCCTCTAAGAATCATTTGTAAACTGAATCAACTAACTTTTCCTATAGGGAGCTGCTCCAGCATCAGAAGCAGCCTCTCCTGCACCTACTCCTGCTGCCAGTGCTGAAGATCCAGCCGCTGCCGTAAGTCACCAAAACCTCACTGTTTCGTCCCGTAAGTTAAATTCTGGGCTAAATTCTTCCTCAGGTTGTCCCTGCTGGTCTTCCAGCGGTAGAAGGCGAACCAATAGGCGGCGATTACAAAAAGGCACGAAGTGCTCGTAAGTTGTTTTCCCGTATTCCTTTGGAGCATTTCAAATATCATCTCGCAATCAAGAAAAGCAGAGCTGACTTCCGCTAGGATGGGGACAACAGTAGATCTTCGTGTATTTTGGTCAGCTGTAGGTGATTTGGGGGAATAAAACATTTCTTTGGGGATAGATTAGGTTTGACGTGATTTTGAGGTGGGATGTCATAGCGATTCAGATACCTACTTTACTTCTCCTGAATCAAACATTCTGTTTTAACAGGTCCTTGCGGAGCTGGAATCTGCAATTTAATACTTCTTGGGGTATGTAGATCTTCATTTACGATGTATGAGTAGTAATGGTGTCTCTTTCTACTGTGTCGGTGCACTGAAGTGTACGTATCCATGAGCCATCCAATCCCAGGGTTTTAAGATCATTATGTACTGTAAAGAGCCACTGATCTCAATGTAAAACCTGTTTTCATAAAATCGTGCAAAACAAGCTTAGTAAATGAAAAGTACCACCTAAAGTTCCTAGCGAAATACTGCAGGTTTGATGTATCATAAAATGCTAATATACGGAGGTCCTTCGTTACGGTAATCCCTTTTTCAGGTTGAACGTCAAAACGAACCCGAAGCACCACCACTATTTACCTCTGCGCGAAAACCTTTATTTGACACTGTGAGATATCTTCATATATTCCAACTAAGACACTTCACCATCTCCTCACTATACAACCCCAAGCCACAGATTCACTAGAAACTTGGTGATTTCGATTTCGCCAAGGGCGCATTTATTTAAGCGAGCCAGAATTACCCACCACTCTACTCTGTCCACCCCTCTTAACACAATTTGAGCAGCTAAATTCAAAGATAAAACAATTCGCTTCCCCTACGGGTAGGATGAACAAGGTAAAAAAAGCAGACGAGCTGAACGTTATTATTATTTACTGTAGAGCAGGTCCTTACCATACATTGAGATCGATTAGAAATCATCTCTGCACCTAAATTAGATCTTGATCATATTAAGAGGCTGCAGAAATGGTTTTATGAAGTACGTATACTCTTTCTTCTTGAAGTCCTCAACATATACATCCGCAGTAGCGAGAGCCGAATTCCTGCTTAACAAGAGTAGATTCGAAGTCGTGCTAGATATTCGACGTGTTGTAATGGTGATTGTTGTCCGATATCCTGAGTACTAGTTTGTAGCGAATATCTACAAGTGATTTTCGGTTGTGAATTTTGCTTTATGGCTAGAGGAATGGCACCTTTATCTATTTCATTGCTCCAGTTTATAGCGCTATGTAAAAGTTTCTTTTTTTGGGGTACGTATAGCAAGCAATAAATTACTTTGCAAGGGGACGGGATGAGTTGTCAGATGTTAGATTTCGGAGAGTATGCGTCGAATTATTTGAAGTAACTACAGAAACAAACAAACAAGCAAAAACACCTTCCAACAGTCTGATTTCCTGGATACTAACAACACTTTTCAATCCTGCCATTACCGACTTTAATTCATGATCCGACTTAATGTAAGTTCTACATGCCATAAGATGACAGAGAAGCTAGGAATCTATCCATTCAAATTATTTCATTCCCTGAATAGTGTACCGAGAAGACTACAATAAGATTGCCATCCACGGTCCTCGGCTATCCATCCCACCTAGCGTTGATTACTCAACATAATTACAGTAATAAAGAAAAGTATCACGGCAGTCTCGCAGTACCGATACCGATGCCGAGGCACGAATATGATGTGAAGCTGGATTTAGTACGTGGTATTGTAAGGGAGGAATCACGGTGGATATTGTAGAAGTAATGAGTGAGTGAGTATGTGAGTGAGTGAGTGATATCCCATGCGTCTATATTTTTAAGGATGAATTTGGTTTTATTTGCCCAGAATTAGCTTGCCAATATAGACTTATACTGTAGTAGGAACACATGAGAAGATTAGCGAGAACGAGAGGATAAGAAGACGATGTATTCACATCAGAAGTGCTATATGTCCGCTAAGAAACCCACGGGATTCCGTATACTACATAAACTTTCAGATGGGGAATTGATGACTATTCAAACCGAGGCGTAACAAGGCAAGATTAGAAGATGGCGACTACTTATGATGGGATGTACAGTACAGTAAACGTGCTTTGTAGGGATCTGGACTCATATTGGTGGTATGTATGTATGTATGTACGCAGTGTAACAGATTTGTCAACCAAGTCCAAGAGTAGTAATCACAATACATGAGCCAGTAAACATACATACCTACATTACAACCGAGCTATTTGAAAGGTATGTACCTGTTCCAGCGAGGGAGATGTGAATAAAAGACTTTGTAATTCCTGTGGGGAGAATGGAGTTCACTCGGTTGATCGATTAATCAATTTACACTCAATCTTCTATCTACATAATTATAAATAAACGCTCAACCTCAACATCACGACTTAGAAACGCAATCCCCCTTAATTACCAACAATAGCAAAATTCTAAAATTCTAAAATGGCAGACCGTGATATGCTCATCAAGCAAACCCAATTCACAAAGACGTACTATCGAGATGTCTATCCAGCCATCGAACCCACATCTCCCTCCAACAGCCAAGCAGGAAAGGTTGTCGTCGTTACTGGCGCGGGAAAGGGGATTGGTCGAGAGGTAAAGTACTTTTATGTTTCACCTTACTCGTAGCACAACACCATCACTTCAACTTTCTCGATTTCCGATTAAGACCGTAGAGTGCTCAACGACTCAAGTTACCTTTCATCGCGGCACCAAAAACGCAAATGCAGATGGAGCATCACGATATACTCTACAACGATAAAGATGATTAAAGGTCCATATATACTAACATAAAACCTCACACCTAGAGCTTCGTAAAATCCTTCGCCAAAGCAGGCGCCAAAGCCCTCGTGATAGTCGCCCGTTCCTCAGGGCCTCTCGAGGAAGTGCGGCAAGAAATCCTCTCAATCAGCAAAGACATCATCGTCCAAGCAGTCGTCGCCGACGTGCGAGATGCAAATTCCGTGACGGCGCTCTGGGAGACGGTCAAGGAGAAGTTTGGGAGGGCGGATGTGTTGATCAATAATGCGGGGACGTTGAATGCGGGCACTGTTGCGGAGGAGGATGTTGATGAGTGGTGGCTTGATTTCGTGAGTTTCTTTTGTTTTTTTCTTCACGCCTTATTGTATCTAGAAGAAGACTTCCAAGATGTGAAAGCAGGAAAGCTGATCGAAGCAGGAAACCAACATCCGCGGCACCTTCCTCATATCACAAGGCTTCCTCAAGCTCCTAGGAAAAGAGAGCAAAGGAACGATTCTCAACCTCTCCAGCGCACTGGGCCTCGCTACCGTCCCAGGACTCTCAGCATACTCACTAACGAAACTGGTGGCCCACAAGATGCAAGCCTTCATCGCGGTCGAGAACCCGAATGTGGTGGCGATCGGCATGCATCCCGGGTTGATCAGGACGGATATTGTGACGGGGGATTTGATGCCGTTTGCGTTTGATACGTTTGATCTTGCGGGTGGGACGGCGGTGTGGCTAGCGACTGAGAAGGCCGCGTTCTTGAATGGGAAGTATGTTAATGTGAATTGGAGTGTGGAGGAGTTGGTGCAGAGGAAGGAGGAGATTGTGGGGCAGAAGAAATTGGATTTGGTTCTTAGTGGTGAGTTTGGTGAGCAGCAGTTTTTGTAGGTGGGCTTGTGAGGGACAAAATATGTGGCTGTGCATTTGCGGCTTTCGTTCTGTCTTTTCAGGATAATTTGGGTAGTGATTCTGAATATCTGAAATACATGAAATAATTGACTCAGTTCTTCTAAGTTGCTTCAGTTCAACGGTCCTGATTGTTCTAATGAGAGGAATAAACACTAGCGTTTTTTGAGGTTGTTAAAACATGAGAGAGTAACAAAACAAAGTACTCACTACTACTTCAGCTGTTCATCTCAAGATGGGATAACTTCGAATCATGTATTCTATTTGTGAATCGTGGCGGGCTATAAATCCAATGGTACACTACTCTAACAATGTAAGATAAGTCACTTGACAAAATGGCCTATCCCATCCCTTTAACGTTTTTACAGGTGTCGGTTAATGATGGCTGTGATTTAAGCCTTCACTGGGAGTTTCCTCCTCAACTTAATCGTCTGCGCATAAATGACGTCTTTGAAAGCAAACAAAAATGCGGCAGTAAGCACACTTTGGGTGACCTTTGGTCCAATACCTAAAGTGTATCATGATTAGCGCTACGCTCTACTTAGGAAAGAATTTGGCCTACCTTTATAAAACCCAACTAGCCCCTCCTCTCTTTTGATCCTCTTCATGCCATCAATCATGCTCTCTTTTCCTCCATCTCTCCCTGCCACGTGCATCCGACTCTTCACTGTAATATAAGGATATGTGATGCTGGTTGCGAATAACTTTCCGAATGCGCCTAACAAAAATGCAACCGTGGGTGTGATTCTCTTCTTCTTTTCCAAAGTGTTTTTCAACTGCTCAAAGATGGTATATTGCAAGATCGGGTTGGCAACCAAGACCAATGCTGGAAGGACCCCAGAAAAGAGAGCAAGTGGCCCTTCCTCTCTGATGAGGGCGAGTAATGTCCCCACGGTGGTAGGCTTGGCTTTTCCCAAGAGGCCATCAACCTCCTTGTTCTGCTTTCTTGTCGTCATGCGTGTGTTCACAACCCAAATGGGATTTGTCAAGAGAACCGTAGCACTCCCAGCAATAGCGCCGGCGATCATGCTCTCTACCGTCGTCAACTTCTTGCTTGCTCTGCCAGCTGTAATAGCCGCTTTCTCGAACCCCGCGCGGGTCCATTCGTACCAGTAATAGTAGACGAAATTGGTAACACTGATGCCAAAAAGTGCCGAATCCAACCCGGCATATAATCCTGTGACGCCTTCCCGGGCAATGATCTTTTTGACGGCATCGAGGAAGCCAGAGTCGGCGCGTGAGGATTCGACTTGGGCACGGGTGGAAAGAGTAATGAGAGGATATCTGAGTCGAGGTGTTAGCCAGATAGTTCATATTGTGGTGGGGTGAGGCGAGTGGGCAAGTTACGTTAATGCCATAGAGAGAATTCCTCCTCCTGCTCCACTGAGAGCATGTGCAACATTGTCCGACTGCTGGGCTGCTGTAGTAGTTGGTGGCATTGTGTCGTTCGAGCTGGTTGATCTGTTGTCTGCGAAGGTTTTTAGAATTCTGTGTAGTCAAAGTGAGGGTTAGATGTTGTTGCAGATGATGCTGTGTTGTCAGTCATTGAAGAAAAGAGAGTCGGGTCAGAAGCAAAAGTCGATGGCAGCGAGATCCCTTGCGCATGAAAGGCCTCCCGGTTTCCCCATGTTTGCCGAGGCTCGCGAGGTCAGCGTGAAATGACATGACATGCCTTCTACCCTTCTACCCCACATTCCATGATTAGGTACGAGTGCACGGGCCTCAAGCTGGCTTGTACTCTGGTAGCCGTAGATATGAGGCATCAAGGCAGCCAAGAGAATCCCCATCGCTTGTGACTTGAGTGACTCTATTCTTAGACCAAAGCTTCATGAAAATGGCCTCAATTAGCTACAATTCCATCCCCATCCGACTTCTTTCTACCTCGCTTCCTAACACTAACTCCGTATGTCTCCCAAACCCGATCTTGTATAAACCAAAACTTTGCATCTTTTTGTCTGGCGAGGGCTCGCTTTTCGAGGAGTCATTTTGGGGGGGTTTGCGCATTGTTTCAGCTGAATCCTTCGTTTTTTGAGCCCCAATTTGTCTTCAAAGGCGACGGTTTCCTATTTATACCTAACAAATGTATTTCCCTTTATATTGACTCTCTCTTGCTTCTTCTCCTATGGCTACGAAAGACTTATCTCGAATAAAATGCATCCCGCGTTACAGTTCCCGAACATCTTTGAAGAGCAGAGGCTTCGAATGCACATGCTGTATGCGCCAACTGAAAAGCTCGAGGTGCCCCAGCAGTCAATCCAATCCAAAGGAAATCTGACAAGTCCAATACAACAGTCGACACCTACTCGGCTTGTCTCCTCAACCCCAAAAACTGGCCCCTGTGAGAGCGTAAGAATGATGCTGCCTGGTACGGAGGTTACCGACGAGAATTTTGACGATGCATATGTGAACTTCATATTTCACTGCAACCCATCGGTTTCAGCAGATACAGATTCCACCGAACTGCGAAAAGTATTCCGAGCCCCTCCGAAAAGCGATGGCAAGTCTTTCAGCACATTTACCCTCTATGAATTGATTGGAAGACTGGAACGAAAGGAACTCAAGACTTGGGCTCAGCTTGCGATAGAAATGGGAGTAGAGCAACCTGTGCTGGAAAAGGGGCAGAGTGCTCAAAAGGTACAGCAGTATGCAGTGCGGCTTAAGGTAAGGATCAATTCTCTTTATTGCAAGAGATCAGATCTTCATTCCTGGTTCCTATTGTATGTTTGCTCTCCCACCTTGAGCCAGACACTTCCGAAATTAATGCACTTGATCATCAACTAACAAGAAGTCATAGCGTTGGATGCACGCAATGCACGTGGATGCTTTCTTCGAGTATCTTTTGGGCAAACCTCATGTGTATTGGACTCAAGTTCCATCACCCAATAGCCTCAACGTGGAGGGTCGAGATGGAGTACCCGCCGAGGAGGATTTAGCACTGCGTGCATTATTGCCAGAGACAAGGCCAAAACGTGGTCGAAGAAAAGCCGAAGATAGAGACAATGAAAGTGACGCGGGAAAGTCGCCAGCTCAACGCCCTCGAATAGAGGCATCACCTACTTTATCCGAAGATTTCTTGATTGCGAGAGCTTCATTGATTGGAGATAACGCAACTCCAGCATCAGCACATCCAGGATTCTCCCAGAACTTTACAGAGAGGATGGCACCTTGGTCTGCAACAGGTACTCTGCCGCCAAACTTTCGTTGGAATGGTTCCGATAACATCCAGACTCCATTATCAGCATACCCGCAATCTGCTATTACTCCTAGTAATCGTCTGATGTGGGATGGTGCAGATGAGCCCCAATCCGCCATCACCCGTAAAAGCAGATCAAGGAGAAGGCATGGTCCGGCAGTTTCCTCAGCTTGGCCAAGTAGTGGTGGAAAATCCGCTGGAAAACTGAGAGGAAGACCTTCAAGTAATCGATCGGTGCAGGATGGTCCCTTTTCGACCTTTCCTGCAAATCCCGCTTCCCGAGACGTTCCAACCATCAATCTCCACGATAATACCCCAACAGCCACGCCTGTGGTTGACAGGTCGGAAGTTCCTCAATTCTTTCCTCCGGCTCCAGCGGCAAACAACCAATCAATGAATAATGGAAGACCAAGTCGACTGCAACTTCAAGTTCCCCAAAGACAAGGCGGCCCAGTAAGATTGGCAACACCGCCTCCCCCTGGACCGCCCCCTCCGGTCGTACTTCTAAACGGAGAGGACAGTCCAAATCTTCAAAATGACCAAATACCAATTTCACGCCAAGCACCATTAATGGAATATTTCAACTCTCCTGAAAATGATGATCCCAATTTCCAACAATTCGTTAGCATTGAATTCACACAGAATGATGACACAGACCGTACAAATATGGATGCTTTGGAAAGCCATTTTATTTGCGAAATCCTCGCTGCAGATTGGTATGACGCTTCTGGCGCCAGCATCGAGAAATGTAGTGTTGATGAAGCAGATAAGATTTGCAAAGAGGTTGTCAAAAACCTCCAGGCTGGATCGAGTAGTACGGAGGCTTTTTTGATCAACTTGTCAGCACTGGCGGGAGGACCTTTGATGACAAGGTTGAAAATGACCCGCCTTGAGCAGGGAACTGTGGCTCATTATGAGTGTCAATGGAAAATGAAATTTGGATCTATCGAAGGTAGTTTTACTATCCAAGCTATCATTCATCACGGGGCAGAGTCAGCTGCTCTGGAACACGGACCTGAGCCGACAGAGGAGTCTTGGAAGAAGATGTATCTTGATCTCCGACAGCAGATTCGGGAACGAGACGAGAAGCTCGGGAAGCTCAAGAGGGGTGTATTGGACACGCTAGTTGAGTTGAGTTGAGTTGGTTCAAGGAGCAATTTCCGGTCAATGGAATACTGCACTTTGGTGTCTCAAGCTTCCACCTCTCATCGATTATCGGTGTGCATTGGGGTAAGCGCTTATGGCACTTGCATCAAACTCGATCCAATCGCATCCTCATAGTGCCACGGAAATAATAAATTCAACGGGCTTAACGATCTTGCATTTCCAAATCTGACAGGAGTCCGGGACTTGAAACCTGAAGTTGGTGCCTGGTTATGGCTGGAATACTGGTTCAACTCTTGGTTCGTTTTCTCCTGGCCTGACCCTCGAACAACTAGAAGTGCAAGAATCTGCCAGTTCTGCCGGTTCTACAGCAGCTGGGTAGAAAGGAGATGCACGTAGCCTACACTGCAATACTGTTCCAATGGAGCCTTGAAACTGGACCTTAGGCGCGATACACAGCCACATTTTCCGTCAATTATCGTAGGCTTAGTTTCCATGAGCCTCATTGTCTCTTAGCATTCCGTAAAGAAAACTCTTGTGGGTATTGTACGGATACGCATAGCACAATTTCAGCCGCAATTATTAGGTCTCGCTGTTTTCCTATCTCAGCATACATAAGATTTTCTTGGACAGTCAACGCATTTCCTGCTGCTTTTGCTCTATAGGAGAGCTGTATGCGGGGTTCCATCATAGGGGCCCAGGTCGGAAAATGGTTGAATGCGGGGAAATATACTGGACATGGATGAGGTCGACTCTTTTCGTTCCCCGGTGTTGTGAGACAAACTGACAAGGCAGCTTCTTGCTTCCCCGCTGTGCCTAGTCATAATGTGTAGTGTATAAGAGACTACCATTAGCTCTGCAGCAAAGACATTCCACCTTCAGCGACCCCTTCTTTGGGAGTCTTGCAGCGTCAGAGGCTCCTATTGTCCACTTCGCACCGCGGAGATGACGGGAGAACCCCAGCGCGGGCCAAGAAGAGGGCCAAGGAGGACCCCGCTATTATGGATTATGTCCGGACTCTGAAGCTTCCCAGGATCGCATCGCACATTTCAGATGGGCATGGGTCACGTACTCGGTATCGATTGTCAGCCGTGAGACTCAAATACGGTGTCGATACTCGTACACCTAAAGACTTCATGAATGATCCAGAAGTTCAAATGTGTTGTGGCTCCTATGATCCTCCTCGCTAATTCAATGGACCAACAGTATTTCACTATTCTCTATTCCAGCAACGGGGTAGGAGTCCTGCATACGGATGTAAATGGGGCGTCGAGCCCCTGATTGGGAATGTCAGGAAGTTACAGCTGCAGAGTTGTTTTGTGACACCATAAGCAAGATATATCGTTCGTACAGCCGCACGACCAGCAATCGTACAGAAAGATCCTGACTCTCCCCAGCCTTAAGCTTTCAGTGTTCTTGGTAAAAGGCAAGCAGGCCCACCCCACTTTATGAGTTCATTTCCCCGTCAAACTATCCCAGTCTCCGAACTAAATTGGCATCGCTGATTGCGGATGGCTCCTGTCGACAATGGAAGGCTCATATTCGCATGATGAGACAGCTATGCCGTATGTGTATGGCCATCTACCTTGAGAACAACCACTAATTGTCCGCAGAGACAACTCTCGATACGAGGGCTATGGAAGGGACGATACAATAGAGTCCATCCCGCGACAGGTTAACCTGAACACCGATCTCGAAGCCAAGTTTGTACCTCCCCACCTCCTACGTCCAAACAACCCACTGACTGAAGAGCTTCTCAGAATCCAGAATCCTCTAGCCGGCCTTTCAGACGAGAACCTACTAAGACAAGTCGAAGAATTCGCCAGATCCAAAGATTTAACGAACATATTACCATTACTGAAAAAAGGTGCCTTGGTAGCACGCGACCCGACCAATTATGAGGATATTGCCGGAGAGCATGCATTGAAGGAGGACGAGGTAGAGGCATTGACTGACGAGGTTCTGCACAAGTGGAGACAACCGAGGGCGCTATTTTCTACAATTCTATGTTGTTCTATAGGAGCAGCGGTCCAGGGATGGGATCAGACGGGTACGTGTTTCCGGATACACATGGAATCTTTGGCACAGGATTTGGGCAGAGTAAAGAAATGAATCGGTTCATCTCAAGCGAGAGGGGTGTGGAAAGGGGGTGTGGGCCCGACCATTTCTCAACATTGGTGTTGTGCAACCAGGACGAGTCATATTCCATCATCGAAGCATGCACTTACAATTTCTCCAGGATCTAATGGTGCAAACCTCGCGTTTCCAGAGTATTTTAAGATCGACAAGGACACGATCCACGACCAAATAATCCAAGGACTTATCAATGCAGCGCCATATATTGGTTCAGCGTTGTTCGGATGTTGGCTATCTGACCCACTGAACTCCTACTTCGGTCGACGAGGCACGATTTTTGTTTCTGGGCATATATGTTTATGGACTGTCGTAGGGTCCGCGTTTACGCAGACTTGGGAGCAGTTGCTTATTTGTCGGATTCTTTTGGGATTGGGGATGGGCGCAAAAGCCAGTACTGTAAGAACGAAATCTCATACGTCTGCCGCTTGAAGAGGGTTTCCACCGGAAGAATGAGGCTTTTCGCTTGCATCGCCCTTTCAGATTTTAGGGGCCGCCAAAGGATCATACTAAAGTGAATAAATTGGCATGTAGGTCCCGATTTTTGCGGCGGAAAACTCGCCAGCTGCAATAAGAGGCGCTCGTAAGTTTCTGTCCTTTCTCATACATGCCGAAAACAAAAACAAAGGCTAATCGAATCTCAAAGTTGTAATGAGTTGGCAATTGTGGACAGGTATTTTTCAAATCTACTTCAAGAACGTCAACCATGGCTAAACAATTACGAACAGCCTTCGGAATGTTCCTCGGTTTTTGCGCAAACCTAGCCGTCCTTCGCACTGGAGATATTGCCTGGCGTCTTCAATTAGGTTCAGCTTTTATCCCTGCTGTTCCCCTCATAATATCAGTCTACTTCAGTCCCGAATCCCCACGTTGGTACATGAAAAAGGGAGAATACCACCGAGCCTTTAAATCTCTCCTTCGTTTACGGAATAATCCTATCCAAGCCGCGAGAGACTTGTACTATATCCACACTCAGCTTGCATTAGAGGCAGAGATCTTTAAGAATAGTACTCCTTACATGTCGAGATTTATCGAGTTGTTTACGATTCCGAGATTGAGGAGAGCTACCTTGGCAGCATTTACTGTTATGATGGCTCAGCAAATGGTTGGTGGCCTTTCTATACTTCCCATATAAAGATTTGGGAGTTTCTTGCTAACAGAACTAGTGTGGAATCAACATAATTTCATTCTATTCTTCCACGGTATTCATAGATTCAGGCGCCTCTCCCTTGAAAGCATTAGTGGCCAGCTTCGGCTTCGGATTAGTGAATTTCTTATTCACTTGGCCCGCCGTTTGGACGATAGATACCTATGGACGACGAAGTCTCTTGTTATTTACGTTCCCTAATATGGCTTGGAGTATGTTGGCCATTGGACTCTGCTCGCTTATTGATCCAAAGAGCGATGCTCATCTTGGACTCATGGCTTTTTTTATCTATGTTTTTACAGCTTTTTATAGTCCTGGAGAGGTGAGCTAACTCATGATTTGAACTTGCATTTCTCGACCTGTCCAAGGAGACATGCTGACATGAACTTTTATCATTAGGGCCCAGTACCCTTCACGTACTCAGCAGAAGTCTTCCCCCTGTCCCACAGAGAGGTAGGGATGAGTTGGAGTGTAGCCGTAAACCTAATGTTCGCCGCAATTCTCAGCATATTATTACCAATGATGAAAGATAGAATGCACATAGTAGTATGTTTACTCTTCCCCTTCCCCTTCCGTCGCGCCCAACCCTCTCTTAATACATCTTCTATACCGTATATACAAAGACCCACTCACACAAACTTCAGGGAGCATTCTCCTTCTACGCAGGTCTCAACATCGTAGCCTTCATCATGATCTTTCTCTGGGTCCCCGAGACCAAACAGCGCACACTCGAAGAACTAGACTACGTCTTCGCCGTCCCAACACGGACATTCATGCGCTACCAAGTCACCGAGGCCTTACCGTGTGTCCCATCTTCTCCTTCCTTCCCCCACCACCATGTCCCCCTTTCATTTTCATCCATTCCCTCTCTCCACCACCAAAAACAGTATCAGCACAAAGCATCTCATCACAACATCAACTAACCAACCCTCTGCAAAAAAGATGGTGGACCAAACGCTACATCCTCCTACGCCGCGATACCCCGACCCTAAAACCCCTCTACTACTTAGACGTCCCGACCCTCAATTTGACGACACAGGAACTGTACAACTACCAACATCAACGGAAGGACTCGAGTCCTGCATCTAGGAAACCTTGATGTGGCGTGTATCTTTTGTGTTTGATTTGATTTGATTAGATATCATTATATATTTCTATATGCTATATTTATTTCTTAGTGTTTGGATTTCCTCCTTTCTGGGGTTTTAGCGGGGTTGGGAGTTTATCTCTTGAGGGGAAAAGGGGGAAGGGAAATGGGATTGGAATGGGGTTAGGATTAGGTTCTGGATTGGGAAACAGGATTGGGATTGTAAATAAATCAAATAAGATAAATAATTGGAATGAATATAATGGAAATCATGGAATGAAATGAGTTCAAGCTTCCCGGTAAGATCTTATAGCAGTATTTGATGATACTATAAGATACTTGTTATACTACTCCTACACACCATAAACCATCCAAACCATCCAAACCATCCAAACCATCCAAACCATCCAAACCATCCAAACCATCCAAACCATCCAAACCATCCAAATCATCCAAATCCAACTACCAACCTACTCCCTTTTCACTTTCCCTCTTTATCCTATACCACACCACACAACATACTCTATCAACATCCCCCCCCCTTCCCCCCACATCAACCAATTCCAAACCAAGTTTTCCCACTTATACAAATGTACTTATTTAGTAGGTACTCGAGTAGATATATTTATCAATCTTATAGTATTAGAATGTGTTTAGATTCTGTAAGTGTAAGTGTAAGATACAGAGTATACATACCACGTTTCGTATATTGTGTACCTATATAAGAGCTAGTGGTAGTATGGATGTAGGTGGCTTTTACAAACACTTCTAACTACCTACTCACCCAAACAGCATCCAATACCTTTACCCCACCATCAACAAATACTAATCTTACAGTAAGCAAGACGGCGACCGGCGAGCGCAAGTTGAAACCCCCCGGGGGTTCGCCAATTACAAGTTAATAATATCAATATCGGCCTTTGAAGAGGGTGTTACATTGTATATCATCTCTATCAAGATACAGAGCTCCCAAAATATACTAGCGACAAGCGAGCCCGAGTCTCGAGATGAAGATTCGTCAGCAAATCATGAATAGCCAGGCTATGTTACTATACATGTCCACAAACGCCCAACCATATCCTTCTACAGTAGTGTAGTGTATTTAGACCTGGATTCCCAAATCTTTGGCGATGATAGTGGCCGCCTTCTCTCCCACAGCCAGTGCGGTCTGCGATAGTGATAGTCAGAACACATCTGGACTAGAATAGATTGGTAAAGNGGGGGGGGAAGACTCACATTATTCGTGTTGGCCCCAACATTCTCTGGCATCATGCTCAGATCTACAACCTTCAGTCCCTTGGTCCCATAAACATTCAAATCACCATCAACCACACCTCCCTTTTCCCTCGCTCTCATAGCGCAGGTTCCGACGGAATGCCAAGTCGTGTTGACGTTACCGCGGACCCAGTCCTCAATCGCAGCATCGTCTTCTTTTCTATACTCAAGTTTGGGTGAGTCAATCGCAAACGCTGATACATCTCCGGTGGGAATACCAGCTTTGGAGCCTTTTTTGAACTTGGGATGTCCAAGTTCGACTTCGCCTTTGTAGTATGGAAATCGTCTTACGATCTCTCGGCTCATCTTGTATGCCCAGACTAGCTTCTTGACATCAGAAGGATGCCTTAGATAACCTGCATCGAAATCGTAGCCATTGATCACGTCTTCTTTTGATGTGATGTGGATGGAACCTCGAGAGTAAGGATATGCCGTGTACGTTCCGAGAGATATATATTGGCCGGGTTCAACAAGTGATGGATCAGCTAAGAAAGCGTTAACGCTCCCAACAAGCATCAAAGGTTTGCTAGGGAAAGGTTTAAAGTCACGATCCCAATCTTGCTGAAATTCCGGTCCCAGAGCAGCGATCTCCTCGTCTGTTGGTCTGAGTTTTCCCGCAAAGTCTGGTTCCAAATGTCAGAAAGCAATCTAGGCCAGGGAAGAGTTTCTCACCAATTCCATTCCATCCAATCATAGGGTCCTTGGTTTCAAGTGCTGCGGCAAGTTCCTTGCGTCCGCTTAAGAATCCATCAAGTGTTTGTCCCTCATCTGTTGACTAAATTAGCGAGGGAGTGGGTGTCCGGCTAAGGTGTTGGCTGACCCATATTTGTCTTGTAGGGATACATTATAAGATTGTGATCTTGGTATTCCTCTCCAACTCCTGGGAGATCGACAACGACTGGTATGTCAAGCTTCTTCAGAATTTCCGGATTTCCGATCCCCGATCTCTCAAGGATTTGTGGTGTACCAAGAGCACCTGAGGAGACGACTACCAATTTCTTTGCTTTGATGGTTTTGTGAACTGGTTTTGATAAACCAATTTCTGGTTGAGCTTTCGGATTCGACTTATACTCAACTCCAATCGCCTTTGGAGGAGATGATTCATCGAAAAGTACTTTGACGACTTTTGATTCAAGCAGGATATGAAGATTGGGGTAGTTTCCTGATTGAAGAAGAGGATGGATATATCGATGAGCTGCATCCTGTCGTTTACCTTTTTTTGCATTAGTATACAATTCCTCGTTGGACAGAGGATTCGTAGGAGTGATCGTGGTTTAGACTTTGAGATACATACCATCGGGACTGACATAACGATGCCATCTCTATTCTCATTAGTAACTCGTCTAAGCTTTTCAAACAACGCAAAGACAATAAACATACCGCAAAGCCCCCATTAGATTCCAGATCCTGAAGATCGTCTATCTCTTTATACCCCATTTTCTTAATCGTCTCTATCAACCCATCCTCACCGATCTTGCCTCTATAACCACCATCGCCAACACTCACCGGGCCATCGTATCCATGTTTGCTCTTATCATATTTCTCGCCAGTGGGATGAAAAGTCTCCAGCTTCTTGCACATAGCCAACATATCCTTGGCCGTCCAACCAGGTGTGTCCCAAGAGTCGAAGTCAATTCCCTGAGCACGGGTATACATCATGAAATTGATGCTACTTCCGCCCCCAAGAAGACCGCCTGTGGGGACGATTGCCTCTCGGCCATTGAGAAAGTTGGAAGCTTTGGATTTGTAGAACTACGAGGAGGGAATTCGTTAATCCTCTTCTGTTACAGGCTGGAGACTTCAAAACTTACAATGGCAGTCTTGCTATCAGGCGCCAAGTTGCTCAGATAGATAGCAGGGTTGACGATCTGAGGCTCGTTGAAGTTATTCTGTCCACCTTCAACCAGAAGAATCTTCAGTTCCGGATTCGCCTTTGCTAGTCTGCCAGCTGCTACGCATGCAGCGGCCCCGCCACCGGCGAAGATGATATCGACATCGCCAACGGCATCATTGTAGGTCGACATTGTGTCTCTATGTGGTGCTGCGTGACTTGTGTTTGTTTGATAGTCACCTCACAATGGAATGACTTGAGAGAAACAGAACCCTCGAGGTTGAGATAGGCAGTGTTTCAGCTCCACGGTTGGATGGAAGTTGCGTGTCAAGGGAAGGCACGTCTTTATAAAACTGCTAGCGCTCTTGCCACCCATATGTATGGCCAGATCAACGGGAGACAGGATACAGGTACTCGACGGGAAGCCACGCGTGACCATCTCACACTAGATCGGAAGACGGTAAGGTAAGACTTACAGGTACCTTACTCAGCGAGCTCCCGCTGTGAAAGTCCGAGTGGGTGAGTGAAACAGTCCAGTCAGCCATTCTTATAGGTAGGTACCTATAGGTATGGGTAGTACAGTCATGGTACAAGTACCCTACTACCCCTCTCCTTCCCGCATGTCCACCCGAAAGGTAGGTTTGGGAAATAGGTAGGTTTGGTATTTCCCGAAGCGGAAACAAGCAGCAAGCACAAGCACAGACATAAGCATAAGCTTCTTGTCAATACATTAGCCTTCACACCACATGCACCATCTTTCCCAGATCCCTTCAGCTCACCCACAACCACACGCCCCCCCTCCAACCATCCCATAGATACTTGCAAAACCAAAAAAAGGCCTACTTACAACAGAAGCTTACCTTACACCACCACCCTCACCATTTTCGGCCCTCGGGACAACCCGCAGATATGTTACTCAGCAACCTTAATAATATGCCAACATGCACATGACCCGACATGTGTCTTGTATCACCTTTTCTTTTCATCTCCCAGTGTACTCGAGTAAGAGTAACAGGAACAGGATACGAGGATTGCCACCATTTCCCCTCCCCTCACGAGCTCCGAGGCACGAGTAGGGAGGAAGGAAGGCAGGAAGGAAAATGGCATCCTTGAGGCTTACTAGATTGCGGGGTATGATCGCGAGGTAGCTTGATTTACTGGACCATGCGGAAAGGCTTCCGCTATAGGCTAGCCACATCATGGTTCAACGGCTTCGACTGTTATACAGAATTCCTTTTCTAAAATTAGGCTAACATAAATAAATCCATAGATGCTAACCTTTCAGAGATAACGGTGGCTTCAAATATCCCAATCTTGTGTTAATCAATATCATATAGAAGTGGTCAAGCACATCACTTCATCAGACGTGAAAAAGGCAGTGGAAAATCAAAGTCCTTTTATTTCGCTAACCTATCGCAAAGCTAGTGTACAAAGTGTCTGATGAGGCCAAGTGGTGCCTCGCCTTCCTAACTCCCTCAACTTCTATTGACAAATACCGCCCATCTAGTACGCACTAGCTCTCAAACATAACACCCAGGCTTGCCGAGAGTCTGAAATGAGGGGTAAGGGAAGCGAAGGCTGATCCGAATCTGTATCAATTCCGACAAGACAAGGCATCGAAGAAACGTGAAAGGAAACGCCAGAATGAAAAAGAAAGTCGGAAGAATAAACAAAAGAGCATCCTCCAGTTGAACCCAACGCCAGAGTCTGGGTGCTCGGATTGTAAAATCGAAGAATAACCCATGCGCCGAAATGCGCCATCATTCCCTTCATCCACTATTAATACACAAGCAACAGATCGCCCAAACTACCCACAGCCAACCCATTGTGGATCCATGTCATTATATCGCCCCCAAAACACACTGCCGATGGAATCACCTACCCCTGGCTCCATGCCAAACGCCGTACATTTTGTTCTTCAGCTACTGGGCGCAGATCGCTCAACTCGAATCAGCGCGAGCCTTTTTTAGATCCCGCAACATTTTTTCCACGATCGAGCACGAGTCTGGGGGTACATCTGCCGGCTCACAAGCTGGCTGAGCATTGAGGTGCTGCTCAGAGGATGTCATCTGCGTATCAGGTCGTTGAAAGCTTTGCTGATGCTGGTAGGTTGACTTCTGAACCTCTGATTGCCGTTGGATTTGATATTGACGGGGCGGGGGAAGAATCGGGGTAGTGTGAGAAGGTGCGGGTGGATGAAAGGAACCTGCCTGGGTATTCTTCATGGCTGGTTGAAATAAAGAAGAATTAGTATTTGGAAGTGATTGCCGGAAGTTGGAGAGAAGCGGTGGAATGACTGGTGACGCCTGCATCTGAGATGTAGTATTTCTTTCATAATTACTCGATGTAGCTGCGTAATTGGCCTGCGAATAGCTAGGCTGCGGGTGATTTGTTGAGATGCCGGTAGTGTGTTGTGCATGTCCGTAGGGCGGATTTGAGGCGGGTGCTGTGGTGTATGCCGATGGAGATTGTGTAGCTTGCGGTTTTGCCGTAGCGCTCTGATGCATCGAAAAGCTAGCCTGTGGCTGAGAGGAGGTCTGATAAGAAGTCGATGGGTTATGGTAGCCTGCTGAAGATTGTTGTCTTGGATGTTCCGCTACTGGGACTGCAGCTGTTGACGTTACCCCTTGAGCTTTGCCGGAATAATCAAACGAGGGCGCATATGAAACCTGAGGAGATTGGTGATTCTGCGAGGCCTCAGCTACAGGTCTACTGTACTGCTGTGGGTGCGATGCCGAGAGAGACACAGGCTTATTGTACGTAGGCTGCGGGACCACTTGGTTTTGCGGGGTCGAGGGCGCGGCATAACCATTGTGTGGAGCAGTATATGTCTGGCTCGCATAAGAAGTCGATGGATATGGTGGCCGTTCGTATAAAGGTGGTGGCTGAAGGACAGAACTTCGGGATTGAGTAGGCGAAGGCTGGGGCAGAGGGTTGGTTTGCTTATTGAGAATGGTATGGAGGAACTCTCGCCGAATAGCAGGATGTAATTGGCTTGAATCCTTCTTCTTCTCCCATGTCTTGGGCGGAATAACTGAGGCACCAGAATTGTCCATCGGGGGCTTAACTGAAGGAGACGCAGAGTAAGGAGTTGCGGGAGAAGCGCCATAAGAGTCCAGCGAAGGTGATTGCGAGGAGTTGAGTGAAGGGCTCGGTTTATGGGAAGTGCCGTTGTATGAAGATGACATGTTATATGATGGCGTGGCGTTTGATTGTGAAGTGCTTACGCCAGGACGGTTTCCAGTAAACAAAGTCGCCTTCGTGTATTCCATAAGGTCACCTTGGTAACCATTCATGAAGCCACCGCCAGGTCTGTATGGGCTCTTGTAATCCGACGGGGATCTATTGTGCTCCTTTTGTAGATAGTAGTACTTTTGAAAGACGTTACTGGGTCTCTGGGGCTGCGGTCTATTTCCAAATGGATTATTTGGCTTCGACGTTGCCATGGGAGGCGTAGATCGATACTGTGTTGGCGCAGTAGAGTGAACCTTAGATGCTTGCTGTTGTACAACAGGACTTTGCTTGGGCGTTGGTGAATACTGAACCGCAGCACCATGCTGGGAGTCAGGTCTATGCTGCACTGCAGAGGTGGCTTGGGCAGAATTATAGCTAGCCGCGGTGGCATACTGAGCTGTTGAAGAGTACAGGTTTGGCGTCATTGAACTCTGCGTATTTCGATATTGAGGGGGTGCAACAGAAACTTGAGAGATCTGAGGTAGATGACCGGTAGAGTTTGCATTGGCTTTGAAGGGTGTTGGTGAAGATGATTGTTTAGATGGCTGGGTAGATGAGGCCCATCGAGGATCTGTACCAAAGCTGTATTGGGGTACAGAACGTTGGAGAAAGTCCTTCTGGGCACGGTAAGCTTGTGCATCCACACCATAAGTCTCATGACGAGGCTGTTCGCGAGGCTTGTATACGTATGGCTTTTCCAGTCGATCAGTCTTTGCAGGTAGTACTTTGGCGGGTGGTCTGATAGGAGTTGGTGTACTGTTTTTGGCATTCGACGGATATGAAGCAGCGTAAGATTGTCTCGGTGCCGCGATGACCGGCTTTGGTATGGTATCCAAGAAGTTGCCCTTCGTGTTGTGACGGGGTATGCGTGGATCTTCGGTGTACTGTGCTCTAGCTTCGGTCGATGTCTTGCCGAGATAGAACCAGATCTGGGTTTCCTTGGTAAAGTCAATTTTGACTTGGTAGGGATTGAGATTGATCTTTTCGTGGTTGAATTCAGCCCATGTATGACCTTCAACAAATGGGTCTTCCGCTCTCGGAATATCATCTGCCTGGCGTTTACTCGTGTTGAGAGACGCTTTATCCTTACGTGATTTCGGCATCGGGAGAGCGTTGGGTGAAGGTTTAGGAAGATGATAGTCCGCAGGATCTGGTATGAGAAGCCACTTGTACTCAACTTCGACGCGGTCACTGATATACGTTAGCAAAGAAAATGCGGTGTGATTTCCAGAATTTACCCTCGTGGAAGAATATCGAGTAGAATAACTTCCTCGTCTTTGCAGTTCTCAACAACCACTCCAGCAAAAATGTCACCCTTCAAGTACTGCGCCTGGCATACTTCGCCAACCTTGATTTCGGTACCTGCCTTTCGCAAACGCTCACAATCCGATAGAGTATCGCTGTCAAGCTTCTTTTCTCGCTTGACACGGTGGAAACGACAACTGAACTCGATACCCCACTCCTTATACTCAGTGCCATCCTCACCAAATACTGGTATCTCACCCTGTTCAACGAGAACACCAGCTGCGGCTGCACAAGTTGCATGGTAGGCTCTGGTACATTTCTTTCGTGAACATTGAAAGCAGGCCCCTTTCTTGGAGCGGCAATAATTACACTTCAATTCGAGTCTTCCTTTGGCAATATATTTGATGTCCATGGCCTTTCCTTCGTCGATAGAAGTCTCTGGAATGTACTGAGCACAGATTTGATGAGCGTGCTGGCCATCTTCGGTGGGCAACAATGCCTCAGATGGTATATCGTTTGGACAGAGTACACATGGTTCATGTGTTGTTGCCTTGATTCGGATTTTAACCCTCTTAATGTTGCTGTCGCCACCCTTCTCGTTTGTGGCTCGCTTTCTCTTCTTTTTCTCTGATTTAGTCTTTAGCCCACCAGTGCTTAATGGCGGAGTGGCGAGAGTAGAATTATCGTTTTCGTTCTCTTCTTCCTCATCTTCTTCTTCCTCGTCGGTTTCTTCATATTCGGTTTCTTCGCCTCTCAGCTTGCGTTCAAGTTCGTGCACGTTGATCCAGACACTATCCTGTGCTTGGTCGCAATCACATTTCTTCGCTACACGACCATACTCGAGCCATGACTCCAGTCCAAAGTTAACAGCCTCAGCACAATTGTAGCCAAGATTGTAACCTGAGTGGTAACCATATGGAAATGTAATGACAAACTCGCCAGGATAAGCTACAATCTTGTTGACCTTAATATTGTAATTTTGTAAAAGAGCCGATGGTGAGATCAAAAAGGTCTTGTGTCGTAGAAACTGGTCGCAGGCTTTGGCATCCGTTGGCCAAATAGTCTTCATCGCGGCCTCGAATCTTCGCGCATCTCCCTGGGCAATGGCATACCATTGCTTTGGTGCACCAAAGTGCACATAGTTGATACTGTAGAGATCCACGTCCTCCAGATGCCATGCGAAAGTGGCCTTCCACATTCCCAAGTAGAGATATGCGGTGTTTACACCAGGAATCTTAGAGCCCATAACATCGAGTATGTTATCTAGCTTACCTAGATTCCAACTCGTGGTTTTGTCATCAAAGAGAGTTCCAGGCATATCTGCGCCGTACAATGGTGGAGCGTATGTTAGAGTTTTCCAGTAAGCTCGCTCAAGTTCTTCGCATCGCTCTGGGGTAAACTCGTTGCCTTCCAATTCGTATTTGAAGTCTTTAAATGCTGCCTCATCAATCTTTCCTTCTCTCTCTCTACGATTATTCTTGCGTCGAGATGAGACAGAGACTGTCGTTGGCTTTGCCTGTCGAGAACCCAAGCGTGGCTTTTCGGGAGTTTCTATATCATCATCTGGTTCCAACTTGACGGCTTCGGTATTGTCATCTGGTTTAGCAGAGGGCGAAACCGGTGTTGGTAGTCGATCGGGTGTGCTTTGGCCAGCATCATCAGTCTCGACGGTCACTGCACGGGCGGCCGCTGATTTTGATGGACGTCCGCGACCACGTTTGCCTGCTGGAGCTGAGCCATTTCCGTTGCTCGACGGTTTTGTTCTAGGAGTCGAGCGGGTAACGGGTTTGTCTTGGTTTGCTCTTCTTTCTCCTCTTTTCGCGGGTGGTTGATGGTCGCTTTGCTCGCACAATTGGCGCCATTGTGGAAGGTTATAAGATCGCTGGTGTATCATGTTGGCTTGTCGATAAGTGCCGCCTGTACCCATAATATCCTGCTTGATTGGCTCCTTGACCTTGATTGTCCTCACAGCTTCATCGAGTCGAGGTTGGGCGGCTTTCCATTCAGCGGGAGGGATAACTTTGACGATACCCGACCTCATACCGTAGGGATTAACCTTATTCATCTATATCATGGTCAATTCAAGATGTCCAGCACATGTTGGAGGCTGCTGCAGGCGAACGTACATATATGGTAAAGTCTTTGAATTGATGCATGGTAGGTTCAAAGACAGGTACGCCATCATTGGAATAGTATGCAGGTACTATTTCGCCAATGTCGTCCTCGTCCGTTGGTTGTGCCGGCTGCTCAGGCTGTTCCTCCTCGAGGTCGGAAAGCTCGCTGTCGCTAGCATCTTTGGTGTTGGAATCAGGAGGAGAGTGCAGTCCATTCACCTCCACCGCAGGACCCGGCGCTGGGCCTGCCACCATTGTCTCAGCAGACATCTTGATGTAGCATGCGATCGAGTCGCGATGGATGTTTTGTTTGATTGTTCTTGTGGTCGGCGGTAATTACGAGAGGTGCGAGGGTTAGGTTGGGGCGGGGGCGATGTTTGGCGTTGGTCGGAGGGAATGCGCAGCGAGCCAACGGGTGCGCCCGCAGGTGAAATCGAGAGACGCGAGATTGATGATCGGTCGCTCGCAATGCTGGCGAGTGCTCGAGTGCTCGAGTGCTCGAGTGCTCCAAAATGCTGGTGGTGGTGGTGGTGCAGGAGTAGTGATGTCGATGTTTGGTGGGAATGAAGTACTTGATTCTCGGGCTAACCTGTGCTGTGGTGCAGGCAGGCCTAAGCCATACCTAGTTTGGACGGTACCAAGTACGGGTTGCGGTAAAGCGAGCACGGCTCCGTAGAATGGTCCGACATTTTTGGCGGGATACCACCAATAGGTACTCTCCGCATGTGCATGTGCCGCACATACTCGTACTCATCCACATCCACATCCACTTCTCCATTGCAAAATTATATCTTCAAGATTGCAATGCGCCCTTCTCACCAAGATCCGATCAGTCGTGCGCGCTTCGAATTTCTCGCCTCTTGCCGTATACGTATGGGCACCAATTGAAACTCCACAAGTTGTCTCACGCCGACGTGTTCGCGCCACTCCCGCAGCGTGATGCTGAAACATCGGGAATGCTCCTGGAGAAAAAAGTATATCTTCCAGATGAGGCTCTGCTGCTCCTTGCAAAAATCGGGGTCGTGCGGGAGGTGGAAGGGGCAGGGCAAGGCTTCGCAATCGACAGCACTCGTGCATAGGGGTACAGTAGGTACGAGTTGCGCATCGCCATTGGAGCACAACACAACACCCCTTTTAAGGCTGAATCGAATCGTGTCTTCTACAGTCCGGAGTACCTGCTGCTACAAGATCTAAGCCATGATCACTTGGTAAATGGTTGTTCTGTAGTGATCCTCCTTCACACGCGCTTCAATATTCATGAACCGCTTTCTGGTTCATCCGTTTTCAATGTTCCGTTGCCATTCCTTCATTTGTACCTGAAGTCCGGTGGATTCAAGATATCATCACACGTATCGAAGTGCAAAGACTTTCCGAGCCGGTCTTCCAGCACCTTGCAGGTTGGCGTCTCCACGAGCCTTTCAGAGTAGATGAGCTGGCTATTCGCTGCTTCTTCTTCCTCTTCCTCTCAAACCTCTCCCCGACCCCCATCCATCCATACACCTCAAACTTCTCAAAAGAAGTACGTTGAAATAAGCTTTGCCGCATGTAGTCAAGGGGCGATGTCTGAACCTCGAGAAAATGGTCCTCTGTGGGGTTGCTCCGCTTGCAGATCCGAGATCCCATCAGATAAGATGCACGTCCCAGAAGGCGATGGTTTGTGTCCCACTAGAACTCAGAGCTAGCAAGCAGCTGTCAGATGACGGTGACATAAGCTTCAAATTAGAAGTCCGAGGACAGGGAGAGGGTCCTGGTCCATGAACGATATCACTCGTTTAGCCTGTTCAGATTCCACCACACCGCTAGTGCGTTGAGAATGCCAAAGGCTACGGATGCTAAACAATAGTCAGGCCAAGCGGGATCACAACGAGCGAATGAAGTTGAATTCGGTGTCACCGACGAGAAGGGCCTCTCAAAATAGCTCTTGACGACCAAGACGCAGCTTTAACTTCCAAGCAACTTTGTCTAGTTTTACATTCCCCCTCTACGCAGAAAGTGGAGGGAAAATTTCACATGCAAGCCTTCATGTGCTGATCATCATTGAGGGGAGGATTTCAACCATCAGAAAACATTATTTGCACGGCTCCTGTGCCTGATTTTCACTCAAGCACACCCGAGAGCGAACAACACATTCCACAATAGGAGCATTCACGGATCCATTTCACATCGACGAGTAGGACGACGTCTCAACAAATGACCTGGTAAATTATGGAATACTACGGACTACTGTTGCAGAGTATGTGTTGAAGTGTTCAAAGTTGACATTCCCATTTTCTCGGAGTTTTCGGTCCAGATCCCGTGATTGATGATTAGCCGAGGTGGTCCCATACACCACACCATACTTGTTAAGCCCGTAACATCTTCATTCCTATTTCAAAGTGAAGTCTAATTCCAATAAGTAGCGAGACAAACAAGAAACAAGAACCAGGAGACGCTTCGAAGAATAGGCAGGTAGAAAGGTGCGACTATCCCCTTTGTTGAAATAGTCGAGGCCCACCTTTACTAAGCCGTAAAATATACCAATATCGAGGACGCGTGGCGAGTAGGTCGGGTTCGATTCCTAATAACAAGCTCCTAGTAGTAAGCACCTCCCCTTGGTACAATAGTAAGAGTTGACAGAATCTACCATCACCTGAGGCTGAGGCCAATCTTTTGTCCTCTCTCACTATATGTACTAAATTAATAATCAACCCTATGCTTGAAAATGAGTTGTTTCATGTATCGGAATCGTGGAAATGATACCTATTTAAACACCCTAGAGGTGCGTCTCACAAACAGAGGGATTCGAAGAAATCGGTTATTATCAAACGCGCGAAACCTTTTACTTAGTAGCGATACTATAGAGAATATATTCTACTCGTATAGTAGATTCTTCGAGTTTCTATTAGAAGACGAGGGTATAATGTGGAATGAATAAGCTAGAATAACGCGAGAAGCTAGCTAGGGAGCGAGTAGAGCTCTAATATAGGAGCTATCTATTATACTAGAAGTGTCCGGAATAGAACTAGCGCCTTCTATAGAATATACTAGCGCTAGATAATACTAGATAGTAGAGCCGAGAGCTCGAATCGTAATAGTTTCCGTTCTCGATAGCTACCTAAACTACTTATAATGTATCTTCTCTATATTCTAATAATCCTAGAGCTAGACTGGCGATCGAGAAATTCGTATATAAATAATAAAGTTATAAACGAACTTTTCTATTCTTCGAAGCGCTTTTTTTAGTTTTATTCTTTATATTTTTTATTTCTATATATTCTGTTATAGAATTAAGAAGAAGTAAAGGTAGTATAAATAGGGAATATAGATTATAATCGTAGTTTTAGCGTCGTTAAGTTTAATATGAAATATCGATATAGATATAGAGAGAAGTATCTATTTAAAAGAAGAGAGAAGAGAGAACATAGTAATCTAGTAAACTAGTAACTCACTATCCCTCCTACCTACTTCAAAAAGACACCATAACAGAGACGGGCATTACTCTATAAAATATAATCTATACACACCTCAGCACCCGCGTTACAAAATCAATCATCCAAATAGTCTAGAATAATCACTGCTTTTCCCTCCCGAATCCTAATTAACCTACAGTAGGTGAAATAGGACAATCAATGTACTTGTGCCAGACTTTTGGTATAATGACTTTTGAAACTTTGATGGCGTGTATAGAGAGAGCAATGTACAATACTTCTGTATAACTCAAGTATCTGTCTCTTTCTAGATACCAAAATCCACTACAGTCATCACAAACCACAATCACAATCACAAAAATCACACGCAACAAGAAAAACACCCGACCCAGAAATTCATCAAATCATCATCATATATTGACAATGCTCTACCGAAAAAAAAAGGTATCAAGTATCAAGTATGAAGCATGCTGTAAGCTATCTACCATCCCATCCATCCCGGAAAGCAAACAAATTGTCTGCCAGCCAACCAGCCCAAATTCACACTCCAGTCCAGTCCAGTCCAGGCATAAAATCCCCCCATCCAGCCAATCTCCATCTCCTTCCTTTTCTTTCTTCCCATCCACCCAAGGATAAGAGGAAAAATTAAAAGAAGTTCGAGAATAGCATGACCAAATAGCAAAAACCAAACGAAACCAAACCAGAGAGTTGAGCGTTGCCAACCCCTCCCCCCAATCCATCCATCCATCCCATTCTGTATTGTTTTGTTTTTCATCTTCAACAATGCAAACAAGAAAGGGTAAAGAAAGAAAATCCAAATTATGAAAAGTCGCTCCCCCATTTTGCCCATGATTTTTTTGATATGAGAGAGAAAGATGAACCACCCCGGTCATTATCCAGCCTTTCGTAAAAAAAGACCTGCGTAAACACAAATGCAATGCTACAACTAACCTGTTCGCCCGCCGAAATATGCTGCAAACCAAGCAAGGGAAATATTACAGTGTGTGAACTGGCAAAAAGTCCAAACGCGCCATGCAGAAAGATGGTGAGAAGGAGAAAACCCAATCAGGAGAGATCACTTTACTCCGGGCGAGGCTCTCTTGGGCCGCGAGAGCCACGCCATTCACCTCGAGCACCTCCTCTATCGCCATTTTCGCGAGGGGCGCCTCCACGACCTCCACGACCTCGTCCCCGACCACGATAACCTTGACCCTGACCTTGGCCTCGGTTATTGTTACCACGGTTGTTGCGTTGAACATCAGTGAACCCATCGTTGGCGTTAGCTGGTGCTGGCTTCTCAGTTGGACTGTCGGGTTGATCATCGGCCCAGCTTTGAACATTGGATGGGGCTGCAGGTGTAGCAGTCAATCCAGTCTCAGTTTCAGCAGCATCTCGAGGAACGTTGACCCACTCCTGAGAAGTAGAGAGGTCATTCGCGGTGTCCCACTTCTCATTTGCAGCAGCATTTCCCTCACCTCCAAAACCAGAATTTTGTGGGATACCCTGAACCTCACTGGATATTTCACTATGGCCATTGGCAGTAGCAGATGGGCCATCCAACTCAGTTAGACCAGCGTTGGCGATTGTTGGATCACTCTGAACTGGATATTCGCTCGTCTCGACAGCTGGGGTTTCCTCCTCGGCTTCAGGAACGAATACCGGAACTTGTGCGAGTGCGATACGCTTGAGATCGGCATCTAAAATGTGAATGTGTTAGTGGTAGAATTAGAGCAAGAAAAAATGTACTTACAAGTAACTTCCAAGGGTTCGCCATTTACGGAGTAGAGGGTTTCACTGGAGCCATTGACGAGGCTGAGCATAGCAGCAACAGCGCTGGCATCACCAGTATAAACTCTGCCGAGCAAACCCTCCAAAGCCTTGTTTTCCGGAAGCTCGGGATCTTCATCCTCGCCTCTACGAACAGCAGCCAGTCTGAGGAATTGTGAAAGCAGAAGGAAGTTATTTTCTTGGGATTTTTGTACTGAAGCAGCGGCCTCTGCCTTTGCAGCCTTGACAGCCTCCTCTTGAGCCTTGCTTGCACGCTCGGCGTGGGTCCTTTCAAACTCCGCCTTCTCAGCCTGAGACGCAGCCTTGTATTCGGCATCGAATTTCTTGAATTGTGCGATTTGCTCCTCGAATTGTTGCAATTGTTGTTGGAGGCCAGGCTTCTTCAAGATTTGAGCCTTTTGATCGGCATTGATCTTTCGTTCGGTGACTAATTGGTCGAGTGACTTGTCTTTATTTTCGGCGGCAGCGACGATACTGTCAACCTTGGAGGCATTGGTCTAGGCAAAGTTCGTTAGAGTTTGTTGGGATCGCGGGGGAGAGATGTACTTACGATCTTTTTGTTGATGTTGCGAATGCTCCTACAAACACGGAGGTTAGCTTCGAAAAGGCTGAAGAAATTGACAGCGCGTCACGGCGGTTGAGGCCCTTGTGTCAGGTAGATCGACTCACTTGTAGAGATCCTTGATATATGGGCTTTCGTAGGAACCGTCTCCGCTGACACTCTCGGTTGGATCTGCGACGATTGCGGTGGTTGACTCCGACTCCGCAGACGCAGACTTGGCCTTCTTCTTCTTGGATGACTTGGATTCGTTCTTGACGGGAGGGTTGAGGGTAGCAGAGGCAGCCATTTTCGGCGATGGATTGCGACTTCGCGAAGCTCTTGGAGGCTGAGGAAGCTGTTGTGGGGGGGACTCTGTGAGTCGCGTGTGGGGAACGTTGTGGAGGTATTTCTGTGGGGAGATGGAAATGGATGTTCCAGGGGAGAGTGAAAGAATTGTTTTTAGGAATAGTAGGTACAGGTAGTCGAAGAGTGTTGTACGTTTGTATGAGGGAGGAAAAGTGATGGTGACGGGAAGCTCATGAAATATCTCTTGGGCGCGGCTGCAAGACATGTAGATGGTCCGTGCGGAAGGGGACGAAGCGAAGATTCCAGAACGTTTGCACTTGGATGCTTTTATAGCAGAATTATGTACGAGTAGGCTTACAGTACGAGAATTCGTATGGATGCTTGGAATCAGAGTTTATTATCTATATATATTCCGCCGGTTTCCTTTGCAGGCTGCGTGCAACGAACTGGAGGCACCCCTTTCCCCTCCCCCTCCAGCATCCTTGCTGGCCCTACACTCGGATCCCTGCCAAGGACGGCGTTCCCCAAAGCTCAGTTGGACTGATAGATCCCTAGGTGTTTGGTACGAGTATAGCTGATGGACTGATTTCCCCCACTTCCTTTTCTACCTGATCCGAGACACTTGTGGTGTTTTGCAATTCTTATAACAATGCACATGCCCGTATATCCTGCCTAGTCCTGCGCATCTAGCTTTTTCCGTCGGAGCCAAGGCCATCAGGGTGTCTTTGATTGAAATAGAAGCTTTTCATGTATGTTGCGTGTTCAACCCTTGAATTTGGAGAGGGACAGCTATTGCAACATCTTGTCAGTCTATGTCATATCATCCAAGAGGTGTGGGATAGACTTGACCGACCTCGGTGACCTTCTTGACGCTTTTGGCGCTGATCCCTCTCTCTCCAGCTTGCTTTGCATTGATTCCAGCTTCTTTCATCAACCTGCCTCTCCCATCAGTATTCTAGACTTCCTCCAGGACGATAGCCTTTCCGCAGCAACTCACGTTTGCAGAAACAGAGCGTAATCGAGAAATATCTAGATTGCCGTTAGCATACCGTGCAGTGCATCGCATACAACCACGACGCGTCTCGCCCGTGTTAGGCTTACCAAAACATCGACATTTTTGGTCACATTGCGCTTCGAGTGGGCTTTGACGATCTTTTTGACCGTGGCCCGAGGATATAACTTTTGCCCGGCTGCCATTGTCGTGGAGATAGTGCGCGGCGTTTCTTGCAGAAGTGGTTGTGGTACGTGTTATTGTTGAGCCCTGAGCTTCAGCCTCCCGTTCCCACATTTCAGAGGTCAAGACTCAAGCAGCCAATCGCCCTACAAGGCTGCCAGGTCCTCGCTGCGAGGGTTGACCAATCGGGAAGCTCATCGGATACGGAGTTCGGCGTTCGAATCCCGATCAGGTAGCTGCTGCCACGGCTGCTAAACGACATCGCAATGTACCCCTCCATGTGCCCCTCTCTCCCCTCATCCACGAGGACGGTGTGTGCAACGCTTCTTTCTGCCGGTAGACTCAATCCTCGTACATCCTCTAGGCTCTTCTCTCTGTCTGCCAGGTCTCTTTACCCTTCCTGTTTGGAAACTACAAAAGGCAGCCCGCAGAACCGCAATTTTGTTGTTCCCAAACGCACTTCTATCCGCTGCTCCAGCCAACCCCCACCAAATCGATTCATCCTCTCTCCCTTCCACACCCATAACGCTCGATATCTTGCAAAAATGCCTCCCTCAGACGTCTTGGACCGGGATATTCTTCCAGACAATCTTAAAGCAATCAATTATGCCATTTCCATCTACGACATTGAATTGGGCGGTAATTTCACTTACCAAGGCACCGTTAGCATTCTCTCCAACATCACCAAGCCATCCAAGGAAATTACTTTGAACACCCACCAACTCAAGATCCACAGTGCAGAGTTGAACTTGGGAGAAAAGTCAATTAAATCTACTGGCACTTCGTATGATACTTCAAAGCAACGTGCAACTCTATCCTTCTCTGATGACTTACCTGTTTCTGACAAAGCTCTTCTGATCATCAAGTTCGAAGGAATTATTAACAATGATATGGCTGGCTTCTATCGTTCGAAATACAAGCCAGTCGTACCACCGGCTCCTTCTGTACCAAAAGATGGTGATGAACATGTCATGTTCTCAACGCAATTCGAGAGTTGTGATGCTCGTAGAGCCTTCCCTTGTTTTGATGAGCCGAATCTTAAGGCCACCTTCGACTTTGAGATTGAGTTGCCAGAAGATCAGGTGGCGCTGAGCAACATGCCTGAGAAGAGCACCAAGAAGTCTAAGGATGGGTTCAAGGTGGTTTCTTTCGACAGAACCCCGGTTATGAGCACCTATCTTCTTACTTGGGCTGTGGGTGATTTTGAATACATTGAAGATTTCACAAAACGCAAATACAATGGAAAGAATCTTCCAGTTCGTGTTTACACCACCAGAGGTTTGAAGAGCCAAGCTCAATACGCGCTGGACCATGCTCCGCAGATCATTGATTACTTCTCCGATGTCTTCGATATCGAATATCCTCTACCAAAGTCAGATCTGCTTGCTGTTCATGAATTTGTATGTCTCCACTTTCTTACATGTTACCACCGCTAGTACTACTTGCTCGGTCTTGTTCAAAGGCGGAAGAGTGGGGAGAATGACTTTAACATCAAATTTTCATACTCACTTGCTTTTGCCTGGATATCCACGATCCATTGATATGAGAAGCCCAAAACATCGGGGAACGGCGATTAGCCGACGCGTCATCTCAAGTCAATTTTCATGTATCTTGTCACCACAAGAGCACCTTTATTAAGCGAACTATCAATTTCAAATATTTTGCTAACATCATGTTTTCAGTCACACGGAGCAATGGGTTAGTCCACCAATCTTCCTTGAGCCAAAAACCTAGGTAGTTGCAATGTTTGCTGAGAACAAGTGCTAATATGATAATAGAGGGTTGGGGTCTTGTTACCTATAGAACCACAGCTGTATTATTCGATGAAAAAACCTCAGATGCGAAATTCAAGAATCGCATTGCATATGTTGTTGCTCATGAACTGGCTCACCAGTGGTTCGGTAACTTGGTCACCATGGATTGGTGGAGTGAACTTTGGCTCAATGAAGGCTTTGCAACTTGGGTAGGTTGGTTGGCGACAGATAAGATCCATCCGGAATGGAATGTCTGGTCTCAATTCGCTTCAGAAGGCATGCAAACCGCATTTACTCTCGATTCCCTTCGAAGTTCGCATCCGATTGAAGTGCCGGTCCGGGACGGCTTAGATGTAGATCAAATATTTGATGCCATCAGTTACCTGAAAGGAAGCTCGATGATTAGGATGTTGGCGACACATCTCGGTCAGGAAACCTTCCTCAAAGGTGTTTCCAACTACCTGAAATCGCATTCTTATGGAAATGCAACAACAAATGATCTCTGGTCCGCTCTTAGTGAAGCCTCTGGTCAAGACGTAAACTCTCTGATTGACAACTGGATTCGAAAGATTGGCTTTCCTGTCATCACCGTCGCCGAGGAACCCGGCCAAATCAGTATCAAGCAATCTCGCTACCTATCAACTGGGGATGTCAAGGCAGAGGAAGATACCACGACATGGTGGGTTCCACTTGGATTGGAAGGCAAGACAGGAGTCAAAGGTGCTTCTTCTATTGGCTTTACTAAGAAGGAGGATACCATTCGGGACATTGATGACTCTTTCTACAAGATCAACAAAGACAATGCCGGATTCTACCGAACCAATTACCCTCCTGCTAGATTGGCAAAACTCGGTACTCAAGTTGATCGTCTCAGTGATCTTGACAAAATTGGTAAGACTATTCCCGCCTGTAACCGGAAATGATTACAATTTTCTAGGTCTAATCGGTGATGCTGGTGCGTTGGCTCTGAGTGGCCAGGCTACCACCCCAGGACTTTTAGCCTTCGTCGAGGGTCTGCAATCAGAGACTAATTACTTGGTCTGGTCACAAATCCTTGGCTCCTTAGCAACTGTCAAGTCTGTCTTTTCCGAGAATACTGAGATAGCAGATGGCTTGAAGAAGTTTACCTTGAAGTTAATCACCCCAGCTGTGGAGAAGATTGGCTACGAGACAAAACCAAATGACGATTTCCTCACTTCCCAACTTCGTTCTCTCCTGTTATTGACCGCCGGTTTGAGCGGCCACGAACAGTAGGCCAACGATATTCCTTTCGGTATGCAAAAGCTAATAGATAATAGAACCATCACGGATTCCACGAAGCGATTTGAGCTCTACACAAGCGGTAAAGATACATCCGCGATCCATCCTAACCTCCGTTCCGCCATCTTCGGGATCAACGTCCGCCTAGGCGGCGCAACAGAATACCACGCCCTCAAGAAAGAATGGCGCGAAACCCCCTCAGTCGATGGGAAAGAGATCGCGCTCCAAGCCATGGGACGTATTCAAGATATCTCTCTCCTCCCCGACTACCTCGACTTCCTCTTCAACGAAATCGCCAGCCAGGACAAACACACAGCCGGTATGGCACTAGCTGCTAATCCCAAAACACGCGCCGCGTTCTGGAAATATATCCAAGAGAACTTTGAGGACATCTACAAGAGTATGAGTAAGAACATGGTCGTCCTTGATCGCTTCTTGAAGGTTAGCTTGAGTAAGTTCTCTGAGCGGGAGAAGGCGGAAGAGGTGCAGAAGTTCTTTGAGGGCAGGGATAATAGGGGTTACGATCGCACGCTTGGGGTTATCAATGATAGTATCTTGATGAGAGCCTGTTATCGGGAGAGGGATGGGGAGGTGATTTTGGAGTGGTTGAAGAGTCATGGGTATGCCTAGACTTGGGGGTGTGTAGAAGGGCTGGGAGGTAGAGAGGTGTATGGGGATAAAAGTACCTTCGTAGGGAATGAATAGTATAAAATTGAGTTGCATCTTGATGATTGGGTTTCTTGTTGGAGTGTGAGTTTGGGTTATTATTCTTGTAAAAAACTGCTTTGTGGATGGTGCTTCTTCATGTTATAATGATCGAAAACTCGGGGTATTAAGTAAAGTTACATACTCCGATTATTCGCATGGCAAGCCTCCCACCTCCACCCGTCTCATCTACCTCGTCGAGATCCCAGGACGGAGAAATAGAAATGACAGCAGCTGCGTACACGACGGTAAGAAAATTTCGTATATAATAGCATTCCATTTCATATCAAGTTTAAAGGTTTACTGGTGGTGAGACGGGTGTGGAGGTTTGGTACTAGATTGGAGGTGGATTGGATAGTGTTACGTTTGATAGGGAATTTGGGAGGGGATGGACGAGGATTGACCTCATAGCAACGCTTTCCAGAATGGAGAATGGAGAATGGAGAAGGGGTGGAGTGGGGTTCATAGGTGGTTGTAGTGGGTGATTGTGGTTGTGGTCGTGGGTTTGTTGGTGGTTGTAGTGATGTGAGAGGTGGTATGGATTGAATGATGTTTTTCTCTGGTTTGTTTGATGTGAGTGTACTTGTATATGAGAGTATATGATAGAGTGGTTGATTTAACATCGTGGTGTTACCTATAGTATCTCCTGTAGGTTTTCTATACAGGATGAGTTAATATTGCGGTTCTTTCTAGCTAGGCTAATCCTACGTTACCGTTGGAGTACTGTATTTTTCTATATTACTCTCTAAATAAAGGACGTAGGATAGAAATTGAAAGTATAGGTTTTAAAAAAGAGTTCTAATTGTTTCTAAACTTTGAACTGTTTAAATAAAACTGGATTAGATTGAAATATCTAACCCTAATTAGAACGTACTACCACCCCCTTCCAAATACCAAACAGAACTGGGATATAAATGAAATATAGGACCTATATCTAATTACCTTCACCTATCGTTAGTACAATTTGGAATGTATGGAATACCGTGAAGGTCTTGGACTTGATTATACGAATACTACTGTACACTAGCACTTATCTTCTTCGCAGAATAGATGGAGAAGTAGTATGCCAAAGCTCTAACCGAAATTATGATATATAGTACGCGAATCAACATTGGCAATCTTTTGTCAGGAGACTAGTTCTGGATGAGTTTTGGCGGATAGGTCGACGTTGCGTAGCAGATTTGCAGAAGAGGGGTATTAGGGCTTAGAGAGGTCAAGGTATAGTACTGCATTCTGTAGTTAACGCTGTATAGTATACGTTAGAAGCGTATCTCCATTATTTGCGCAAGGACGGAGAAGAGGGCGGGGGAAACGACAGTAGCTGTGTAGACGACGGTAAGAGAAGTTCTTTTATAGTAGTGTTTTATTTTATTTTATGGAAGAACGTTACTGGTGGTGAGACTGTGTGAACTTTTTGATACTACAGTAGCTTAGGGAAGGGCTTGATGGTGAGGGGTGAGGTGGTGGTTGTTGAAAAGGTGATATAAGTGTTCGATATATTCAATTGACTTAAGGAGTAATCTAGAGGGGATTACTCCCTACTTATATATATAGAGGTTTAGTACAACCTATATTAGTCTCTTACGTAACCTAATATTTAATACTCTTACTCGAACTAAGTTACCTCTAAATCTAAACTTTAATAAACCTTTAGTAAAACCTTTAAAGGATAAAAGCTAGGGAAGAATAAATAGTTCTAGCTTTCTTAGTAATTAATTTCCTACTTAGCGTCTACTATATTTATAGCATAATTTCTAATTACTAATTCCTCTAGGGTAGGTTCTTTAACCTTATTATTAGAGAGAAAGCGGATAGTATTATTTTGTCTTACTAGTCCGAGTAGTTCTTCTTATATTCTTATAAGTATATAAGGAGCACTACTATTTTACTATTCTTATTCTTACCTCTAGGTTTATTAGTAAAAGGTCTAATAGTAATATTGTGACGGTTATGGTCACGAGGGCTGGATGTCACATGCTCGCTTAGCGAGGCGCTAGCGCGCACGACCTGTATTTAGTTCCCAGCTCTCTTGAGCTCTCCTTCTTTCCTCGTCTTTTGTCCTAAGAATAGAGTGTTAATTGTTCTGAGTTCTACCTGAAGCACGTCTGTCACAAATATTAACTTAGCTATCTATAGTAGTTAGAATATACACGCTCTTTTTAGTAATATATTATATTATACTAGGGAATCGTTATATATTCCTAAGTATACTAATTAATATAGTTTTATAGGTAGGAGTACCGAAGATTAGAGGTTCCTTTTAAGGTATATTACTATAGCGTAGTCGCTTCCTTAGTAGCTTAGATTAATTATTAGCGGCCTTTAGACTTACTCCTATAGGTTCGAGGCTATTAGCTATTAGTTCCGGTTTAGCTCCTATGGGTTCTAGGCTATTTACCGTAGGACTATAGTGTCACGAATCACGTGTTGGCATGTGATAAGCAAAGACCAGGCGGCGTCCTGACAGGTTAAGCACCAGCAACACACTCTTATAGCAAATAGGGATGCTTAGGCTAGCTAAGCGATCCAGGGATTTCATCTGATATAAGTCATGTGACCGTCATTGATCATTGGTGATCCACTGAGCAACGCTGAGCTGGATCAGTGGGATCAGGGTGATCATAATGATCAACGAGCAAGAAGGTTCTATATAAGACTGGCACATCTGCCATTAGATAGGAGCTTCGTGCTCAACTTAGTTATCGATCTTATCATATTAGTTTGACATCTTTGATACAAGTAACGAGTTCACTTCCAAGTGAACAACCCGATAGTCTTCTTCTTATCATAGCATACCAACCAGCGAACACCCAGCCAAGTTTAGTTAGCTAGTTTGAGTATTCGTTACATATAGGTGCTAGGGTCCTCTATAGGTTCGGTGCCTCTTACTACTTTAGTATTATCGTCGTTTTTATTATCGCTAGATAAGGTACTTTCCGCTCTAGTATTATTATCCGAGGGTTCCTATTTACTACTAGTATCGTCCTCAGATTCCTTATAACGAATAGGATCGCGTCCTAGGTTTTTAAGTAGTAATACTATAGGTTAGAGATTAAAGAGTTTATAAAGTAATAGAAGTTCTCCCCTATTAGTATAGTCGTAGGGGTCTTACTTACTAAAGGTTACCTATTTAAAGCCTATAGTCCTTAGGTACAAGAGGCTCTAGGGTATTTATTCAAGGAAGGTAGGATTACTTATAAGCTCTTAAATCTAGTAGTTAAAGAATTAAAGGTACCTACCTACCTTTCCTATATTACCTAACTGTAACGAATACTCAAACTGGCTAACTAAACTTGGCTGGGTGTTCGCTGGAAGATTGATAACTAAGTTGATAACTAAGTTGAGCACGAAGCTCCTATCTAATGGCAGACGTGCCAGTCTTATATAGAACCTTCGTTCTCAGTTGGGTCGCTCTGATCGCTCGCCTCAGTCGCCCTAGTCGACAGGCGACTCAGGCGACTCAGGCAATCAGATCACGTGATGCTTTCTTCCTAAAGAAATCCTTGGATCGGTTAGCTACCCTAACCGATCCCTATTTGCTATAAGTCTATGGAAGTGCTTAACCTGTCAGGGCGCCGCCTGGTCTTCACTCATCACGTATGTACGTGATTCGTGACATAGAGCTTAGTAGATATACGCTAGTATTCCCCTATAACTAGACGAATTATTTATACATTATTATACTATATTATCTATAAAGCTCCTTAAATAACCGACGGAGTACTATATTCTCTACTACTAGGGTTTTAACTCCTATTAATTTAGATTTAATAGAAGAGGTAGTAATAGTATCTTATTAAGTAGCTCTCTATATAATTAGCCCTTTAAATAGAAAAATAATATATTTATAAAATAAATATCTTATCTCTATATTATTAGTAAATAAGGTATTAGAAGCTATAATTAAAAGGTTAGACTTATATTCTACTAAAAACTAGATTACTAGGAATCTTATACTATAGAGATAGCTAATTATTTAGATCCCCTTTAATAAATATCTAGGGTGTGACCGTGTGGAGTGAACCACTGCTTGCTGTGATGAATACGGAGTCAAACGGAAACTGCTATATAGAGCGAACAACTAAGTGAGGAAGGAAGAGAGTTCCAGAGGAACAGAAGCTTATATACAGGCTGCCAGCAGCACGCACGTGCCGTGTTGCTACACGTGATCTGCCCCCAATTCCTCCAACTCCGTAACATAGGGTAGGAAGGTATATTTACTCTTAATTAGTTATACTCCAATATTCTAGAACTTATTATACTTATTAACTTCTTTCTACTACTCCTTAAGCTCTACTAGTATTAGTACTAGAATTATAGGTTTAGTAGCTATAGCGTCTTTTATAATTAGCTTAATAGGCTTCTACTTCTTATATATAATAAGTTACTCGAAGTAGTAGTCCTTAATATAAAGTCTATTAATAACCTATCTCTTCTACTTAGTCTAGTTCTCTTTATTAAGCTCTAAGATAATATTTTAGGAGCTATTAAAGGTACTATCGGATATAGTAATATTAAGGAGCTAGGAGTAAATAAAGTTCTCAAGAACGTACTAGGTAAAGGGTCTCTAATATAAAGTCTAAATATATTTATAGGGCTTAAAAGGGGAGGTTTATCTTTCGAGATATTAGTATTATTATCCGAATTAGAGTCTTCTAAGTCTAAGGAGGAGGGTATATAGTCGGGATTATTAGATTAGTAATCTTTATAAAAGTATTTAGGATTTATATTAATAAGGCTTTAAGTATAGTAAGGGTATAGTGTGACGACACGTACGAGATGTTGCTCAGAGAGCGTCCAAGGTGTAGGTTATGGAATCGTAGAACTGTCTATTCGAAGATTCTAAGCTAAAGAGAGAAGAGAAGAAAGGACAGAAGTCCAGGAGCTGGAAGCTCTTATATACAGGAGGGGTACCAAGGGTTATAGCTAACCGAGCCGGGCTCGGGAAGCACGGCGGCCGACGGGTGCCAGCCAGGGGCTGGTTTGAGGCATGGTGGCTGTGACGGAGCTGGATTTCATTTGACAGGATTTCATTCGCTTGGCCAAGCACGTGACGAAACTTGGCATTGGAACAACTTAAATAACTTCGCTCCTTTCAGATTCTCTTCTCTCTTTAGTTTGATTTCTTCGTACCTACGGTTTTAGTTCTAGCAATTGATTCAAAAGCTGTATACACTTTATCCTTTGTTGGCATCCGTGACAGTGGCGGTGAGAACCGTCACATATAGGTCCGGTCTAAATAATAGTATAGGTAAGTATTACTTACTTTTCTTTATTACCTTATATAAAGGGAACTATCTTCTTAAGATAGCTCCTAGCCTTTCTCTACTTATACTAAATATTTATTCTATTATATCTAGAGATTAAGAATTTGTTAGAGATAAACTTATTTAAAAGATTTAGTTTTATAAAGTAGTTTTATATATTCGAGTTAATATTCGAGAAGTTAGAGTTTTAAGTACTTAAGAGTTTTTTAAGGTCTAAGAAGGTTAAGTAGGGGTATACTAAGAGATTAACCTAAATTAGAATTAGTAACCTATAACTCTTATTTTAGTCTTATATTTACGCTAAGTAGGTAGTGATATTTTAAGGTAATATATAAATATAACTAGAGCCCTTTTTAATTTTAAAGTAACTGTTGTGCTGGGTCTACTTTCTCTTTTGCTCCACTTCCTTATTTGATCCACTTATAGCTCTGCTGCCTAAATGCTTCATGTCTGCCTAAACCTTACACTCTTTATATAAACACCTTAGATAGCTACCTTTTACAATGCAATCAATTCTCCATGACCTTCAGTACCCAATACCCTTTCAACCCAATAGTAACTTATATATCTATTAGTAGAATACGCTTATAATAGGTTAAGGCATTTAGGGACTTAGTACTTAATCTTAATTTCGGTTACTAATAAGGCTAAGGCGGAATTCCGGGCTTATAACCTGTTGAAAAGGTGATATAAGTGTTCGATATATTAAATTAACTTAAGGAGTAATCTAGAGGGGATTGCTCCCTACTTATATATACAGAGGTTTGGTACGACCTATATTAGTCTCTTACGTGACCTAATGTTCAACAGTGGTGGTGTGGTTAGCCAAGTGTGTGTGTGTGAGGTAACGTGAAGTGGTGGTGGAGGAGAGGTGAGAGGTGTGTGAAATGGGCTTAATAGGTGATTGTAATAGGTGGTTGTGGGGTTGTTTGGTGGTGGTGGTGTTAGGAGACGATCTAATGTAATAGGTGGTGTGGATTGTCTTCCTTGATATTTATACTGTACTTACATTCTCTCTTTCGCGATGCGAGCGAGGGCTTTACTTTGGGAGGTAAATCTTACTAGAGGGAGCTACTCCAATAAAGTGATATTGTGGATTTCCACAATCCCCTCTTTTCTCTTTGGATATAGTAGTGGGGTATTTCCACTTATGCCTATTTGGAAAGTGTATTGCTATTTTACCTCTGTTATTAAGTATTCATCTCTGGTCCATGATGCAGACTACTTATATATATGGAGTCTATGAACTCGTCTTCGAGAAGAGTGTAATCAAGGAATTTTTGATATACTGAAGTAATTTGAACCTAAGGAATGCAGATACTTGCCACAAGATTACGATTGGATTCAGCTATGATCTCACGTTCGGGAGTTCACAATGAAGTACAAGCGGAGAATTCAAATCGACAATAAGACCAAATACGAGGGTGGATGGACCCCTTTCTTTCGCATTTGAAGTTTCGAACTTCCGTCTTTAATTCTACTCAGATGGGTGTCTGAAGGAGTAAGTAATAGTGGGAGGTTTTTATAAGAGACTGTTCTTAGCCTTTTGGTTGTTGGGAGACCCTGGTCCGGAACTGGGAGCTCGGAAAGCATACGTTCGTCTGTTTGTAATTCGTTAGGAAGGATGATTGCTGTCAATTTAAGGGATGTGTTTGGTGAGGAAGTGACGGGTTGGTGGTGCTTTGATAATGCCCACGAAGACTAGTTTACAAAGGATACAGTTGATGTTTGGAACTGTTATACATCGCAATTTGAAATCTCCACTACAAGTATGCAGCTCTACACTGAACACGTTCTACACTAACTATACGGCAAACGAGAGCACCTCTCCAGGCAATTATCAAGAAGCGGTAGTTATGGATACTATGCGAACACATCTAGAGCTATCCCCATCGCCTAGTTAGAAACTGATCCAGGCTCCTCTCTACAGTTCAGTTGCGCAGATCCCTGAAGAGACCATAAGCCCCATCAATCCTATCAATAATACAAATGCCCACGATTCATCTTCTCAGCTTTAGTGGAATATGGGGCGGCTTTTTGGTCGAAAACAAATTCTTGGACTGAGCAAATAACAGTCGCAATCAGACGCCCCGTCACTGGTGACGGGGCTCCTTAATGGACCAACCTTGGGATGATTCTAGCCATTAGCTCCAATTAATTGCTAGGTGGTCCAAGGCGGGCGGTATTGTGAAGTTCCTGGTTTTATCACAAAATTACCTGGTTTATACGAGACGCCTTGCCTAAGATCTGCTCGTCACTCCCCTAGAAGTTCATGGAGCTAACCATAGGGATAGATACCATCTGATGTTAGAAGTCACGCGGATCCTTTTTTGAGTGCTGTAAAGTAAATGATCAACTTCAACACTAGAGTGAAGCACTCCTACTCCTCGCTTATGTAGCACACTAACCACAAATCCATCGTGTGCGCAATCTACCTACGGTATGATTTCTTAAAACATCCAAAAAAAAAACTCCAAAACCGATCAAGAAAAGTGCAAAAAATCCTAACGCCTTTCGACGTCGCCAGGGAGAGTAAACCAGACGTACTGAGTTTTTCTATTGGGCTATCATTCCTGCGCTCTTCCGTCTTTAGCTAACAGGCACCATATTTCAGTGTGTACGGCCGTTGACTCAGGGGACTTAACCACTGAACCAGGTAGATGATATTCCGTAGAAGCGTACAAATGATTAGTGAGAGGTGTTTCCTTATTTGGATGTTTGAAGCAGCTTTGTGTATATTTGTGTGGGTCTTGGGTGGGCCTTGGCTTATAAGCGATACCTCTTTATTGGACAGTCTCAACGTCCTCAACTGCTGCGACGTGTAACGGATTTTATACTTGGGCTAGATTCATATGCCTATCCATACATTCACTTGTATTATACCGCCAGCCAGGGCTACGGAGCAGACCACCTGGTCTAAACAAAAAGCTCTGGAACCTCTTCGATCCCCGCGGACAAACTCCGACACCCTCCACTACCCAATCTGAGAACACTATTGCCCCCGAACAATAAGCCGCCTTCCAAGACCAATTTCTTGTAGAACTGGTTGTCGGTACTTCAATCAGTCAAGATGGCTAGCAATTCCGCCGCCGACGCAAATCCAACCTTCGAGACAGTCCAAGCTTCACTGAGCAAAGTAAAGAATGCCGCCCAACTTCAAGAGCTAATGAACATCAACTCGGACTTTGTTGCTGAAGCTTTAGTAAAACTAGTTGCTCGAGGAAGGAGAATTGAGAGACAAAATCATCTTCGCGATGTCGGAAACTTTCGCGAATGCGACAAGCAACAGATAGGGCTCGAAGAAAGGCAGGCCCAGGTTGACGTACTCAAGACCCTGGTCGCATCTCTCGAAAGACGACTTGCCACCCTTCAGTACAAACAAGTTGAGAATACAGAAGATCTACGATCAGAACCCCGCCAAGCACAAAAAGACCTGGACCACGAGCGAAAGACTGTGGCTTGCCTTCGTGATCAGCTTCGCGACCAACAGACTCAATTCACTGCTCAACGCTCGCCGGCATGCAAAGACCCAACACCATTCGGTGGCGCACATGGAAAATCGCAAATGGCACTACAAATTTACCTTATGGAGTTGCGACTGAAGCTACATGCGAACAGAGATTGGTGGACTGATGAGTCGGATCGTATGAGATACGTTCTTTCGACCTTGGAGGGCTCGCCGAAATTGTGCTTCTCTCAATATCTGAATCCAGATGGAACGTTTCGAGGAATCACGACGGTTGAGGAGATAATGGATCAGCTGCAGAAGCTTCCTACCCTGTTGGCCTAGAACAAGCCATGGCTTTGCGAAGCTTTCCTCAAGGAAAGAGGAGATAACGATAGCAGCAATATTGGACAAGTTGTTTTGGAGTCCTTATCAAGTAAAAGAACTTGAAAGTCATGTTGGATCTGATAACGCCTTCCGGAATATACTATCTCGCGAAGGAAGCGCGTTTGACCCCCTGAGAGCCCATTGTATGGAGCGCTAGCAATTTGGAGGGGTCTTATTTTGGTCTGCAGAAGAACAATTCGTTGGGCTCAACTACTACCTTTATTAGGAGGCAATGTATCCTTGACCATACCATACTCTGCAGGATATTACACCATCTCTTATTTTTCACTTTGTGACCGTGTAAGCATAATTTGAAAACAGAGAAAGCTGTGTCAAAAGATGCTAGCAGATTAATCATCTCATCAGATGCAGGAAACTTTGCATGCTTATCTGGTATTTGCTTAGCATAGCTAGTCGCATTGGTTGAGTGATGCTACATTACCCAGGATGACTTTGCTGCTTTGAATTTGTGATTATCAATCGCAAAGTATTTAGGTGTGTACGTAGGTGACGGGAAATTTTATGTCCTTCCAGGATGTCCATCGTCTACTAAGGACTTTCAAGATAAGGCTATTCTCTGAAGTGATAACTCTGTCAAATTACTGCACTACGGATATCCCAGCTTCGGAATCTTCATTAACCTTTTCCAAACCGAATTTTACCATAGAACTGCTTCCTACAATAACAGCGATTTCGAGAGGTGTTTCCTTGGTCTTGTTTTCTTATAGACGGTCAGTTGCAAAATCTCTGTTACCGAGCTGCAAAACGAGTGGGATAATCTCCATTGAAACCATCTGACCGGTCGAGCAGAGCTACCGAGTTTATACACTCGGTGATAGTGTTATAATCACGGGCTTCAAATGTGTCTAGCATGACCCTCCCCATTTTCTCTCTTTTCTCAGGCTAGATACTACTTTCGCGATGATCCACAGGTTGATTTCTCTCCATCAAAAGATCATTACAATATTCTATAGGAATTAGAGCTAAGGGGCTGATGGTAGATATCTTGAATAAGCTCCCCACTTCAGCCTGACATAGGTATTAGTATTGTGATATCGATTATCAAAAGGCACACTGGCCAGAGCACAAGAACGCTTGTCGGTCCTCAATAAACAAGAAGCACTGGTGCCCTGCATGGGATCTTGAAGGCCGAATCCCACATTGGGCAAGCAGCCAAGCATCTCAGAACTGGCACGATACTCTCGGAGGCAACAAATACTTATGAGAAAATACCCTGGCGGTAGATGTCTTGAACTCGAAGCGAAACGAGGGCATTGGCTGTAAAGAAGATATTGCATTGCTATTTGCCGGTCAGTGCTTATTCCCAGCCAGATTGTGCCTGCAAATTTACAGTTTATGTTCAATCGTTAGTCGGTACACGTCGCACCAAATGAGGCTGATTGTTGATTTTCTTTTGTATTGCTGGCTAGTTTCAAGTGCCTATAATTCGCCCACATATATAAGTGGAAAGGGAAGTATAAGCACCCTCGGCCGTATTAAGCAGCGCGAAAGGAAGCAGCCACAAAACAAAACAAGGGGAAAAAAAGGGGGAAAAACCAACAATAAGACGAAGAAAAGGAGACAAGGGAGTACTATCCTTATAAACAAGTAGCGAGTAGGTATATCTACCGCCTAATACTAACATCTACTACCTGTCCTATCCTTCAAATATATCTACCACCTGCCCTGCATACATATCTACCCCTCTCACATTTGTGTAACAAGCGTGGGAAAACTTCTTTTTAGGCCAAAACCACACCCAGAGAGCCCTCCTTACCTAGCGAGTATATCTGCCATCCTGACGCTAGTTCGTAGTGCGTCGGTAGTTGAGGATCGAGCTTGAAAGAGGAGCCAAAATCGTGCGTTTGTTCCCGTAGTCCCGAGGACGTAGTATCGTCGCGCAGGAATAATCGTCGTCCGCGAAAGGAGCGAAGATAGAGCGACCACCACTACCTCCACAAAAGAGCACAAAAGTGTAACTGACGACATGGTAGATATTGTGGTGGTGTTGAAGGCATGTGGTAGTAGTAGGGTGGGATATATATCCCACAATGTGAGTAGCTTACTAAGCCATCATCCTCATTCACTATAAATCCTGCCATATAATACCGTCAGGAGATTTGCGGCATGTCGTTAGGACAATCGCTAGTCTCCCGCATCATATGATCCAGCAGTTCGATGTCACCATGAACGATCTAGAGTTTGATGTCGTGGCAAGAAACACGATTTTGCTGCTGCTGGCTTTCACTATACAAGACTCGCTTACAACCAAAGCGTCCACTAGTGCCACTCCACCATTACATATAAGCAAGGCTGAAGTATTGATTCATATTTCGTATTCTGCTTCATTTCCAGAATATGTGCTTTCTCAGAGTCAAGATAGAGTAAAGCCATTAATCACAGACGTTTGTAGTAAAATTATTAACGAACCACCGAGTATAACTCTAGGAAAGACCTAGGAATTCTCGAACGGACGAGTACTCTGCCTTATACTCAAGCAAACCGACGGGCTTTGACTTGCAGACTTTTTGAATGTACCAGAAGATTAGAGCATTCAAGATACTGTGGTAATTCCGGAGACTATGACTGCTGTATGACTCTTACTCTGGAAAGAGTTGATGACCGGGAACGATGGTATTTCAAAGATGCGTTGCCTTTTATGCGGGTTGGTAAGCAGAGATTTCGAGAAGATGGTATACTTATACCGTTTGGACATCCTTGAACAATATTCGATACTCCAAATCCGTAAGTATCTCTGGACACGTTCGGCCATTTCTAACGTTAACCGCCTAGAGCAATATTCTGGGGGCAAAAAGGCTGGCCCTCGGATGATTTGGCAACCTAGTTTAATATCCTCTCGTCTCGATGTGGATTTATTCCTCGTCCCCTGAGACTCTTATACTGAGATTAATGATTTGGCCGATCCATCAGAAGGACGGCCGGTCTTAGACGTGCAAAACATACCATCGCCTGCGCCTTAAGACTGGTACGGCCAATTATTCATTTATATTGATAACATGATAGAAAGTTTTTAGAGCGTCTTCAGAAAACGAAGATTTGCTTTGTACTCTTCAAGACTTCAATGTCGATGCCAGAGAACTGCCTCAGTATCTCGAAAAAAACCGATACGCTAGGGTAGAGGTACGTGCCTTCAAAGAGTAACATAAATCCAGCTGAGACATTGAAAGGTGGCCAATATTCGCAACGGTGGTTATTTCGGGATCCGGAATACATTTGCTCTCTTGTTTCCCTTCTTACAATCACCACAGAAAAACGTGCATGCAACATTCATTACTCTATTTATCAATGCAGTTGAAAAAGTAATAAAGGGGGGGATCCGAGAGACGAAAACCCTGATATGGAATTTTTCACCAAATATCTACCGATTCCTAAGACAGTTTTCATGAACGATGCCGATATGTAAAGATATGGGATGCGCGTAATCTGGCACTCGATGTTGACAGTTTCTTCAGCCGGTACGTCCTCGGTTGCTATTGGTAGCTTCGAAGCTAATTATTCGTCGGGTATATGGCTTTTTGGGATTTCGAGAAGATCTCTGTAGATCTGGGTGTTGAGATGAAGAAAAAGAACACAATCGTTAAGAAGTGGCCAGCCAACCTAAAGCCCAGCTAAAGCCCAGCTAAAGCCCAGCTAAAGCCCAGCTAAAGCCCAGCTAAAGCCCAGCTAAAGCTCAAAGCAGAACCGTAAGGCGCTGAAGAGGAGTTCCGTCTGAATTTATGCTCTGGTCTCACGAATATCGAGTGATTTGTTGGTTGAATGGAAAAGGGTCAAGCCAGGGAGGGGTCAGATCTCGCATCGCAGTTCACCTAGTACAGAACAACCCTGTGAATTAATGTTCATCTCTCGGTCATAATATTTTGATCTAAACCCAGCCCCTTACTGTAACCTTTCCAGGGGTTTCTACGGCAGTCTCCCAACCACAGGTCCACACACCCGCAGTCGCTCATTTCATTTATAGCACGAGATAACCCGCATCCTCCCAGCAAATCAAAAGGTTCATAAAAGTACATCCGCCAGGCAGATTGAGCTACCGGTCTGACTTGCGAGATAAACCAACTTCCGAAGCTCAAAGAGTTAGGTTGCAGAGTTAATCCGAGTCAGCGTGGGCTGAGCTTGACTTTTGCTGTTTTTATTTTTATGTCTTTTCTTTTTGTAATTCTTTTTTATACGAAAAAGAAGGGTAATGAGGGCGGTGCCAGTGGCTACTGTACTGTTGTAGATAAGGTTGGTAGTTAGCGGAGAGTGAATCGTGCGTCTTGTGACATGCACCATGAGCTCTTCAGTAAAATGGCGTGACTGTCCGATTGTTGATTTCACTTTGCATCTCCTAAATCCGACCAGATCGGACTTGGAATCTTAATAAAAATACTCATATTCTCCTCAGATGCCGTGTGGCTACGTGTTGTATCTAAAGTTGGCCATATTCTCGTATTCACGCCAGTCATGAAAAGGTAAGTTTTCACATTACGGAAGCGCATTTTCTTGGTTTGTAGGAAAAAAGACGATGTTTCGCAGAATATGAATTCATGGAGCCCAGATTAGGCCTTGAGCTATTCTTGTTATGCCGTAGCAATAGTTCTAATAAAGAGATGGGTAGTAGATGGCGTTTAAAATCTGTCTTACATTGTCAAGAGACCAGTGCTTTGAATACATTCAAAAAATGATCCCAGTTGACTCTATGTTAATGAGAAAGCTTGGCTCGTGGGGCCAAATAGTACAAGAGGAATTGGGTGGCCTTATACATATAGTGTTTCTTGTTTAGAATGAAAATTAATAGAATGTGTTAGATCCTAATAAGAGAAATAATTCTTCGAGTATTCTTGACGTAACGAATAGTTTACTTTTGATCATGCACATCGAAACAAGGACTTCTCAGAATCTATTTTTGCACGGCAACATACAGTACTATACTCACTATTCTCTGAAAACGGAGATTTTTTGACATCCGATTTCTTGCACAACTTTCAAACTTAACAGGAGGAACCACCACATCACCCTTGAAGCGTAAATCTATAGACTACACCTGCAGCTCCATATTCTTACTGTCGGGTCCTCAGTGTCGCGTCCCCACTTAGAAAGAAGCACCGCTAGAATCGACCTCCAAACATGAATTCGTGAACTTTGGTAAAATCTGTTGGGCAGGTACTGAGCAGATTATCCAAAAACCCGGGTTACAATGGAGACCAAGGTCTCCTGTGAAGAGGATTGTTTTGCGCCGACGGACAACTGTCTTCACAGGACCTCTTCGCGTCCCAAGCTAGGCCAATCCAGCTCTTGATTAGGGAGATTCTTCCCGGCCAAATCCGCGTTGAAGGCTTCCTCAATCCCATGTACAGTACAAGCTGGTTGTGATGCAGCAACCAATGTGCCCTCAGGTAAAGCTTAGCGACAGAAGTGCCATTTGCTTTCTTGTGATATTTACTAGGTACATGGAGAGCTATGCTGCCTAAGACAATTATGTTGTATGCTGGCTTTATTTGTGGTACCCCATTCTTCTACATTATTGTGGGTTAGAACATCCATACATGGTGCTTCACTGCTTTTCAGGAATGGCCTGCTTAAAAGAGACACATTTGAAAAGTTGTGGGAGAGTGAGTCCTATTTATGAAGCCTAGCACGGTACCCTGAATGTTCTAAGATACAAATAACAATTGATTCGTGAATGATAAATCCCAAACCGCTTAATTGGAAATATATGGTATTAATACAGGTAGCTGATAGCAATGCGAGATCCAACTCCCTTGGGTTCTTGTAATTGTCACTAGCATCTGCCTCGCTAGACGATCTTTCCATCCTGCACCTGGCCGACCGCTTTTCTGTAAATTTGTCGTCTAATCCGATACCAAGGTCTCTGTCATGGACTATGGAGCGCATTTAATCTGTCCCTTGGTATTCTCACTAGTGCATGTGGTTTCGCCTGCCAAGTTCTCGGAAAAAGCGGTGGTTGTTCGTGGTGTTCCGAACCCCTTTATACCGGGTCTATTATAGCACTATAGATGAGAATAAGTCTGTATACAACACATAATTAATCATTATCTATGCTAATACTTACGCAGTAGGTATGTCCACCATTTGCTTCGCAGCCTCCATTTCCTTCTGTCCCGCCATTGCAATACCAAGGATTTGTTCGTACTTGGGCAACAACTACGGTAATGCCGAGCGTGAGAATAACGATAGGTTTCATGATAAATAATCGAGAAATTCAAGTGGTTTATAGAAGTGATCGGTATGGGTGGAATCAGGTGCACAATAAGCAGGTACGATAAATAGTTGAGAATGTATTTTTAGCTACGAAGGGACGTACTACTTATATAGACAAAAGAACGCCTGTAGCTAGTACTGTAATAAGACACGTGCAAATTCGTATCCGCGTACGAACCCGCATGCTAAGAGTTCAACCCTTATAGGCGAAACTCAGCACCAGAATACTTGCCATATCCTAGGTTACTTTGTCCCTGACTAAATGAATTTAATTTCGTAGGGGCCTTCACCTTCCCGGTGGGATGACGGACCCATACCTAGGTACTCTCGACAGTATGGAAATGGTAAACAAAATGGCACAGGAAGTACATGAATATGTTATTCTTGTACTTTTTTCTACGTCACCAAGTATGTTTGTAGAATTATGTACGTACTACTTTATACCCACAATAATATTAAACCTAAAATTTTAACAGTATAACTACCTACCTTATAATTTAGGTAGATCTAATAGTAATAAATCATTAACGAGGTAAGGAAAGAAGTGAGCGGAAGAGGTAAATTAAAGATAATAGAGTGGTAGATATAATAAAAAAGAATTGTATAAACACTTGTACTACTAGGAATGATTCCTTCTTTGAGACTAATCTAATTAATAACTTGCTATTCATACAAAAAAAACTAACGAAAATGGTAAAACACAACCCTTCAAAAAGGATTAAAGTTGAAACCCAAAGAAAGCTATCAATTTAAGCATCTTTAAAGACGACAGCAACAGTAAGCTTATTACCGGAGTTTTCAGCCTGTTTAGGAACAACAATGACCTTATCTGGGACCTTGTTACCGATAGCATTGTGGTGGTTAGCAAAAGAGTAGAACTTGCTGTTGAAGTTTGGGCTTCCCATAAAGCGATCAAATTGTGGAGTTCCACGGTTGAACGTAAGAATTTCGCTAAAAGGCTGCTTCATGTCGTTGTAGTTCTCTCTGGTAATCGCCCAGAACTCTTTGTTCTGAACATCCATGAGGAACGCTGCTTTGAAGTTTTTGGTTTTGCCCTTGTCTTGTGTTCCCACCAGAGTTGCCTTCTGGAACTGCTGTATACCTATCTCATTCAATGGGACTTTCGTGCCAGCCGCTGTGTCAGCGTCCTTGAAAGCGTCTTGATAAACAATGAACTGTCCATTCTTGTCGTACGTGCCTCGGTTAATCATTTTGCCATCTTTTGCGCTGTTGACCACTGTCTGTCTTAACAGTCCTGCAGCGTTGATATTGAATCCAAGCTCGTCTGTGCGGAAATTCTTCAATTCCTCCAACTCACTGATAAACACGTCGATGTCGTAGATCTTGTACTGGTCGTTCAGAATACGGATGTCCATAAACGCCTCGTTCGGTCCATACTTGGCAAGATCCGCTTCATTATTGACCATTGGGGTGTCTGGCTTATCGCTCTTAGCGGCTGTTTCGTATTTATTTACTTGCGTCTGTCCCAAGTTTGCATAGTTCTCCATAGGCTTGGGCTGATTGCCAATACCAACGCCCTGCCCAGGATTTTCACTGAGTGGGATTGGTTGATGGTTAGGTTTTGGTGCCGGAGGATTAGGACGTGGTAGGGGTTTTGGCAAAGGATCTTGCTTGGGAACTGGCTTGGGCTTAGGGGCTACCGGACCCGGAACAGGAACAGGAACAGGAACAGGATGAGGTCTAGGTCTGAGAACCGGAGGCGTAGGAGGTCGAGGGATTCCTACTCTGGTTACGATTCTTTTGACACCTTTAATAAGCTTGAGAGAAAAGTCGTCCTCATCCCGATTGGTGATATTGGAATCTTCAGCTTGTTGGACGGGTACAACAAAAAGATCACCGTTGCGAGTAATGACTTGTTCAGTGACATCTGCGGTCTGGGCGATTGGGGCTCCCAAGATAAAGTGAGGAAGGTTGCTTATGAAGGCAGTAAGGAGCACGGCATTCTTTGCCGAGAGTAGCCTCATCTTAAAGAACGAAAAGATATAAAATCAGAAGAGTATTGTAATGTGTAACAAATGAATGTATAGAAAGTGATAGGGTATGTTGCTATCGTTGTAATGAGCGACGAATAGTAGATAATAGATATGGAAACCTTTGGATAATCGGAAAGACCAGTATTCTTTATAGATATATTGATATCGTGAAAGAATTTTTATAAAGGCGATGCTGTACCTAGTTTACGAATCCGCCACATCTGACCTACTCCAAATCCTAACGAGGCTGATTTTTTATAACTCATGTTTCTCATTCCAGAGTATCGAGGGAGCGAAAAAATGTGCACGTAAAAGTGGGATAAAATAGAGTAAAAGTATCTACTTGCAGAACGCCTTCCCCGTAAAACACATTGATTCGGCCAACTAGGCAGTATCTCCAAGCATTTAAGCTTTAATTCCACCGAGTTATCATCCACTTATACCCACTTTTACGTGCACGTTTTTTCACTCCCTCGATACTCTAGAAGGGATTGTCACGAATCACGTGTTGTCACGGGATGAGTGAAGACCAGGCGGCGTCCTGACAGGTCAAGCACATCACAAGCTCTTATAGCAAATAGGGATCGAATAGACTAGCTAGACGATCCAAGGATTTCACAGGAAGAAATCACGTGATAAGCTTCATCGACATTATCGTTGTCGATGAAAGCGATGATCGACATTATCGTTGTCGATGAAAGCGATGATCGCCAACATCAACAGTCGATGAGAGTGATCAAGACAGAACGAAGGTTCTATATAAGACTGGCACGTCTGCCATTAGATAGGAGCTTCGTGCTCAACTTAGTTATCAATCTTATCATATTAGTTTGACATCTTTGATACAAGTAACGAGTTCACTTCCAAGTGAACAACCCGATAGTCTTCTTCTTATCATAGCATACCAACCAGCGAACACCCAGCCAAGTTTAGTTAGCCAGTTTGAGTATTCGTTACAGGGATATCTTAAAATAGAAAATAAAACAATATGGATTCGAACTTTTGAAGTCAATGGCTATGCGGTATAGAGCTAAAGTTGTTCCTTAGGGACATTGGGATAAAAAGTCCAGATTAAATTCAATCTCCAAAAAGCGAGTATAGTTAGGCTATACGAGCTGAAGTTATTCCGACGGGAATCAAACCCCAGTTATATTAGATGAATTACGAGGGGCTTAGCAAGCGACAGTGCTTATTTAGCTAAGATTACTTACTGATCTTTAGATTAATATTAGGATATTAGAGTAGAAAATCAAGATTGAATTCGATCTCTAAAAAGTGAGTATAGTCAGAATTTACGAGCCAAAGTTACTCCTAGAGGAATTAAACCCTGGTTATATAAGAAGGATTACGAAGGGCTTAGTAAGCGATAGTACTTATTAGCTGAGATTACCTGCTTGTATTTAGATTAATATTAGGATATTAGAGTAGAAATTCCAGATTTAATCCAATCCTCAAAAAGCGAGTACAGTCAGACTTTACGCCCTTTGTCGTTTCACTTGGAAATGGAAGCTGCGAGCTGGCTAGCGCCGGTATTTAACAATCGGGGACCGTTCGGCACAGCACCTGGCAATTGACTGGGAACGGACCACCACGCGCCTAACCTCCCTACTTCCAACAGAATGGGCAGAATTGAATACAAACCCCCTTTCACAACCCCACCATATTGCCCTTACTATCTTAGCGGTCATTGGGCCTCCACCATCATTACTTTCTCGAAGTCTTTTCTTTGGCCGTTTGTGACCTGGCCTTCACCTCAATTCACCTCAGAGAATGTCTCACAACTCGACCAAGATGATCGATCTTCAAGCTTTTCCGAAAGATATTTTCACTCTTATTATTGAACAACTCGTGATTGGCGTTGGTATTCACACAGCGGTTCGTCTGCGGACCGTGAACAAATCTTTCGACACCGCCATTATCGAAGCTATTTGTGTTAGTCAAGTCGTTGACATATACGATCCCGCTACACCGGACCTAGTTTATTTCATAGGCTCTACTCTCAGGGGCAAGATCTTTCTCACCAAATTGCTTTCTGCTAAAGCGACCAGTAAACCCCATTTTTCCGTCATCGCTCAGGTCTGCCAGACGCTAGATGACCTAATTGGCGAGACGGATGAGGTCTTGGTCAAGTGTAGACACAATAATATCTCAGAAGCGGTCGGCTCTTTGTATTCTGTATACTCTCGCGATAAACCAGTCGACGCCGAACTAGAAGTGCAGAATTTGCTGAGTGGAGCAATCCTTTGCCAATCTCTACCTCTCGTCAAATTATTTGTTGAGTCTTTTGCAGATGTTAACGGCGCTACACCATACTTTGGGAGACCATTGAATCTCGCTGCATCTACGGGAAATCTTGAAATTTTTCTCTATCTCTTAGATTGCGGCGCGAGTACAGTGTCGTTTTCCAGCACCAATCAATATGAAGACATCCACGGGGAAGAGTCTGACTGGAAATCACCGGACGAGGCAGCACTCTGGCACATAGCATCAACTTATAGGGACCCCCCGGCCAGCACATTGCGTGCAGCGGTGCTCGGTGGCCATGAAAAGATTATTGACCTATTGCTACTCCCGCAACACCTAGTGTGTGCTTCTAGATTCGAATATTTCCGAGCAATTCTAGTAGCTGTAAGATCTGGTCGCCTTGATCTCATCAAGAAACTATTTCATATTACGGGGAAAGAGTTATCAGAGTTTCCTGGGTTCGGAAAAGAAATGATCTGGGAAGCGGTTCGCTGCGACAGGAAAGATGTGGTTCAATTTCTTCTCGACAATGGTGTAGACATCAACGTTTTCCCAGACCCAGACATTCGCACATATCGTGGCACACTTCAAATCGCCGCTTCCCGTGGGAACATCAGCATGGTGAGTTTTCTCATAGAACGAGGAGCGGATATCAATTTTAATGGGCCCAACAAAGCTGGCGGTCTACCAATTGAGGTCGCTGCACAGTATGGGCAGGAAGAAGTAGTTGGGCTACTTCTTGAACACGGTGCCGACCCTAGTAAAGCCCTTCGAAGCGCTGCAAAAGGATCACAACAAAGGGTGGTTAAATTGTTGCTGGAAAAATTCACAGACTTGCCCTTCCAAGAAGATGGAGATGTAGGTAGAGAAGCACTTTGGAATGCCATCGCTGCCCGAAATCTCACAGCTATTGCCCTTCTCGTTGACGCTGGAATTTCCCTCAACGACGGCTACGAATACTCGACCTTGCTCCCCATAAACATCGCAAAACAGGGTCCAGGGCCATGGGTTGTCAACTATTTGATTTCACTCGGTGCACAAGAGACGGATGCTGTTGCCTATACAGATGAATGTCCGGTAAATATCAGAGGGATACTTGTTTCCGAACGTACATGGGAATGGGTCAGTAAGTATTAGTAATTGAATATAAATTCCTCTACAAACACCTATCTTAATGTGATGTAATATCTTCTTTAGAGCATGCGTTTCATAAGATGCCCAGTCATTGCGGCATTCAGAATACTTGCCTTTCCCTTCTTACATGGAGAGATCTCTGCATCAATTATTGAGCTGCGGACCCCAACAATTTGAATCATGCTGGTCTGCACTTCTTAGGTGCTTTACACTAACGCCACGATCCCCTTATACTCTGATAGCGGTGCAGTGATTCCGAAACCAACACTCTAAACGGAGGATTCCAGCTTCAAGAGCGGTCAAGAACATTGAGTGTGAGGGTGGAGCATTCCGAAGCGGCTGGCTCGTTGTTAGCACGATGTGCATGATAATTGCTTACCCAGATACTAAAATAGACAGCATTAATCGTATGGCCCTTAACCACAAGTACCGCATCAGACTCTAATTTTATTTGTGGTTAGTAGTTAGGGATACGTTGTTACGATGCTACGCCACCACAGCTTCTTCTTTTTCCTTTCTTTCTGGATCTTCCTCAATTCTTCTAAATAATCTCCCTATATTATTTCATACTTTAATTATCCTATTTTTGCGTCACGATGCTCTCATACTCATTGTGGTCCCAGAAGCCAAGAGGGGTTTCTTCCCGCACGTTCGTCTTAGCAATTTCGTCTACGGTTTCCCTCACAATTGTAATATCTATTACTGTTCTGGTTTTGAATATAACTGCCTCGAGTACCTATCGCGATGCCACTGATAATGGTGCCGTTGAAAGCATCTTGTCCCTTCGACCAGACGGCGAAAACGGCGGCCTCACCCTCGCTATGTACCCAAAGGATCTAGGCCGCGACTACGTCAATCTTACTCTTGCTGGAGCAAGCTTGAGTTTAACTCTAGCTTTAAGTATTGCTTTGTTACTTGTATTCGTCGTTCGAAGAGCTAAGACAGTGCTGGTAAATAACGTCCATCTGGTTATTTATACTTGAAGAATTGTTTCTGGCATGAGTTCCTTTTGCATAGTTTCTGAACTGGCAACAGGTTCGAGTCCTCTTGGCTCTTCTAGGAAACTGCATTATATCCGTCGTGGTTTTTATAGTTTGCGCCTTAGTATTTAGATTAGTTTGATAAGAAGTAGGAATAGACGATTAACTATTAGGACTACGGTAGTACTTTTCTTGGAAGGAGGTTCCTTTACTAAATTGGGTGTATATAGATGTACATTTCTTGATCCCCAAAGGCTGTTATGATTGACAACGGGCGCTCTGTTACACCATACAGACTATAATTAAGCAGGAGCTCACTATTGCGAAGCCAAGAAAGTTCAAGGCCACTATACAGTAATATGTTGAGAGATATACGTAAATGATGCTGGGGTACCCTTACGACGGAGTGTGCCGTCAATGTATTTTCTGGTAGTATTATGGTGAAACCTTAGTCTCTAGCAAAGGAAGCGATGCAAATGTTGTATTGGATTGATTAGATAAGGAGGGAGTTGGTATGTGACTTCTGCACACCAAAAAACAACAAATAAAGATAAAGCCCAAAGGTTGCAGAGCCAAGATAGTAAGAGAGTCAGAAATGGAAATTAGATGAGCTTACAAGAATTGCCGGTGGGATGGTGGGTGTGAAGTAATTGAGGTAAATGTAAGGATGTTGAAGCATTTGTTACCAGTGTTAGATTGGTTACGTCAAAATGTAGACCCTGAAATTTCAATTGTATAACTGCCTACCTTGTGCTTTAGGTAGATTCATCGGTGACAAACCATTAGCGAGGCGAGGATGATGGAGGTAAGCGGAAGAGGCGAAAGAAAGATGATGGGGCAGCGAATACAACGAGAAAGAATGGTATCTAGCTTGTGTGACAACAATTGTGGCGATGGTTCGTTGGTTTATCATGGGCATGAAGAGCATGGGTAAGAACGATGGTGCGCGTAGAGTGGTGTTAAACTCTTCTATTCTGATATTTTCCATTCTTACTACGTAAGCAAGTGCAAATGTACTAGGAGAATGTACCAAGACAATCAGTCATAAAACTAGGATGTAGAAGGAGTACAATGACAGGACGTGTTGAGATTGAAGATGTTGGAGCAGAATGAGCAACCTTTTCAAGGTACAGTACATCAAAGTTAAGATTAGACAGGGGTGGTTCTGCGACACTGGGAGACACTAGTACCGACCAAAATTAGTCCATGATTAGTGGGAGACACGTGTAAAGCAGCGCCCAGTCTGTCAACTTCCACAAGCACGCTGTTCTGTGTGGTTCCTACGGAGTACTATTTTGATGTCCTGATGACAGCCAAAGGTACTGGGGTCTGGGTCGGTAAAGCAGCACTGCAGGTCAGAAAAGTGGGCATGGGAAGAGCTGTTCTTGACGCTCAACAGAGAAAGAAGTATTGGACAGGGGTATGTAAGCGAGACGCTGACATTTCTGCTAAAATGAACTTTTTGGGAAAGTCTGATGAAGGACTGTTTGTGTTCTTACGATCTTGTGCCAATGCAACAACCCCCTTTAAATTGAGCGAAGCAAGGGAAAAAAAGTGTTTGAGTAACTGTTGCTATAGTAATTGCTAAGATATCAAAAACATTATTAGGTAAGTAAGCGAAAACTTCTTGTTTGTGTGCAAATGAACTCTAGCAGGTTGATACTAATACCAGCTCAATAGCCTTCAGCAATGCTGGTTATATATAATATCTTCTCCCAAAAGGTAGGAAGCCAAACCACAATGTATATTAGAATAATTCAACGGATTGAAAACAATAAGACGTAAATATGCCTCATGTATCAGACTGCGACACTTCGAAAGTTACTGGAAACAATACATACATAGAAACCATCATTGCAGAGCAAAATATAGGTGGTGTCAGTTCATCAGAATTAGGCGAGATGTTCATCGCTTCCATCCAGGCTAGGCAACCATCTCATTTGCCAAAAGAAAAAGCGACAGGAACGGAACAGGACCGATGTTACTCCGATTGGTCCCACAAAGAGGAGATGAAAGATAAATCAAAATATTGATAGAGCGAGTCAATTTGACATGTTCAATTCCAAGCAATTCCACTCCTCCCAATCCTCCTATCCCGCATAGACTATACAGCACCACTTCCCTATACAACACTTTCTTTGCGACACTTGCTTATAGACTACCAAAATGAGGCCTTTTGATAGAACTCTTGGACCAAAGAACAGCCTTGGTAAGTTATCAATTCCTTGCTATCTTCCTTTCGCCTCCTTTGCGAACCTTTTCTTGGGGAGCTTCTCCTTCCTGGAGGAACCTTCGTTGTGGCAACCTTCCCAGTATGGAAATACTTCAACGATTGACTCGAAGATGTTGCAAAGCTTGCCAATTTACTTGGAAAGCTTCTTAACTCCCAAAGAGCCTTTCCTGGAGGAATCTGCGCATTTCAGGGGGCGTTCCAACTGGGAATTGCCTCAATGAAGGGCGCAGAGATGTTAAGAAGATTTCCAAGATGCATGGAAAGCTTCTTAGCAGGCATCCTTACCTCTCAAACATCTCCTTCCAACAGGTTTCTTGTTGCAAGTTGTGGCAAGAGGTCAAAACCTCTCACAATAATTCTAGACGCCTCTATCTTCCACCTTTTCTACCACTGAGCCTCCTTCTCTTGAAAAAGAGATAATACTGGTGGTGGCAGAGATAGAAATACTAGGGAAACAGATATGTTTGATAGTGTCAGCCAATCTTCTTGTAGCTCGCTTCACAGAGTGACAGAAGAACTGTGCTATCTTAGACAGTCATACCTCCATACTCGTAACAGGCGCTCTTTCCTGTCAGCTGAACTTGAAGTTTCAAGGGGTGAGTGAACGGACTCTTAGTATTGACAGACACTGCTCTTCTTGCCTGGCAGCCTAAGAGAGACGTCACCTGAGTGAATCAGCTTAATTTGCCCGCTTGACACCGTCACACGACGTAAATTTAACTCTGCAGATTTCGACTTCCGCACACTTCTCTACAAACACATCTTTCCTACAACCACACTCCCCTCAACAACCACATCACCACATCTCGCCACCATCAAAGAATTTATTGACTCCATCACTTCATACTTGAGAACTATCTTCTGACGCGAGATCTACAGCATACATCATGGAGAGCGTGCGCCGCCGAACGGAAGAACGTCCTGCGAACGAGCAACCTCCCGCCAACACTCCATGTCCCTCTCGAATTATAACACTCAATGTTCGCTTTCCACCCGTCGATACGCAAAATACTCAAGTAGTCCAGGCTACTAGAGTAAATGAAACAACTCAAGGTACATCAGTCCAATTTTTGACTCGAAAGTAGTTGAATCGTCATGCTAATTTATCCTAACTTTTCGAATAGCCGCGCAATCTACTTCCGCTCCCACAGAGTCGAGTCACCGAGCTGAAGTTGCGACCGGTCCTACTTCCGCTGCTAATGTTGATACAACCGATGCTGGTACAAATAACTCTGTTTCTCAAGGCTCGGGAAAGAAACGACTGGTCTGGGGTCACAACCGCGTAAGTCAAAATGACGTACTTTTCGCTCTCTAAGACAAGTGTCTTTCCCATCTCTACTCCCCTACCTAACTCACCAGAGTGTGTACGTAGAATACCTAGAAAAGAAGTGAATCATCCGACTTACTTTCCCACACCGTACTCTTAGTTCTCCACATCCATCACTTGCAACTTGTGTCTTCATCTCATAACATACAAGTACTAACTTCCGTATCTATAGTATTCGAAGCATGGCCCAGTCGCCCCCCGTGGCACAGTATTCCTGATGGACCAGAACACCCATCTCGACCAATCCCGCGCCAATGTGGGAAAGCCGGAGCCAACCAAGCTCAGAATTCAGATCAAGGACACACAAGGAAACCTCGCAATCCATAAGCATCCAAGAAAAAAGGAAGCGAAATGGGATGACCCAGCCTGGGTCAGCAATTTGAACAAATGGCGATCCCAGACTTTCCGTCGCACCTTCCGTCTCGATCCTGCCTTCGTCAAGAACGAAACACGTACAAAGTGGACTATAGGCGAGTTTGAATGGTTCAAACGCCTCCTGAAGAAGCGAGCCAAGACTACCCGAACCAAGATGTCTCTTGCCGATTTCAAGAAGATCGCGCGTAAGCACAATCGTCGTTGGGAGGGTGAGACCATCAGAGTAGGCGAGGCATTGCACAGGGGAAAAGGAAATGTCGTGAAGAAGCCTCAGACAATCCCGGCGCGTACGGCAACTGCACTTCAAGCGATGTACATACGTGATCCTAATCTCCTCAACACCGTATACAGCTATATCCCTGGCCACTTCGTTAGGGATGAGGATGGAGAGGATGAATTGGATGTCGACGGCGGTGATGTTGCGCAAGCCAAGATGACGGAGGGCTCCAATGGACAAGGCGATGATGAAGACTCGAATATGGCAGATGTTGGAGGTGATAGCGAGACCAGCGACGAAACATCCGATAGCGAGAACTACAACGAGGGTGAGACCGACGCGCATCTCGAGGACTCATCCGACGATGAAAAGGATGGCATGCGCCCTGCATCCAACCAGACTGGAGCTGTTCTCATTCCTACTTGAGTGCACTTCCTTTTCGACCGCTTCTCCCAGCGTTTCTGTCAGCAATTTTGCGGCATTGCATAGGTGTTTTTTTCGGATCGCGTTGATGATACCCTTTACATTCTCGCGTCAGCATACATAATTTGCCAATCTTGCAGTACTTGTTGCCTGTCTTGGATTGAATGGCTTTAGAAAGTACTGGAGCACAATGTCCCTTTGGTTTCTTTGATGGGGCCTTCGCGGCGAAGAGGCATCTCATACGCTATTCATGGTGTCTTCCTTAGCGTTTTTTTGTTTTTGCATTCTCGCGATTTCCTTGGCTTGTCTCTTGCCTGCGGGCACTTGTAATAATGTTTTTTTTCCCTTGGCTGGGATTCTCTGGGAGTCGATTATGGCTCTTGGTATTTGGTGGTGGATGTCCTTGGTTTTGCTGCTGCTCACAGCACTTTGGGCAGCATGGTCGTCTCTTTGGCTTGATCTCGTCGCTTAGATGATTTGGCTTAGACACTTGGAGGATTTCTTCTGCTCTTGTCCCAGAAGATGTGGTTCTCTTTGGGAAGAAGGGACCACATATTTCTTGACACTCAACTCCGTTTTCATTTTTATAGAGTACCATATGGTCGATGGGTCTCGTGGGACAACAATCACAATTCGGACTGGGAATCTGTCGAACTTTCGACGCAACCGGTGGAATCATACACGGCTCGCTCTTTACGTATTTAATAAAGTTGAATTGTACAAAAACAAAATTTTGACGAACATGAAAGTGGTGATCCTAGACGCAAGGCAAACAAATTCTCTCTGCCCACTACGGAATGCCGATCGGACACTTCTATTAAAGTAAAAAAGTAAAAAAGTAAAAACCCGACCAAAGTTAAAATCTACTCTCTAATTTCTTACTAAGTAATATAGGAATCGCTTTTATTATTTTTAAGGACAGTAGAATAAGCTCTTGTTTACTAGAACTGTATCTTCGTGCCCATCTTCGTGCCTATCTTTTTACCTATATAAGTATATATAATAGACAAGAATATATTAGTAGGAAGGGTAAAAGAAGGAAGGGTAAAAGAAGGAAGGGTAAAAGAAGGAAGGGTAAAAGAAGGAAGGGTAAAAGAAGGAATAGTAAAAGAAGGAAGGAAAGGAAAGGTTATTCTAAGGCAACAAGTGTCAAGGGTTGCACCCGTGGAGTGAGTCTTGGAGTGCTCCAGCAACATGTGCACGTGACCTCTAAGCAGACTTGGTGGAACCTTCTAGAGTATTGGTAAAGGACACGTAGCCAGGTCTGTGGTATATAGAGAGGGCTGGGAAGCTGCTTTGGGAAGGACAATCGAATCTTCTTGTACATAGACAACCTCTGTAGTTCAATTCATCAGCATTTGCTACAAGTCCTGACAACAAGGGAGTTAGTTCCTTTAAAATATTACTAAATTCCTCGACTTTTGTTTAGAATTTACGTAGCCCGGTTATTTTAAGCTATATTCTAGTCACATTTTAACCTACCTAAGCTCTACCCCACGATAGCTTCACTTCTTCTAACTACCTGACACCCCTACCTGCCTACCTACCTGCCTACTACCTCTCTGTTATCCCTTTACTCTATATATTATTAGGGTACTATAGGGAGGCGATAAGAAGGGCAGTAACAAGAGTAGTAGGTAGGTTAGTTAAGGACTTAAAATCCAAGGTGGCACGTAGTAGACAGGTAAGAGTTTAACACAGGAGGTACGAAAAAATCACGTATTTAAGGCTCTTTTAGTTAGTTTTTTACTTTTTCACTTATCACTTTTTCACTTTAATAGAAGTGTCCGATCGGCGTTCCGTACCTACCCATTAAGGCTACGCTGTATCGTTTAAACAAGGGGTAGCTGTTACCTTAGAATTGAACCTCGCCATACAAGTATATTTGACCCTAACTCGCCTATAATAAACGGATCATCGTCCGAGGAGATTCCGCGAAGATTTGAGACGATTGATAATTCTCCATTAATTCGTTTAACCTGTCTGCGAGGAATCTGATCTAGTAGATGTGCCGGAGAGTAGTTAACAAAGGATTCCAGAGACAATGGGCTTGGAGATTCTATCGGGGTGAATACGATAAATTCTCACCATCCATTTGCATGTTCCTAAAATTAGCGAGTTACTTTCATCAGGGGTCTAATGTTCGTATGTAAAGCTATTGAATCCACCAGGTCTTGAAAATATGTGTTCTGTGACAAAGCTACCCATATCTGTAGCAATGAAGAATAATGTAATACCGCGGTAGCTTACTCAAATTAACATGGAGGCAAATTTAGAGGCAATTTGAGATACTTGACACTAAGCCAGAGTAAAATGCTAGATGCAATCCGACGTTCAAGCACACCGCGAATCGCAGCTAAAGCGCGCCTTGAAGCCAAGCGAGACTCGGGTCTTGTGTGACCTTGACATAGACCCGTCTCCGTCGAGTCCCCAAGGAATCCGAATTCATTGGACAGCCATTTCACACAGACTCAAAGCTCCAGTGAAAGAAACCTCACAGACTTACCTCTCTAGCCGTAATGACAACTCTGACAACTTAGCCAATCCTTTTGTAGCTTAATGTACCTTAGCGTAAACACTTGGAGCTTTACCCATCTACTCGCCAGTGCTCATGAAAGCTCCCTTACTACCCTTCAACAGCACTTGGTGCTTTTCATTACAAGACCATCGTTCATCCGTCTCTCATAATCAAATTGCCGCGTATAGTTCGGATTCACAAACCAGAACATTTCTGTTTCCAGGCAGAGTTTCTCTCCTGCACATTTCTGATCCGGAATCTTCACAACTCAGATTTTTCTTCCGAAAGCTTTTCAACATTATAGTGGTGAGCCTGCTTCTCTACAAAAGAGCCTCGAAATAAACAGCGCTCTCTGTAAGGTTTCTCTCACTGTGCTTGGTACTGACAGATAGGGTGTAGTAATCGCCCTCTCCCTTTTGTTAGGATCGTCCTGCCTCAAGTCTTCTTGTTGCAGATCGATCTACAGACTTCTTGCCTCCTATCTGTGAGTATTTTCGTTCTTCTTTGTGCTGATCTCTCTGTTCAACAACATATACCAAGTGGCATCTATGTCTGTGCTGCGAGCCAAAATACTGCCAAATAACGTGCAGTAATCGCTCTGTCTCCCCGCCCCTCTTGTTGTGTGTCCAGGACTAGCACTAGCACTAGCACTTGCTACCCCACTTTTTGTTGGCGGTGGTGGTCAGTTTGTTTTACTGCGGTTCTCACCACCACCACCACCTCCTCCTCTACTCTTGCCCACCCCCCTCACCACCAACTCCAATCCACCTTTCGCAACAAGCAAGATCAGTTCGCCATCGCCATCACTGGCTTGCAGAGCCAGCGCGCGAATCCTCAGCTCTTTGTATCTGAGGTTCTTCAGCAGCAGGTTGTTCCTCAGCTTGCCTCTTCGAGTATCACCAGGTAGGTCGCAACTTTTCTATACCTCTCCATCAACAACACTCCTCTTCGCAACGTCTGCTTCACGATCGTCTTCACTACACTCCTGGCGGATGCGCATCGCCTCAGCTACCTGCCTCAAGCGTCGCTGCGCTGCGTTGGGTTGCCAGTCTCAATTTACCAAGCTCAAGACTTGGTAGGTTGAGACGGCAACTCTCCATCAACCACAATCCCCTCTCGCAACCTCCACCTCGCGATCGTCATCACTACACTCCTGGCAGACGTAAATGGCCTCAGCTATTTGTCCCTAAATTGATGTTGTGTTGCGTTGGGTTGCCAGTTTTAATTTCCTAAGCTCAATACAGCTTTGGTGTCTTAGCACAGCAACCCTCTATCAACAACACCATGCTTTCGCATTGTCTCTTCGCGATACTTGTTACTAAATTGCTAAACGGGGCCGCATTGCCTCAGCTCGGCTCGGCTCTTTGTGTCCTAAGTAGAATTGTGTCAACTTGGCCAATCCCAATTTGTCAGACTCAAGGCGACTTGGGAGGTGCGAGTGCACCTCTCTATCAATAACAACATCCTTTCGCGATCTCTCTTTACGATAGCCATCGCCAAGTTGCTTAACAGACGCACATTGCCTGGGCCTTTTGTGCCTCAGTCTTTTGTGCCTTAAGTGGTGGCATCTCAGATTGTCCAGTCTCAATTTCCCAAGCCCAAAACAACTTAGTAAGCAGGGATCAATAGCCTGGCCTCTCCATCAACAACACCACATTTTCGCAGACCCTTTTCGCGATCGTCATCACTAACTGTATCTCACTGAATAGGTCGCCGCTCCCCATCTCCACATTCCTCTCCTACCTCAACCGCCCCAAGTCTGCCAAGCACTACTTGGTAAGCCTCGCTTCGCCTCGCTTCGTCTATACCTGTCCATCAACAACCGCATCATTTCCTACCTCCATAACATAATTTTGCGATCCTCGTTACTGAACAAGATATCGCTAAATAGCACGACTACCAATCGTCGCCGCCGAGATGCCCGACATCAATCGAGATAACCATAACCACTTCAACGCGTCTTACCCAACTGGGGGTCATATTGTTTTGGAGGAAGGCTTGGCAAGTGAACAACGAAACGAACAACATCATCCTCCAAATGTCACTCCAGCCCACGTAGAGAATTGGTTAGACGAGAATGCTTCGCCATCAGCACGATTTTACAACAACAATTTGGAGCGCCGGTTTTCACGCCTCAATCAGCAGGGTGGATTCCAACCTCAAAACAACACCATGCTGCCCCCAGGTGAACTTATGCCCGCCGCAGGGTTCAACGGCCATTCCCCAAATATGCATTCAAATGCTATATACCGTCCTGCACAATCATTTGACTACATGCACCCTACTGGATATACTCGGCTCCCATCGATGATGACGACCGAAGAGTCGATGCAGTCTCCAGTCCGAGAGCATAATGACATTTTTCCACTTGGACATATGCATGTTGGTCCTGCTATGACTATGGAAGGAGTACCGACACATATTCATGCTGCACCGGCAGCATCGGCGGGACCAGTAAGACAACCAGATGACACCAAGGGCAAAGGAAAGGGCAAGGGAATGGGAAAGGGAAATGGTGGATCAGTAAGTTCTACACCTTCCTAGTCCCCTATTATACTATAAAAAGAACCATATCATATCTCGAGCATAGCCCTAGAGTCATCCTGTCTTTTATAACGCAAAAGCGTCTGTTGCACTACAAAAGACAGGACGCCACTCGCTTAGGAAATCAGCGACTATTTTCTTCATCTCATCATTACACAAATAACTAACGTAATCTTTCCTTAGAAGCGATCACATCACATTCCAATCGTCCCTAAGGGTACAAAATTCCGATGGGAGGATAACGGACATATTGATCGAACAGCTTGTAAGGTTGGCGTCGTAGATAAGGATAAGTTGCGATTCTCTCTTAACGCTACGACTGGTCGCTCTTATAAATACAAGTATCCCCACAGACATGGGTTTGATTGGAATGACAAGGAAGAAATCCTCAAAGCCAAAAAGTGGCGGCAGCAAATCTTGAAGCGACGCATGGAAAAGACAATTGTCAACTCTGATGCTGCTTCCTCTGACTCCATCCGCTGCAAATGGTCTGAGAAAGAGAAAACATCAATTGAAGTGCGTGTTGAAGATATGATTGAGGAGAAGGGGCGAAGGCTTGTCATGGAGGATTGGGCGGAAATCACCAGAGACCACAATGAACAATTCAAGGGCGTCCAGATCCATGTTGGCGAGATGATGCCGACTAGCCGCTTAGCTTCTGGAAAGGGTATTGATCAGAGAATCAACCAGACTGAATACTTGGTTCAGCCCAGATCTGCCGAGGCCGTGTATTCCCAAGCCAACAGATGGCCAGATGTCAAAGCCATGATGGTTAAGAAGTATTCCGAATTTGAGGAGGAGACCAGTGATGAATACGGCGATATGGATATGGAGCTCGGCGGCCATGGTTCACAAAGCTTCTTAGAGTCTATGGTTGCAAATTCCGGTATCCAAGATCACGGCATTATGCGGAACCTGGGAGGTAATTTGAACGATGCCGAGCCTAACACAACAAAAGAATACGACGAAGACGCCATGGGCAGCCCGGATTATGGTTTTGAGTATACCAATACCCCCAGTGGTGTAGTTGCAACCCCGTCTCCAATGAACTCGCCTTATTATTCTCTTCACGGCACAGTCGGACAACTCTTCAATACCCCAACTCCTCTCCATTCTGTTTCTACTCGCAACAAGGCTGCTAATGAGACAGCTGAGGCTACTCCCTGTCCTGCTCCGGGTAAACGTAGACCAGCTCGATTCGACTCTGATAATGATGCTGATATCTCCAATCTTTGAGACAATAGCAAGTCTTTGCCCTTATTGAGTATTCACCAACATCCTCAGGGCGTATGACCACATTTCATACACCTCTAGGATATCTCCTTAGTTTGGATGTTGTGGTGCCTTGGCTCTCGCATCTTGGCACCAGTCTTCTTGATCATATCAACGCCACTTTGCTGATACCGACTCCTCGACGCCCCCTAGTGAAGGATGTATCAACCTCGTGTTGTACACTTCATCTTTCTCCTGAGCCTAGGACTTTGTTGATTCTGGCCTTTCTAGGAGTTTTTGGCGCATGAAGCACCATTTTTCCTTTTCCTTCTCTCGAAATTGTAACATCACTCTCAGAAGGTCGTTTTCCTTGCTTGTTTCTTTGTTTTCTCTTGTCTCTCTGACCTTGCCAATTCAGGGCCCTCTCAATACTGCCAAATGTCTTTGAGATGTGTCGCTTGTTGGCTGCTCGTCATCGCAGAGGATACCCATATCATTGCTTTCCTTCTGAATCTTGTCTTTCTTTCTTTTCCATTCTACCTTACGTCGTATCGTTAGACTCTCAGCGCAGCCAAATACTTCTGAGACCAGTTGCCTTTGTCGTCGCAGTGGACTAAGGAGGCGAAACCCATATCATTTGCGTTTTTTTTTTCATTCTCCCCTTGAATCTGTACACAGGGATGGCGTGGCGCATTAATGTTGATTGGAGGAAGTTGTCGTTGGTGTTTGGCCGTTGGGAGTTTGGAGTTGCGCATATTCAACCATTTGAAATCTGGGGTGGATGTTTCTTTAGTTCGTTTCTTCCTGCAGGACACCCATATTGTACATACGGCAAGCTTGTACATACCACTAGATATGACTTTTTGTCGTTCTGGCATGGTTGGATCTTTGTTTCGCTTGGGATCTCTGGCTCATTGATGGTGGTTGGAGCTGCTTCTGTACCGTGCCTAGCTAGCTAAATGAACACCTTCTCTGTACATGACGTGCATGTTGTGGTGTATTTGAGAACTGGTTGAGTGTATCTCTTCGTAATATTGTGCGTGATCCTATTGTTGGTAATTTACGTGATTCTATTGTTGCTATCGTAAATCGTGGTTGTACGTGGGTTTGCTTTCGTGCTTGTGACTGTCCTCCTTACGTTAGCCAACTGCTGTGACGTTGCCGAATTATTCGCTTGCTTACCTGCTGACTGCATTGAATATAGAACATATCCACATCCTGATTCAGAAGCAATGAAGCCCTATGGACGAGCTTCTGGTCTGGAATCCTAATTACGATCAGGGCAGTCTGGAAGCCTCCTGGGGCCTCAGTTGAGGCTAGCCATTCATTCAGACATAACTCTAGGGTGAATTAATCAATCAGAAGATCGTATAACGATAAACAAAGAGGTAACAGCAGCGTTGTTGGGGGGGGCTCTTACTCATACTCTATGCGTAGGTACGATGAGGTGTCGTTGGTGTTTTAAAGGGGCGTTCCGATTATCAATTGTTCCGATCGGATCAACTTAAATATCAGTTCACTGTGTTTATTGCCAATGTAAGAGAATAAACATTTCTCTTTCTATCTGTTCACAAGGTGCCCTTTCAGTTTTTGAGTTTGTTTGCAGTGGTGGTTTGCTGTTGTTATTTTGCCCTTAACTATAGTTGTCAAGCCCCCAGACCCCTCTTGTCCAGTGTGCATTTCCTAGCCTCCATGCCCTTTCTGTGTATGGATAAACCTCTTTCGTACTTATCTGCTCTCAAGAGAATGACATGGAGGTACTTATAAATCTACCAAGAGCCTCCAAACAACTTTTCCTGGTCAGGAGAGTGTGCGATGCTACTCGGCACGGTGGGGCCGCAGCACCGGTATCGCGGCTTCAAAATACAGAGGACTAGGTTATCAGGGAGTTGGAGAGTGAAAGCGATTGAACTTTCCTCGCGGGTTCATGAAGGTTCGCTACATTCTCTACTTGTGGGATGGGAGAATGAAAATTATCTTTCGGTCTTGGACACTTTTTGGAATCAGTTTTCTTCTCCCCCTTTCGGTCTGCTGCTACTACTTATTTGCTCCAAAGTCAGGGCTTGAAGAGATGACGTTAAGAAACTTGATATGTTACGTATTACTGGACAGAGAAAACTTTCGTGATTTAGATCTCTGCTGGGTTTGTCTAATCCCTCCACTTATTTCTGTTTCGCCAGGGTACAAGCGAGCATTATACGAGCCCCTGAGTTTAACGAGACTTTTTTGTGTAAGATAATATGGGAACCATCCGCGGTCGTTTTTGAGTTATTAACGAGGCATCCTATGTAATCCAGGAGTTGCTAACTCTCTAGAGGTTATATATTTATAAGCGCTGCTAAAAATACCCGAGGGAAGATTGCATCGACCTTGGCAATGTAGGTCAGGGAAGAGATGTATATAATCCGACGATTCGAATTGAAGTAAATATCTACCACGTGGCTTTCACATCGGATATCATTCAATTCGCATCGCTTAGCCTAACGAACTACTTTGATTCCCTTGGAACTGTTCTCTACCATCGTTTTTGTTTACTAACATAACTTGTAATAATATATCCCACTCTATGCGAGAGGATCACGTGCCGCTAGGATCTACCTCGCACGAGTACCCACGTACCGTACCTCAAGTACGCGTCCGCTTTACTCCATTCCTTGTCGAATTACAATCGATTGTCAAATAGTATCTTATATCATTTTACTCCTCCCATTATGAAGTTTAATATAGGCATTATGCAATCAATTCAGGGGATTACCAATTATATTCGATCTTTCTGGTGGTCTTTGTGTATAGCCCTATTGCACATTTTACTGAATCCCTGTTGTTATAAAAGAAACATATTCAGTCAAAAATGCTTTATTTACGGTCACATATTCAGGAGCTATACTCGGCTGGGGTTTCATTGTATTTTCTAGCTAGAAATTCCATGTCTCTGAATCTCTAAGATGAGACCAAATTTCCTCCTTTGATGCGTAGGTGAGCAGGTCATCATGTATTCTACGCTATTTTCTCTCCCCGATTCCTAAAGAAAATCCTTCCTCGATTCTTTCATGCAGATTCAGGCCCCAGCGTGTGGTCAATTTCCCCGGTACTCATAAATAGTGTTAGGTGTTCGTGCTTATTCAAGAACTGTTGGGTAGTCTGTCCAACCTCTTACTTCTTCAGGCGAAGGAGGCGTGAGGACAATACCTCGTCGAAAACGGGTCCACCAAGATGGATCTGCACGATCATGGTCACTTTGGTAGAAATGGAACTCCTCCTCTCCTGGTAGGAAGTACTCTCGCTCGCTAAACGCATACCGACACGTCGGACACGATCTTCCTTTTGCGTCCCGGATCCAGGTGGTCAGACAGAAGTACCCGAAGACATGACCACATGGTAATACAGCAGGTAGTTCGAAAGTCCCCTGAACCACCTGTTCATCTCCGTAGTCAATTTCGCATATTACGCAAGTGCGCTCATTAGCCGGAGGGTCGTCCTCATTTAACAACATGACGAGGTATCCTCTCTTGTCCATTGTCTCCGCTATGGCTCGATACAGGAAAGCGGTTGTATATCTGAATGATAAATTGACGTATATGTAGAATAACGCTCTTCTGTATGTGGACGAGGGGTCTGTGAAGACATTCTCCAAATTCGCCTTTCGGATTCGGTATGCGAAATATTGTATGACCTTGTCTAGTAACTTCAAATCTCGGGCATTCAAGAATCTTTCCTTGATGTCATCCACATCCCCTGAGTACGGTTCTCCAAGTCCCATGACTCTTTGCCATCCCATCAATTCCTTCGTACGCAGCATTGGATCCCCTTCCAGCCGATTTCTCTCCACCCAAAGAATAGCTTCAATGTCCTCTTGGGTCTGTTTTCCTTGATGTGGGCTTGGGAATACAGCATTGATCCGAATTTCTGGGTACTTGAACAATCTTAATCTTTCCCCATATCTACCCCTAGCTCCATTGGCTCCATTGGCGACCCAGTCGAAATCTGGGAATAGGCAGTCAACGCAAGGGTGTGAGAAGACACTAGTGTTGTGCCGCAAAACGCATCTTCCAGTTTGACGAGCTTCTTCGCATGCTCTTCTAGGGTCGTCTGAGTTCATGCAGCGCTTGTATTCTTCGCATTTGAGATAATTCATCGGGTGGGTGTGCTCATGGGTACATGACCACTGACAATGGAAAAGGTGACACATTTTAATGGTGCTATGCGGCTATGGATCTTTTGCTGAGGCTAGGAAGTTGTGAAAGATCCCCTCAGTAAGCTGGAGAGGCGTAAACGGCAATATAAGGCGTCGTAGAGTTGGCAGATGCTTCTGAGAAAGTTATGATCTCAAGGCATGAAGTGCTACCAGTTGAGAGTATTTCACAGAGGCAAAGATGCCTCTGTGTAGGTAGGCCGTTCAAGAGATGTGTTTGTTGTCTTCGGATAAGATTGTTGTTGTTGGTTTGTGTTTTGTAAATGCGAATCTTCTGTCTATGTGTTAGTAGGAATTACAAGGTGAGTGTGAGGAAGCGTTATTTGAAAGGCCTTCCAACCTGGCCTTAGCGACGCAAAGGCCCCTCATCATGGTAGATACATTCCCACCTTCACTGTGAGTTAGTAAGTATACACTTGGTTCAAATCAACGTAGGCGCATTCATCTTTATTTTGTGGCCACTTTGAGGTTGGGTACTTGGTCTACCAATAATGGGAGCCTAGCAGACATTCACCTACAAAAATCTTTTTCTATCATTGCCATGGAAATTTATTATACTACCTCAGTGAGGGCCTAGTATCAGTGAATTAATTCACATAGTATATCTAGTTTAATAGCAAGTACAAGTATAAAGTTCGCTTAAGTAAGAGCAACCTAATCTGATTTGTGGATGATGTCAGCCACGTCTGTGGCGCCCAATTATGGGGCCCACTTGATATCTTTATGTTAAATAACAAAGGGAGTAAGTAAGCTTAACAATGGTCTTGTTCTTATCAGGCTCTTTTCTTTCTCTCCCAGCTAGATTGCAAAACAATTCTTTTCCCATATCCTATTTTCGAACCTATATTCTGCTTTGATCGTTCACATGTCACGATGCTGTGGCGCTGATTTGTTTAAAAAATCTTGTTGTCGCTTCTCCACTAATGAGTTGTTTATTATAAGGAACAAATTAGATGGAGAAGCACAAATTACTTGTAAACTTCCTCTCTATCATTCATACACACATTAGATCATTCGGGAATCAAGATGAATCAAATGACTCAGCAAATCTCTCGTACGCAACTCGAAAACTTCCTCCTTACCCTCTACTTCGCTCCACAGGAGCTCGCTAATTTCTTGGCTCCCAACACAACATTCAGGTTCCATAACTATGGACGTGTCAGTTGGCATCTTGAAGACGGAAAGCCCCAGGTCGTTCTCTCTCTAGGTAGACAACAAGCTTGGACTCTCAATTGGCCTCCAACAGCAGATATCATCCTACGCAACCACAGTTACGATAGCTTGAAGAAGGCGAGGTAGGGTGTCATCGCATAGCCGTTGATAATTCTGTAGCTCGTCTTGTGGAGAAGCAGGGGGACGAGGAAGGGAGAGTCAGAGTCTTAGTTTACAGTGCCGAGACGTATTCTATTAAACTCATCTTTTCTGAATACGGCCTCGTATTCAATTAAAGTGGATTTTCTGAAGATGTCTAGATACTAGATATTTTCAGTTGGAAAGATCCAGTTTTGATGGAATCAGTTAGCGAAGTAACGCAATTTCGGGGAGTATCTGTGATACCTCCGAACAAGTCTGATAATATGACAACAATAAGAAAAAGGTTTGTTTTTGTTATGTTCTGGTACGGCATCCCGAATCTACTACTAAACCAGATAACCAAATCGCAAATCGCAAATCGCAAAAGTCTTATATTTACTACTGCTACCTACTACTATTGTACCTATACCCCCACAACCCCACCCTCGCTCAAACTTCACAGCCTTGAAATTTTCGCGGGCACACTCGCCACCCTCGCTGTCGTCCCCCTTCGCTGTCGTACCCTCGCCGTTATACCCTCGCTGTTATACCCTCGCTATTGTAACCTCGCCGTTATACCCTTACTGTTGTACCCTCGCTGTCGCACCCTCGCTATCGTACAAGGGTTGTGCCCTAGTATTTTGTTTAGAAGAGAGTGAGGGAGAGAGGGAGAGAGAGGGCAGCGAGCGGGGAAATATTTTCGTGCGTGTCGCTTATTCCCAGCCCCTCATACCACCTTCCTAAAGAGGCTAGGCTAGCACGTGTTACGCTAAAATTGTTTGCTACTTGCCTGTCCTCTCTCCCCCTCCAACTTTCTCTTCTCTTTCTTTACGACAACCCTTTACAATAGCGAGTATACGACAGCTAGAGTAAGATGGAGTATAAAGGGGTGGGGGAGGGGGGTCCCTAGGGGGTAAAGAATGTGGGTATATAGCACGTGTGCGACACGTGACTCGCCAGGGACCTTATACGAAAATAGTGGAGGGTGTGAGAAAAGGGGTCGTGAGAGGGTTATAGCAGAGAACCTATAATAAAATACTACAAATTTGATAGACTCCTCAGTAATAACTCTGTTCTTTGGCTCTCCCTCCTACATAAAGTGACTTTTACGATTTACGAAATTACGATTTACGATTTAGTCATCTGGTTTAGTAGTAGATTCGGGATGCCGTATCTGGGTACGTGAAACCCTCTATGCCCAATTACTATTTACATAAAAGAGAAAAGAAAATATGCAAAGCGACAAAAATAAGAAGAAGAAAAAGACTGGTCTTCTATCGTCAGTCTTCTGCATGACCTCTTAATGTCTCCAAATCCCTGGGCTTTTTTACCCTTATGTTTTTCTATCCACGCTTCCCCCCCCACCTTTAATTCCATTAATTAACACCCAACAATATACGATCTATCCAGATTCAAATACGATGACCTTGAGACAAACAAACATGATACCATGATACTTGAAGTGCTCCTCTGCGCGTAAAATACAACTTTGCACTTGAGGTTTCGGGCCTACTCCTCTAATCTAGCGGTGGTACGTAAAGAAGACAGATAACTTTGTACAACGGAAAAATGTAAGCTCCCTGTTTTAGAAACCCACAAGTTATATTTCGTCGGAATTAGGTAATAATTTGAAATTGTTGGTATGCTACTCATAGTCTAATGCAAACCCACCAAAAATGACGCCCTTATGTCCAAAACTCCACAGCATAACCAAAACAAATTAAGAGAAACATTTTCCTAACATATTATCCCGATGATGACCTTGTGGTTTCTACTATGCGGTTGTATCGGGAGTGGTCTCATCTAGAGCATCAGCTCCAGCATCAGTTACCACAGCGGTAGTGGTCTGGTTTCCCACATCAGTCGTAACCACAGTTGTCGTTGTTGTCGAATTATTTGGCTGGCTCTTGATAGTCATCTCCATAACCCTGAGTGAGATCTCATGAGCCATTTCATTCCCAAGAGTGTTATTGAGTAATTGGTACACTATGTCGTATGGGAATCCGCTATTTTGTGAAATTCCACTTTGTGTTACATTGGAATTTATCCCATCAACCAAAGTCTGGTCTGTGTTATCGTCGTGAGCATGGCCATGATTATCGACTGAATAATCTCCATGATATTGCGGATCATATGCATAATCTCCGTGCTGAACTTGCTCATATGGGTGATCTCCATAATCTTTAGGCTCGTATATATGCTCTGGACGATGCTCATATTCTTCATGGTTTTGCGGGTAGTATTCCTGTTGCTCTGGATAATGATCATATTTTCCCTGCTTATGTTGGTCGTATACAGGCTCTGGTTGGTATTCATATCCTCCTTGGCTTTGTGGCTCGTATTCATGCTGCTCCGGATGATATTCATATTGTCCATGACTTTTTGGATCGTATACCGGCTCTGGATGAGACTCGTATTCTCCATGGTCCTTTGGTTCGTATGAATGCTCCCCATGCTGCTCTGGATGATTTGCGTATTCGACACGTTTGGTATCATACGCGAAGTTTGGACGCCTTCCGACATCAGTAACTTCACGGTAGCCGCGTTTCTCTTGTCTCGTCTCAGCCGGCTTCATGATCCCACCAGAGGGGACGAATTCAAAAAACCGCAACATGATCTTGGCAATGTCCTTCGTGACTGCATAAATCAGTCTCTCTGGGATTTGGCCATCGGGGTACGGTTGAGAAATTTGATGAATCTTGTAATGCCCGTAATTGGTGATGAAATCGACCTGTTTTGCGTTTTGCTCCGCACTCAACATGAGAGCACCATGGTCCTCGAAAATTTTGGTTCGTGGAAGGGAGTCCCCGGAAAAGAGTGAAGTAGATCGTGCCATTATCCGCCCTCTGTGCTTGAGGCTTGGGTCGTCCTCGGGAGCATATGTGTTGTGTTCGTTGGATTTTCGGGGTCTAAAAACCCACGCCCTTGCGACGACAAAATCGCTGAGTATGAGGGCTGTGCCCATGAGTTTTAAGATCTGCATCTTGAGGGCCCAATTGTGGTAAAAGTCCTTCTTGGCGGAATCTGGATGCGAGAGGGGATTTTTCAAAAGAAAAGAATTGAAGGCGGGAGAAGGGAATATGTATTACCCCATTCTGTTATACGCACGTTACAACCCATTTATGAGGACAAAAGTCCTGCCGCTGCTCTAAATTGATAGGGAAATTGGCCTAGCATCATAGAATTGATTTCTGGGACATTCCCTGGAGCTAAAATCGGCCTTTTGAGATCACAAAATAATGGTTCTCACTAGCTTGGGTAAGGTGACCTTAGATGCACCAAAAACTATTAGGTGTCCCAAACAGCGATCCTAACAAAATGCGTAACATCCCGTGGCGAATTGATTAGATGCCCGGATCTATCCATGTTTCAAGAAAATGAAAACTGAAAGTTGGGTATGCGAAAAATGTGACAGAATTATCCGTTAACTGTGGAAAATCAGTCGTATGCGGTTCGTTTGGAGCATCATTGCAGGCAAGAATCAACTGGTCATTATTTCTGTTAGTGGTGATTCAATCCCCCCCACACCAGTAAATTCTCTCCTCAAATCAATGATGTAGAACGCAGGCGTGGGGCGAGTTTTCAATTCGCCAATCAGGCTTTCAATACGTAAGAGCGCTTAAGATTGGATAGGAGCGAGTAAGGATAGTAAAACTACCAAATGAATGTGATTGCTATAAATTACCTATACTAATCGGAGTTACCCCAAAGCAAGCCTATATCATATTGCCTTGATCGCTAGCAGAGGAAACCAAAATGCAAAAAGACAAAGACAAATTTTATTTGAAGCCAAGGTGTTTTGTTGACTTTGACTGCGACGTGCAACATTCAAGTTCATTGAACACGCTACTTCTAATCAAAGCTCTGGGTCATGATCCGATTGCTAGAGACTACTCGAAAGACTTGGTTAGTTCGATGACATAAGATTGATGAAATCGCACGTTTCTAAACGTTTTAGGCAGTGTATCAAAAAGGCGAGCCTAAACTAGATCGCAGACACAATCTATGAAAAATGATAACAAAATATCACCCGGTACATGCCAACAAGTACAGGAGACGCTGCGATTCTGAAGGTCTTCCATGATTCCAGTTCGTGTTTTATATTTCCTTCTAATTCTGCCGCATTTCCACGGTCTGCTGCTACTCGCTTAATTATATACACCGAAACCCAACCATTTTTTCGGGAAATCGCACCGTAGGCTTATCGAATTAAAATGCAACAACTAGAAATGTTGTTCTAGAGGTAATATTGCGATATTAGATAGTTTTAACCGCATACTATTACATTATATTCTACCGCGGACGCGCAAGCCCGAAAGCAATTAATGTACATGCGAGAGTACAGGGGCCCGGGATCTTGCTGTTAATGATAAAGAAAACGAGGCACTCGGGAAGGGGCTTGTAACGACGACGCGTATAGTGGCGTGTACTTTAGAGATCTACTAGTACGGAGAAAGGTTCGGATTTTCTTAGATCGAGGCTTGGCGGGGCTCGGGGGTTCTTAATTAATTAGTTAAACCCCCTTAGGCGGTAAGTATACTATAAGCGACGGAGTTACGCGATTACTTAGAACGTAGATACGCGACACCCAGTACTATTATAGGCCAAGGAATTACGTCGCTTTTAGTCTCTTTTTTTAACCGTAATTAAAATAACTTGTTTACTTCGTATAACGTAGAAGATATAAGTTTATATTAATATATCTTATAGTCTAAAGGCTACTCGTATCTAAAGGGTATTTATACCTAGGTAGGACTAAGTTCTAAGATAGTTTATTATAGGAAATATTAAAAAATACGTACCTTCGCTTTAATTAGCGAGGGTATTTAGGCTAAAACGAATTAGAACGTTCTACCTACCGGTTTTAGGGGAGGTACGGAGTAAGGGATACTTTTAACGAGTTAGGGAAAGATTACTTACGTTTACGAGAAGGGAGCGGTTCTCTTTCTCTACTTAGCGAGGAGTGCTACTTTTAACCTAGAGGATACAAGGATCGCGAAAACTTAAGTTGTAGCTTACTTCTTGTTACTTTTTTCAAACTCCTCAGTTACCTTCTAGAAGGCGGATCTCTATGCTTGGTTATTCTCGTTAGTATATCTCGTAAGAACGACACCTTTTTTCGTAGATTGAATTTTTTGTTCTAAAACGCTCAATCTCTCTTACTCTCCCCTAATAAGCTGAATTCCTTCCATGGAGACTCCTCTAAGGAGGCCTCCGGCCACGTCTACGCCCCTAGGAAGGGGTATAGGGAAAGGGGGGGTACGCCCAATTCCTCCCCTCCCCAACATACAACAACAATTTGTCTCTGGGACCACTGAGGCTCTAGAACGTGGTGCTATAGGCCAAATCTTCTTTGGAGGCACCGCAGAAGCTGTAGACCACCACCTAAGTACTGCTCTTGATAGAG